AATCCCTTTAAGGCATCTGGCAAGGAATTAGGGCACTGGGATGACAGAAAAGAAGAAACTATCTCCCAGTTTAATGTCTTTAGGGAAATACCTTTGCACAAAACAATGTAAAACAACATTTAAATAGCACTTCAAGTTTTACAAAGAACTTTATGCATGTTTAAAATTTCTTAATTCTGTGAAATTTTACAGATATGGGAACTGACTCTGAGAAAGGTCGTGACTTGCCCAGGGTCACCCAATTACTAAAGGCCTGAGGCAAGTTTTGAACTCAGGTCTTCCTGATTCCATGTCCAGTGCTCTATCCACTGTGACAGCTAGCTGTCTATCTGAAAAATAATGTGTTACAATTAAGAGGACACATCATAGGTAAAGAAATTATCTGTCAGGTGTTTCCTTGGAAGTATTTTGAGTTGGGTTTTGAAGGCAAGGGCCACGAGCTGACCAAGGATGAGGACAGAATGGCATCAGTGAGGAATAGTACAATGTTGTTTGGGCAAATTACTTCATTTTTCCAAAATGAAGAATGGGTATTTTCTCCTGCAAAATGGAGGTGCCATTTGCAGTACTGACTTTACCAGGAGGTCAAAGGAAACCATGTATAGAAATACATACAAAATAGTTTGTAACTATAAGAGCACTATTTAAACATTATTAAGAGGCTGAGTTGGAGAGTATTGGATATGGCAGGAAATGTGGAAACCTGATGATCATCCCTTAATCCAGAGGTTCTTAACAAACACTGAGGTTAGTCAATAAGCCTTGGGGATACAAAGAAAGGCAAAAGACAGTCTCTACATGGAAACTGAAGATGGCTGAATAAGTTGAGGTACAAGATAGTGATAGAATACTATTGTGCTGTTAAGAAACAATGAGCAGGATGATTTCAGAAAAACCTGGACTTACATGAAGTGATGCAAAGTGAAATGAGCAGAATCAGGAGAACACTGACCACAGTAACATCAATATTGTACAATGATGAACTGTGAATGACTTAGCTATTCTTAGCAATACAATGATCCAAGATAATTCTGAAGGTCTTATGATGAAAAAAATGCTATCCATCTCCAGACAAAGAACTGATGGAGTCTGAATGCAGATCGAAGCATACTTTTATTTTTTGGGGGAGAGGTCTTTGTTTTCTTTCACGACATGACTAATATGGAAATATGCTTTGTATGACAGCACTTGTATAACCTATATAAAACTGCCTGCTTTCTCAATGAGGGGGGAGGGAGAGAATTTGGGACTCAAAATTAAGGAAAAAATGTTTTAAATTGTTTTTACATGTTGGAATAAAGTAACAATTAAAAAAAAAGACAGTCCTTACCTTCAAGTGTGCATTGTAGGGGTAGGGGGATGGAGGGGAAAGGACAACTGTAAACTTGTTTTTGAAAAATAGTTTGAAAGATGGATAATAATCTTAGGATGACTAGAACTAGGGAATGGGGAAAGGCTTCCTGCAGCCTTAAGGCAGTTTTTGAGAGGAGTCTTGAAGGAAACCAAGGCTTCTAATAGGCAGAGCTGAATAAGGAGACCGTTCTAAATCAATGTTATAGAGATGAGAAAGTAGACATTTGTGTCAGTAATACTCCTTGGTTCCCTTTGGGGCAACCTGTAATACTCATGGAGTTGTTACAAGGAGCAAATAAGATAGTAGTATATGCATAGCATTTTAGAAATTTTAAAACTCTGTAGATTTCAACTTTTATAAAATGTTTCATATATGTAAAACACACATGTAAAATAATTATATTTCAATACAATTGGTTTCCTTTGTAATCCTATGTACTTTTATTGTAAAACATTATTCTGAGGCGATCCACAGGCTTCACCACCCTGCCAGAGGGGGCTAGGACACACACAAAAAAGTTGAGAATACCTATTTAAACCCTAAGAACTCTAAGCGGTAAACTGATTAATCCCTTTGAGCTCTATAATTCTGTGTAACAATTATCAAGTGCCTTCTGTGTGCACAGTACTGGGTGGGGTGGAGGTAGAATATTCCCTTTAGGTAAGTTTAGATAAGAAGCTGCCCCTGCCTTTTAGGAACTTAAGGTCTGGTAAGGGAATACATACATAACTAATATAATATGCAACAATATCCAAGTGGATTGTTGAGAGGGAGGGTAACAGATGAAGGGTAGAGGATGTAGAGGCATCTGAACTTCTAAACAGGTAAGGGTAGCATGTTACCGTTCAGAAAATGCTTTCTGTGCAACAATTCTGTGAGATGCCTAACACAGGTATTATTCCCATTGTACTGATGGGGCGATACACATGATCACACAGCTAAGGTCTCAGGACTTGGATAAGAACCCAGGTTTCTAGACTTTAAGACTAACATGTTTCAAGACATTGTAACTCTAAGTGCCAGTCCGTGGTGATTACTGGGGATTTTTATACTTATGGGGAAAGAATTAATCAATATTAATCCAATAAAGCTGGATGAGTGTCAATATTTTAAAAATATACATAGGGAAGACATTAATACTTATTAATAAGGAGGCAGAGGAACACCAAAAGAAAAGGTGATTCAGGCATCTTTCCAAAGCAGGGAATACCTGCTGAATATTACCATCTTCCGTCTTCCAATTTATGCCTACACTTATAGGTCCAAGTCAAATGCCACCTTCACTTTGAAACAGCATAAGCCTTTTAAGCTATGACTGATTGTTCATCACTGTCCTTCTCTTATGGATTTCCTTCATTTCCCGAAACAAAATTAATGTAATCAGGATAAGGAAAGCAAATAAGGAAAAAAAAAACCTTTTGTATCAAATTCCTCAGATAAAGGTTTGGTATTAATATTATATATGTGTATATGTATGTGTATACACAAACATATATGTATGAATATGTTGTTCGTATAAAAGACAGAAAGACTAAGAGAATACATATACAGTCTAAGGTTGAGAACAGTTTTCAAAAGAACTGCAAACTATTAACAACCAGATGAAAGATTGCTCCAAATCATTAATAGGAGAAATGCAATCAAAAGAACCCCAAACAACAGCACAAAACTCAACACTAACGTTGGAGGGGTTTGTAGGAAGAGAGATGCACCAGGGCACTGCTGCTGGAACTGTGAAGCTGTAATGACCATTATGGAAAACAATTTGGAATTATGCAAATAAAGTAAGCAAAATGTCCATACCCTTTGACCTAGAGATCCTGCTACGGGGCTTATATCCCAAGAAATTAATTGATTGGGAAGTCCCCCAAACACATTTTTTGTAGTTATTTACAATACGTGTAGTTATGACATCTTTGTAGTAACAAAGGAATGGAAATAAAGTAGATGTCCATCAACTGGGGAAAGACTAAAATAAATTGTGGTATATGAATGTAACAGAATATTACTGTGCCATAAGAAACTACAAATAGGATGAGTACACAGAAGTATGGAGTTATATAATCTGATGCACAGTAAAGTACACAGAGGCCCTCCAAAAAAATATACATAATTGCAACAATGCAAATGTAAAGAATCACAAAACAATCAAAAGTGAATTATTGCAAAGTTAGAACAAGCGTGGCTCCAAAGAAGAAATATGACATTTCCACCTCATTTCTTTGCAGAGAGGCCTATGGGTATGGTATATTGCATTTATTTTCAGTTCTTTTAATGTATTGGTCAGTTTTTTTTCTTTTTCCCTTTAAATATTATTTATCATATGGGATGGCTCTCTGGGAGGGAGGGGAAAGGACAATGGTCATGTTAAAAAAAAAGACATCAATAAAAATTTGTAAAAAAATATTTTAAAGGTTGAGCACTAAGAAAAGTCATCAGACTGCTCATAATCTCGAAGACAGCAGTTTTAGAACCTATCCAAGTTGAAAGCTGGATTGAGAAACGTGTAGGAAGGAAGGAAGCAGAAAGCAATCAGCACAGACAGCCTCTTCTAGGAGTCTGGCAGTGAAAGGGAGGTAATAAAATGACAGTTTTAGGAAATGGTATTATTGAGGGAAGGTGAAGGATGGCAGAAATAGAGCACGTCTGCAGAAAGCAGGGAAGCGGCTCATGGAACAAGAGACTGAAAATTAGAGGACTATCTAAGAGGCAAGCTACCAGGGGAGATAGGAACAAATAGAGATGGTGGCAGGTAGAGATGATGAGGTATAGAAGAGTTTGAAACAGGCTCATTTTTCCCTCAGTAAATTAAAAGTCAAGATCTGTTGTTGTGATGGGAGGCGGACATTACAGGGAGGCAAGTGAGGTAGCTTGTGGTTTGTGACAGTCACAGGATATGTGATAAAATCAACAGGGAAGAGTAAAGAATCGGAGCACAATAACCAAGATGTAGTGGACCCAGCGAGCAAGCTGTCGACTTCCTCCGGTGATACTTAGAATGTAAGTAGGACTGAAAGTGAATAGCAAGATTAAGGTTTGGAAGGGGATGAGTGGTGACAAGGGGCAGCCAGTAGGTAACTGCAACCAGGATTTGTTGGATAGAGCAATATATCTATAGGGAGTGAACCTCTGAGAAGACATTGCTGACTAATGGTGGTAGAGGGGAAAGTGGAAGTAGGTGTGGGCACCAAGTATCATGCCATGTGTAAGAGGGAACGAGAAAAGACATCTCTAGCACTGGAGAGGGCAGCCAGGGATGTTGTGTGTTTTGGGGAAGTCAGATTTCTGTGACTGCAGGAACAAGGAATGTGACAAGATGGATGGAGTGTGAGAATTAACTTTATCCCACAATATGGAAATAGTTCTGGATGAGAAGTCAGAAGTCCTGGGCTCAGACAACACTGCCCCCTCTGAGGGTGACCTTAAGCAGGTAACAGAATTCTAGGCCTTAATTTCCTCATTTTTAAAATGAGAAGCCAGAACTGGATGATCTCAGTTACTTCGGGATCTGACGACATATGGGTCCTGCTCAGGTGTGGGTGGGACTCTATGACCTCTGACAATCCTTCTAACTCTAGAATGCTATTCTCCTTTGTCATTTTACTCGTTCCCAATCAGATATGCAAGAAACAAAATCACAAAGCAATGCCAGCAGTCTGGATTCGTGTTTATTGAAGCCAGTAATTAGAGACATCTCCATTTGGCCAGCACTAGAAAGCGAGATTCCACATGACTGCATACTGCACCTGGTTAAAGCCATACAACTGGATTAAGATTTGTGGCTGATAATCTGCCATTCTAACTGTAGGTTAAAAAAGATCGATGAAACTTAGTGTACAGGACAGTGAATTACAGAGTGTATATTGTTAGATTCATGATGTACAGAGCAGTCACTTTCCACTTAATTAAATAAAACATGACAGTTTAATGTTGGTTTTTAAGATGCCAATCAGAAACAGCGCAAGCTTTAAGTGAAAAACAACAAAACTTACGCAGCTTGTCTGCGATGTTCTTGTGACAGGCCAATTCTAGGCCTTTCTCTATGACTCATTTTCGGCTTTAAACAGGAACAGCAGATGTAACCACTAGAATGCGCATGTGTAAATAGTCACAGAGTAGTTTTTAACAGTCTATCACACAAGCGTATTCTGCAAAGAAAATAAAGTAAAGGCTGCTTGCTACTTGGCCTTTGGTTCCAATGTTTGGCGACACCCAAAACAGGAAAACAACAGGAACAAAAAATACTTGGCAACTGCCCAAAGCTGGCTGACTCTGGCAACCACCGAGCCCACCAAGATACTGACGAGCTGCTTCTGACACCAGGAGCACTCACTTGCAACAAAGAACTGGCATAAAACGGTTCCACGAGAAACCTTCTTTTGCAAGACTGGGATGTTAAGAGCTTCTGCTCAATATTTTCATCAATCTTATGACAAACAAGGAAGATACATTAGATTGGTACAGAAAGTGCTGATCAGTTAAAATGACAAATAAAAACCCAAAATACGATGGTGCTAATTTTAAAAACCATACTGCGACAATAATAAACATACGCACTTCCAATAATTCCTTCTTGCTGCTCAAGCGTTCCAGATACTGCTGGGACAGGAAGCCACGACGACTGCTGGCAGGCTTTTCCAATATTCACTTACTCCCAGCATGTATCCCTCCGGAGACACCTTACATCAACCTTCAACCCACAGTCAGTTCACAAGTGTTTACCTAGGCAACTTTGTAACTTGAGGCCACCGTACAATTTTTTTAAATGTTAAAAAAACAAAACCAAAACATATACTGTATTCCCAACAATATAAATGGCACAAAACAAGGCTTTTAGGTTAACATTTGTCAAAGAGGCAAGTAAATGCTCTCAGTTTTCTAGTTAGCAGTGTTGAGACAGTTATAAAATACAATAAAGGTCGGTCTCCTGACAGAACAGGATTTAAAATTATTCCTGGATTCCTATTAGTGGTCAATATAACGTGGAAGGTATAAGTAATGATATATATATGCATATATATAAAAAACACACACATATATATACATATATATGGATCAGGGATGTTATGCTCAGACATTGTAAAAACTAACAAATTCATCTCCATAAAAAGTAAACTCCGCATAATTAAAATTGTGGTTTTTCTCCCCCTTCAGTTTGACAACAAAAATGCTTTGTCCATGAAATTCATGGTAGTGTTTTAATATCTAAATGATCCTTATCACTCATGAAATAAAAAGTGCCATCTGAAAACTGTAGACATTTCCTATGTCACATATGATGTTGTGATGAGATTATGGACTTGAATATCTATACATACACACACAAACACAAATATATCGTGTGTATTTTATGTTGGGAAATAACTGAAAGTCATCTTTCCATAAGAAAAAAATGTTACATTTTCAGGAAAACACAAAAGAAAATAATTATCTCCATTTCCAATGTGCAATATTCACACAGATTCTCCATCTTAAACAGCTGCAGAGCAGACTAGTGAGCTGGGGCGAAATCTTTCAAAGAAAACCTTTGAAGGTTTCCACTAACCATAAGGCAGGAATCCATGCTAGCTTAGTAGCCAGAGTGCAATTATTAAAAATCTCTCTAAAACATTCTGTAGCATATTTCATTATGGGAAAATGATATGCCACCCATCATTCTATTAATAGGCCAGCCTGTTGGTATTAAAAAAAAAATAAAAAATAAAATAAAATTAAAAAAACCAAGGCAGTAACTATTAGAAAATAGAATTTAAAATTAAATAATTCCATAATTATTCACTTTAAACTAAAGCCAAACAGTGACTGTCTGCATTACAGTGCACATTAAGTCCAAGTACCTTCTAAGCCATCCCACAATGTGCCAGGTACTTGGATCTAAGCAAGCTGGAGTAATTTCCCCCCTGCATCAGGTACACTGAAGAGCAATCCCACATTTTATACATCTTTTAAAAACTAAAGACATGATTCATGACAAGAATAATTCCCATGATGTTTAGTGTTTAGTTTAGACTTTTCTCTAATTTGTCTTTAACAATGATTATTAGACTCCTACTGAACACACAGGGGTTGGTAACACTGACTATCTTTCTGTCTTCCTCCACCTCATCCACATTCGGTTTTCCTCTGGTATCCAATCTCCTCCTCTCTCCTTAGGCCTTCTTCGCCCTCCTGGACTCTGCTGCCACCTGCACCTTCTTTCCAGGCACAAAGGAATTGGTTAACACACAAGTGCTCAGACTCTAGCAACTATCTGAATGTTGGTCCCTCCTTCTGTCCTTGCACGTGACCATTAGCTTCACTTGGATAGAAATTCTGCAGTTGGTTCCTTGGTGTTGCCCATGTCAAAGAAATGTGGCTTCTCCCGCTTCCCACCAAGGCTATCCTATCTGAACTCTAAGGGGTTATCCGAAACAGAGGGATTTTTCTAGGCAAACTTCCTGAATGTGCATTTTACACTTGGACAAACCAAAGAAGTTGGTTGGTTGTGTATATGTGGTTTTTTTTTAAGTTCAATCTCCCCTGCCCCAAGAAAAACTGATAGCATGGGCTGTATCAGAAAAAATCCTGGTCTTGTCAGATCAATATACAAAGTTATTTGGTCATTTACACAGGTATGTTTAAGTACTATCAAGCTTCATTTTCTGTCGATGAGTTTGCTGTTACCACAGAGTCAGGCTTGCGAGTCATTCGGTCCAGCTCTTCTTGAACATTTGTCAAAACAGTCTTTTGTCCTAAAAAGTAATGAAAATAAAGTATTTTAAGTTACTATTTTTAAATAACCAACAAGCGTAACCTTGGAGAGGGGGAAAAAAGATATCACAAAGGAAATCCTCTTCTCCTAATGGTCTTTGGTAACGTTAACAGGGAAGGTAAGGAATCCTAACTCAGTTCCCTCTGAACTCTAATCCCAAGGCACACTCTGCTCCTTGCTGCCAGCAAAGACAGGATGTCCTTTTTCTTTTTTTTTAAAGTTTGCTCAAAAATCTTTATCGGTTTTCACCAAATGTTGTCATGTCATTTTTGGAAACCATTTTTCTCACCAATGGACACTGAACACCAACTCCATCCGCATTACCAAATGCTCAATATAACATCAGCTAGTGGGTATAAATGCTGCAATCACTGCCCTCAAGAATCTTGCAATCCAAAAAGCAGGCTCTGATGTGTATACCACTAAGGGTGACAAGCCAGACTGTATAAATAGGGGTCTCCAAAGTAGGGTGGTATGCACTCAAGAGGCCCTCCTAGCATTTGCAAACAAAGCATTAGAACTAAGGAGAGGAACACAGCTGTTGCATTTGCTGTTGCTAACAGCCTGTCTCAGATGCTCTCCCCGCCCTCTCCCCGCCCTCCTGGAAGAGGATGAATGAGATAAATGCTTCCTGTGCCTCTAGCACCATTCTCAGAAATTTGGAGAGGCTCAGGCTGCACAGGGGATGGATGCCTGCTCAAACAGGAAACCTTTTGGGGCCTCATCCATAGGAGAAGATGGAGAAGATGGTTGCTTCACAACCTGGGACAGATGGGAGATGCCAAGAAGAATTTCAGGAGCAGGGAGAGGTCCTCCGTGGGCCCAGAGAGCCAGGTAGGCCCAGAAGGGGGGGGGGGGGGGGGGAAGAAATGTTTTTTTAAGAAGCATCTGAGAAGCAATTTTCCATTGCCCTCAGGAGGAACTGTAGCAAAGTGAATTCAAGAAGAGCAGTCACAAAAGAACTGGAAACTGAGGGGATGCCTATCAATTGGGGAACAGCTGAACAAGCTGTGGTATACGACTGTGACAAAATACTATTTGTGCTATAATAGAAAGGATGAGCAGGAGGGTTTCAGAAAAACCTGGGAAGACCTAGATGAACTGATGCAAAGTGAAGGGAGCAGAGGCAGAACACTGTACACAGTAACAGCAACACTGTACAATGATCAACTATGAATAACTTGGCTACTCTGATCAGGACAATGCTCCAAGATAATTACAAAGGACCAATGATGAAAAATGCTATCCACCTCCAGAGAGAACTGATGAACTCTGAATGCAGAGTGAAGAAGACTTTTTTCATTTTAATTTACTTGACTTTTTTTTTTTAAGCAACATGAATAACATGGAAATAGGTTTTGCAAGACTTCATGTGTACAAGTGATTGCCTTCTCAATGGGTGGGGGAGGGGCAAGCAAGGGGGAGAATTTAGAATTCAAAACTTAAAAAATAAAGAATGCTGAGAGAAGAGCAATATAATGGCTGGCAGAACCAGTGGAAACCAGCAGCAGCATGAGCAAGAGGAAGGGACAGCAACTGCCACCGGCAAGTGTGGGGCTCAAGGAGCCATGCCTTAAAGTCTCTTGGAGTGGCAGCTAGGTGGTGTAGTGGATAGAACTCTGGCCTTGGAGTCAGGAGGACCTGAGTTCAAATCCGGCCTCAGACACTTGACACTAGCTGTGCGACCCTGGGCAAGTCACTTAATCCCACTGCCTAGCAAAAAAACCCAAAAACCAAAACCAAAAACAAAACACTAAAAGTCTCTCAGATCTGCAATGTGCTCCCAAGATTCCTTCCCACTCTACCCTCCTCCAAACTGACAGCTTCTAGGTAAATGAAGACCATTCCTCCCTAGGTAACAGCCTACCCAGAAACCTCACCACCTATCCTGCCACTGCCCTTTTCTCTCCTAAACATGGCATTGGGGGATGTGGGCCATGACCTCCACAGACCATGTCCCTACCTCCCAGACATCAAGAAGATGGTAATTTACTAGCCAAATTTAAGCAAAACCCTTTGCGTAACACCTCTGAATGGGCCTGAAAAATGAATGTCATGATTTAATCTGTGTAGCCAACAAGGCAATTCTTCCATCTGGGGCTATGTGTCTTGGTAAGGTAGCTTTTTTTTCAAAGCTATGACAGCCATTAAAAGCCAAACATAAAAATACACTGAGTTTAGAACCTGACCTTGAAACCAAAATGTCACAAAGTATTAAGTCACGATTTGTAAAAATTTAAAATATTTCACTGTTGTCTCATTCTTTTAAATTTTTATTTTTGTAAATGTTCTATAAGATACAAAATATATTTGTACAATAGTACCTGTATATAATTCATGTATGAATATACACCTCTGGCGTGAGGGGGTGTATCCTCAAAAAATTGACAGCGGTGTGACCAAAAAAGTTTGGATTTCACTTGTAAAGGTCACAGGGACAAAAGAGAGATCCAGACAAAGTGCTTGAGGAAAACATGGGGAGGGAAAAATCACTTTCAGTGGTGAATATATGTGTTGGGAGGGGGAGACATGTGAGGGCTGGAGGAGGTTTGGTGGAAAAGGTGGCAGATGAGAAGTGGGCCTTGAGGACTCAACTGACAGAAATTAAGAGGGAATGTATTCCAAGGAGTGAGCAGGACAAGATCTGGAAAGAGCTAGGAATCATATGGGTAGAATGAACAGCATATGAAGGGGAACAGTTAGGCTAAATAAGTAGGCTGTAAACAGTCTGTAGTGGCCCTTAAGTGTCAAAGGGAGCTATTATATCTCAGAAGCAACAACAAGCTAATGGTAGTTTTCTGAGCAAAAGAGTTACATGCTCAAAAGAGCACCTCAGAAGCTTATTTTGGTAGCTGGGCAGAGGATGAACTGGAGAAGGGAGACACTGGAGGCAAGAGACCAGGGAAATATACTTGCCCAAGTCTGAGGTGGGGCACCTACTTCTTCCTCCCATTAATGTGAGTTTAGCATATGTACACTGGGCTGCTTCCCTCATTCCCTCAGTCTTGATTTGCTCCCCAGGCCTCTCAAGTTACAATAAATATATGCTATGCAAATGAATAATCTAGAAACGCTACCTACATTTCAACAGCAAGAAAAGACTGACATACACAAAAAAGGGGTTATCAGATGAATGAACTGATATAATGGACAGAGCACTGGACTCAAAGTCACATGATCTTCCAATAACTAGCTATGTGGCCGTGGCACACCACTTAACATTCGTGCTGTATTTCCTCCTCTGTAAAATGGGTGCACTAGACCAGGGAGTTTCCAAGGTCCCTTTAAGTTCTGACATTCATATTTTATATCTTGTGGTTCTATACTTTAATCTTCAAATATTCTTCATGATACCAGATAAATGGAATTACTTAAAAACCACCATATATCTATAACGTACTATTTAAGAAAAGAATCCCTTTAAAATCTAAAAGGTCATTATCATTGATAAATTATTTTTTCCCTCAACAATGTGATTTTTGGTATAAGATAGGGTTTTAAGTTGTAAGAAAGGAACAGCCAGTTATTATGTACAGATCACAACAGATTCTACTGGGGAAGGTAAAGTAGTACTATTTTTATGCATGGGGTCAAAAATAATAAGATGGCAAGAGAGTTTCTAAATGGCTCTTCCACTTACTGACTACACATGTAGAATAAGCCACTTTCCTTGTGTCTCAATTTCCTCCCTTGCAAAATGAGGCATTTCTTTATCATTTAGTATTTGTTGCCAGATTAGAAACAACTGACTTATTTTAAATACTTATTTTAAAAATTAAAGATTATAGAATTATCTTTAACTCTAAACAAAACCGCTTTTTAAAAAAGGCCAAAGAATTTAATAAGCATCTGTTTTCCAGATTAGACTTGCATGTGAAACGTTAGAGGTGGATTTTTTCCAGGAGACATGGTGAAAACATTAAGGCAAGTCTAGTCTGCCGAATTTGAAATGCTTTTTCCAAAATAAATAGACAGCAATTTATAAAAAAGAAAAAACACCCCAAAACTTCAATGTAGCCTGTTCTACCCCAAAAAACAAATGAAACTAGGTACAAACCTTGGGGTGGTATAGTAGATAAAGAGTGGATAAAGGAAACCTGGATTCACACTCAAGCTCTGAAACCTACCATCTGTATGACCTTTGGCAAGTCACTTTCTTTATCTGTGCCTCAGCTTCTTCATCTGTAAAATGAAGAGGTCTGACTAGATAGTTTTAAAGTCCTTTCTAGATCTATACCCCAGGAGACCATGCAAGCATCTTTAAAACCTTAAAGCATTCCAGTAACATGAACTATTGTTATTACTACTTAAAACTGAAAAGAAAAACGATTACATATCCAAAAAAGTACTCAAGGGGCAGCTAGGTGGCACAATGGACAGAACATGGGCTCTGGAATCAGGTGGACCTGAGTTCAAATCTGACCTCAGACACCTGACACTTAACTAGCTGTGTGACCCTGGGAGAGTCACCTAACCTTGACTGCCTCACCAAAACCCAACAACAACAAAAACCACCAAAAAAACCCAACAACAAAAAAGTATTCAAGATTATTTGAACTTGCTTTCAGCGTACAGCCTTCTCAGAAGCTGCTCATTGAAGGAGGTAACAAAGGGACTTCTGTTTTCCTTCCTATCATACTCTTTTCAGACTGTTTCTGTCAGCAAATATCTAGAGATGTAATGTATTCTATTCCCCTGATGAGAATAAAACTGTTTTTTAAGATTTCTAGAGATGATTTCACTATTTCAGTAGCTGCTGGAACAAGGTGGCTTTTGTTAAAGGTGTATCTATCTCAACTAACTCAACAGGTCTACTCTTGAGAAGACAGCATGTTAGTAATTAAAATACTATTTCAAATGTACCCAATTTAGATGCAATGGACTGTAGTGAAGAGCATGCAGAGTCAGAAGTCAAAAGGACCGACGTTCAAAGCTCAAAACTCTAACTGCCATTTATTAGGTGTGTGGAAAAGTCACTTCTCTGGGGATCTCATTTTCTGCACTGACAGAAAACAAGTTGTAGTAGATGATCTCTAAGGTTACTTCTAGCTCTAAATCCTGACTTTTGGTGAATAATTTTGTAAAAAGAAGCATCCTTTCTAAAAAGTAGGGACTAATCATTGCCAATCTAATCATTTTTGTTAAATTTGGATTTTTCCTGTGTTGAGTTTGTGTAAAACATAGTATGTCCCTGAATATATATAACTGGATGTGGTCCAAATCAAACACTGAACGGTCAACAAAACAGAGCCAGCAGACACCCTCCACACCAAACCAACAAAACAGTCCAGCCCCCAGCCCCAGACAAAAGGACACCCTTCAGTACCAGACTTTTTGGCTGTGCCTTGGACTCCCCCAGCTCCAGGACTCCCAGGAGAACCAGTCTTTTTACTCAAGAGGCTGTTAAAGAAGCTGGCTAACACTCCTTCGCTTGCAGCATTATCTAAAGAAATTCAAACAAAAAACCAGAGAAACCTGTTTTCAGCTTGGAACTTAAACATCTGACTGCACAACTTCTGATATATGTTACACACCATGATGTCTCCCAGTGCAAGAGCACATGGACATGGGGAATCATTCGATGCCTTTTGTGCGGATGGCTGGCTGTGAGCAAACGCAGCTCTTGTGACAGGGACAGACAGAAACATGGCAGCTATGGCAATTTTTTACTGGTTTTCACCAACAGCCAACCACAGCCAACACTGTCATGCACAGGAAGCAGGGCTTTTTGATGCTCAGGATCTCTAATACCCTATCATGACTGGATTTTTGCTAAATTCTTGTTAAGTATGACACAAATGTACACACAGGAAGAGGCAGTGATGAACAAGAGAGAAGAATATGCAGTATGGCATCAGGGTTTGAGTTCTATTTCTGTCACCTACTAACCCAGAGACCTTAAGTCATTTTATCTTGAGCCTCAGTTTCCTTATCTGCCAAATGGGGATAATGACATTTGTCCTACCTTCTTCAAAGGGGTATTTTGAGACTCAAATCAAATTGTCTGAGCCTAGTGTTCTTATCTTTACAAGGAGGATAATAATACTTGCACTATCTATCCTTATGGAAGTGTTGTGAAGAAAGTGCTTTGTACACTCTAAGTTATTACTGTTATATCTGACTTATCACAAGCTTCATTCTAGCTCAGAGGTGATCCTGGGCTGGAAGAGGTTAGAGTACAGACTCTGTATTTATTGTCCAAGGCACAATCTAGCCAGTTAGGACAGCCTCATTCCTGTAATAAATTTTTTGGTCATAGCAACTTATGAAAGATACCTTAACAGTTAGGCATAGAAGGCAGTGATCTACATCCACAGAGTAGGCAATCACACAAACGAATGCATGATCTTTGAAATATGGAAGTTGGAATCCTCCAACATAGAAAATGATGAGGATTCTATCACTATGCTATGAAGATTCTCAGCATCTCTTCTGCAACCAAAAGCACTATAAACCAGTCCCATATAACTAGTCAAGCATTAAACAAATTTGGCTATACTATTTATTACCAATAAATTAATAATCAAATATTAATTATCATTCAGTAAGGTGTTTCTGGGCATGGTGGTGCACACCTATAATTCCACCCAGGGGAGGCTGGGACTGGTGGTTGTCTCTTGAGTTGGGGAGCTGAGTTCCAGTGGGCTATGGGAACTGAGCATCTGCATTAAGCTTGGCATCCATCTAGTGGGCTATGGGGAGTGGGGAGCAAACCAATTTTCCCATCACATGAGAGGCTGAATTAAATGATTTCCAGGGTCTTCTAGCTATAAATCCCATGAGTTAGAAATAATGTTTTGCTTTCAGCTTCAAGTTAAATGTTCAAGTCCAGCAGAAGAATGTAGCGGAAAAAGCACAGGATTTGGGAGTCAAGAGACTTGGGTGTAAGTCCTGCTCTTCTCATTTGTAAAATGAAAGGACTAGACCAGATGGCCATCAAGGTCTAGCCAATTCTGAAATACATACTTTTAATATTTGGATCAGGCTTCTTGACAGATGTGATTGGTGAGGCACTGGGGACGTTGGCAGGTCCAGCTCGGCCCTGTGTCCTTGGAGAGCCTGTAGGCCCTCTAGCAGGAGATTCCTTAGACCAAAGAGAGGTTATTAGTGCTAACAGAACTTTGAAAGGCACAACATTACAGAGAGTGCAAACTCTGAAAATGATTTATATTCTTTTGCATTTTAATTTTGGAAAAATTATACTTCCTATGGGATTTCAGTCAAATCACTGAGCCTTTCCAGGCCCCAGTGTCCTCCTCAACTGCAAATGACAAGGGAGGAATGGATGGCCATAGAAGTCCCTTCCTGCTCTACAACAATGATTCTATGATTGATACAAAAGAGGTCATTTTAAAAGGAGGTCTCTGTCACACAGTTAAAAAAGAACAGGACTGAGAACCACCAAGTGACCCGGAGTCTGGTTCCTGACATGATTCCAACTACCTGGAATTCAATTTTCTCATCTGCCAAATGGGAAGAATGATACTTGTCTTACAGTTTTCAAAGGAATATTGTGAGGATCAAATCAGATAAACGTGAAGGTACATCAAAACATTCTAACTCCTATACAAATGTAAGGTATAATAATTAATGACAAAGTCTGAAACCTCACATTGTAACACACCTGATCAACACCACTGCTTGGAATTTTTGCACTATTTGTCTACTGTTCATCATATTATACAAAGGGTTTTTCTTCACTGTAGCAAAAACAATACTCACTGATGCTCTTGTAGGGGTGGCTGGCTGCTTGGCAAGGAAGGACTGCAAAGAAAAGGACTTTGATAGTTTACTCCCAAACAAAATTGCCATTTTAACATAAATAAAACAAGGTAAACTCCAAAGAAATGTGCTTAACTGAAACACATTGACCCCTGCACTGGAGATTCAGGAGAGCTTTGGCTTCCAATCTTGGCTCTGCCTCTGGACCAGTCATGCCCCTATTCTGAGCTTCGTTCCCTTTCACTAGACAATCCTCAAGTCACTTCCAGCTCTGTCACAGGGTCAGAGACTTGCTGGATCCCTGCAGGAGCTGTACTCTTCTTCTTTCCAACTACAAACAGTTTCCAAAGGAAAACAGTTGTAATGAGGTGTGAACTGCACTGAAACAGGAGGCCCGAGGCCAGGACTGGTCTCTTCTCATCTATAATACAGGGATGACAATATCAGCACCCTCTATTTCACTGGGCTGATTCAAGGAAACTGTTGGTAAACTAGGAAGCACCATGAAAAGATGACCTTCCTTTACCCACGTGGGGACGACAGCTGGAGAAATCCTCAAGCCAGTCTGTCCAGCTACTACCAGAAAGCAACGTACTACAATTAGCCTTCAGCAGATTCTTGTAAGATAAAAGGAGAAAACTAAAAGGAACTCTTTCCAGCTTATCTATTTGAGCCATATGTTTTTGACTGTATACTCTAAGTTCTTCCTGAGGGGTTAGTAATCATACATAATGCCTTCTTTCTGTTACAAGTGGAATTTAAAGACTGTGCAACTCAGAGCATGTTTACACGTTACAATTCATGTGTGGGATCACTGATCACTGTAGTTCAATACCCCTTTTAAAGTAACTGAATATCATATAAATGATTAAAAGGCAGCATGGAATAGCAGAAAATACAGTGGCCCTGGAATCAGAAGGGATGGGTTAAAGTCTGAGCTATGTATGACACTAGGTGACCTTGGGAAATACACACTTCCTTCAAGGACTCTTGATTTTGTCCCTGTGGGTTCTGTCCCTCCACAGAAAGACAGCAGTGCCAACGTACAAACCTTAGCAGATATCTTCCTAAGCTACTACAGCTGGGATAATCTACCACTTTGGAGTCACCTCTGCACTGAGGAGCCTCTCCTCCAAACCCACATTACCCTGGCTGTCAGAGACAACTTGAAGCCTTTCCAAATAGGATCTGCCAGATCTTACAGCCTTTAGGGGCCCAGAGACACCTCCACACTAGAAGGAGGCCCTGCGGAAGGACTGCTAAAGTGGAAAATTTTGAGAAAGCAACAAGATTAGAGGATTATAAATGTCTAATGTAAATTATTCTAATGGGATATACAAGTGTTGAGGACGTTCTACTACTAAGTTTTAGAAATCGCATTTCGGGACTTTATATATGTAAAATTGTACTGTTCACCCTCTGTATAAGCCAAACATTTTCTGGTTTCTTTTAACACTCCATTCATTCATTCATTCATTCATTCATTTATTTTTGGTGAGGCAACTGGGGTTAAGTGACTTGCCCAGGGTCACACAGCTAGTAAGTGTTATGTGTCTGAGACTGGATTTGAACTCATGTCCTCCTGACTTCAAGGCCAGAGCTCTATCCACTGCGCCACCTAGCTGCCCCATAACACTTACTTTAAAAGGTTTTAAAATATTTAGTTTTTGATTTCTCAGGTGTTATTTGAATTTCTTAAATACAGCAGCATAACAACTTGCTAACTTATACCACAAGACAGTCATAAGTAGTAAAACTGAAGTTTTTCCCTTTATGAGGCTTAAATCTAAAACAAAGAATGAAATAAACACCAATCTTAAAAAGCTGAATGATATCTGATCCAGTGCTAATTTAAAAAGGCACTCTTAACCTTAACTTACATGTCTATTTTGGTAAATGTTAAATCTTTAATCAGAAGGATTCATTAGACAAGTCAGATGCCTATAGATTTTTAAAAAAGATTCTTCCCGGGCAGCTAGGTGGCGCAGTATATACAGCACTGCCCCTGGAGCTAGGAGGAACTGAGTTCAAATGTGACCTCAGACTAGATACTTGACATGTACTAGCTGTCTGACCCTGGGCAAGTCACTTAACCCCAACTGCCCCCCCCCAAAAAGATTCTTCCTTCCTGTTATTGGCAGTATCCATATCAGGTACAGAGTTCAGATAAAGACAGAAACAGCAAGGAATATGTAAAAACTTAAATTCTCTCAAGTTTCAAATGAACTAGGGGTTCCCAATTTGGTGCTCTGCTCTTGATAGGATTAGAATCATAAGGTTTGACCTTATGATTCTATGGCTTTCACCATATTAACTAATTACTGGAAAAGTAAAATTTAAATGACTATACTAAATTGCATTGAGATCTGTTTTACAAAGATGTGAGCAGACATCTAAGAATTTCTACAAGTTAACCAGAACCAGAGAAGCAACTCCCTTCAAAGCTGCTCTGAGAACAGGTCCATTCTAGATGTCCAAGAGATGTTTCCAGAAACCAGACAACCATATGGGACACCTGGGATCCAAGATGAAATGTGCTAATTAAATGGATGTTTGGAGTGGGTTACCAGGATACAAGACAATGCTAATTAACGTTGATGATCATTATTGAATTACTTTGGCTTTTTGTTTCACAGTATCTATATTTGCTGAGTTTTCTTAAGTTACCTTGCTGACATGTAAATCTCCCCTCTAATATTAGTCCATGATTTTAGATATTCTTGCTATGGCTTGTGCTATGATCAATCAATCTTGTTGTTCTTACATTAACTGGTCAGGGAAAAGTGTGACAGGCCTACATAAGATTCAACAAGTTATAACAGAGACACAATTACTCATTTCAGGTGATCCCTGGTAGAATCCCTCTTCCTGTTCACATGGCTGCAGGGGACAGTCTATTACCCACCTTTGGTAAATGGGCCCTTGTTGCCTTGTCTTATTATTCTTTTTAGACTGAATTAATTGCTGTGTTAAAGCCTGTTCTGAACTTGCACCAGAAAACCTTCTGTTAGTGAACCCTATTGGTAATGATTATGTTAAAGATCTTATAGGATTAAGTGAATAGAGCACCTGCCCTGAATTCAAATATGGCCTCAGACACATAATACTTCCTAGCTGTGTGACTCTGGGAAAGTCACTTAACCCCAATTGCCTCACTTAAAAAAAAAAACTTACAGAATTAGCTTATAGATAAGTTATCCTGGGGAAATGTCTGCCACTGATCAAAGCAGGAAACTGAGAAAATCAAATTCTGATTTTATTTTGTAATATCTGTATCAGCCCCAATGTATTGTAAAATTGCCTAAGCCATGCTTCTTTGTCTCCAAGTTCAGAAGTTCAGCTTTCCTCTCTGAGCTAAACTGTCTCATACATCATCTTAATTCAAAGGAATATATTGTCTCTACACATCTTACTGCCCATGTACAATTAAGGGAGAACTCTTATCTCACTAACAAGCCTTGCAAGATGCAGGTGGGCACCAGGAAGTCTGTTAACTGCAATGCTGGTTGGTTATCCTTCAAGAAAGTCTGGACTGTTCTCGCTGTGACTCTACCTAACCTTGCAGCGGGATTTCCACAGCAACACGTTGGAAGGAGTTATTGCTGTTCATGCATTCCTTTCATCCACTCATACTGTTTTCCACCATCTATGATTCTTCATACGTTGTAACCAGTAATATTGTTTTATGCTTCCTGTTCTTTGTTCCCTGGTACTTCCCAACACTATATGAAGGCCAGTATGGCCTACCTCATGGTTTTTTGACTGACTCTGACTGAGCCTCTTTTATCGGTAACTGCTGGCCTTACCAATAGATTCAGTGTGCTCAGAACGTTGTGCTTCAGTTTACATTAATTTCTATTTGTCTTGCAAAAGGACTTCCAGGGTATAACAACTTACTGAAAATTACAGATGATAGTACTCGTGCTCCCTATGCCCCAGGGAGGTTGTGAGCTACAAAAGGTGACTATTTATAATGCAATGCCAATTGACTCAGAACTCTCAGTGCCATTACCTGCTGCTTCATTAGAAAAACTTGTTCATCTTCTGCTGCCAATTCTTTATCATGGACCAACTGTGAAACAACATGCTCATTTTTAGTGAAAAACCGCAAAAACATCAAATCAGTAACACAGAATTTTCCAAAAAGAACACAGAGTTTAAGTCTTACTATGCATCCGGGAGTCACTTCACACAAAAAGAAACCCAAACCTTCAGCCAAAACTCAGAGTAGCTTCTCAAATGGAAAGATGAAACAACTGATTAAAAAATGGCAACGTGGAGAGAGCAATGGGATCAGGAAGAGCCAGGTTCAAATCCCAACTCTAAAACTTATTAGCTGTATGTCCAGAGGCAAGTCACCTGCAGTACCTACCTTAGTGTTGCTGTGACACTCAAATAAGGTAATATACATAATGTGTGTTTATAAACTTCAAAGTGCTATCTATTATTAAATTCATGAGAGCTGCTAAGACTGAAGGGCCTAACACATTTTGGACAGAACTCAAATTTTATGCAATATCAGAGAATTTTATTCATAGGTTTTTAAAAATTCTGAACTTAACCAATACTAAATGAAATGAGTATTTCCATATACAGAAAGAAGACAGTACATCAAACTGCCCACCTCTACTGTACACAGCTTGCTGAGAATTACATTAACAAAGCTACAAAAAAGAGCTGAGGCAAGTATGAGTGGGCAAAAATTAAAATAGATGTCTTTGATGTAAAATTAAACATCACAGGAGCTCCAGAAAAGCCTAAAAGAATCATTCCCAGATGATTTTGAGAGGCAGCAGTACGGTGTGATGGAAGAGCGCAGAACTTAAAGTCCACGGTGACTAGGCAAAGGACCAGAAACACCTTTAGGTTCCTCACCTATTACATGATGATATACTCTTTACCTTTCACTCTATCATCTCAGGAAACCAGTAAGGAACATTATATGAAATTCGAGTTACTGTTAATGGCAAGAATCGACTTAATGTTTTCTGTAGTCATAAGAATAAAAGAATATTCAAAGTAATGAAAAAAATACTTGTCAGAAATAGGGCTTCCAAAAAGTATAATACTGATAAAATCTTTTATTACAAAGTAAACATCCTAATGTTAGCACACAAAAAGGCTGACTCTGGGACTCCAAAAACTGGGAAAACAATTTATCCTGCAACACATTTAAGCACTGTTACTAGTGAGAGGTCAAATGTACTTCAATACTAGTTTCAGTTTAAATATTTATTTTTATATGAAGTAACTGTGGCTAATGATTATGACTCTGAGAATACATCTGGTGGGTGAAAATACTAAATAATATCTCCAACTCTAGCCTCTAATTAGTAATTCAATTTATAAATGACACTGAAGTCCAAGTCTTACTTAAATTTCTTTTCAAAACAAATCCCAATAATTTTATTCCATAACATCACAATCTACAAGAAATCAAAAATTTTGGAGATAATTTTCTTCTTTGAAATATTTCCTTGAAAACAACCATGCAAAACTCTTTAAAATAAATAAGTTTTAGTACCTTTCTTACAGGAGGTTTTACAATGAAGTCTTCATATGCATCATCTGGTTTTACTGTTGTGAAGTTTTCATGTAAAATAGCTATTTTCTTTTCATTGTCCCAACCAGCAGGTCTAAAAGGAAAAGAAATAGGGAATGATTTGCTTTTTTGGGTATAATTTAACATATTAATGAGATTGAGAAGTACTACGTAAGATTCAAGCACACAGGACAAGGAGTTTTACCTAATGATCACTGAATACCTGATATTTTTAGGGACTAGAGAGAGTATATTTCAGTTCAATTCAACAAATATTTATATGGCACTGAGGAAATAAAGACAAAAATTGTGTTGTACCTGCCCTTGGAACTATATGAAAGCCAAGTTACTAATCAAATGGAGCTTGCACCCTCAACAGCATTTTACAGGGTAGCCTATACAATAAAGCCCATATGACCCTTTCATTTGAAATGAAAAGCCCTTGGAGATCAAGCCCAGGCTCTGCCTTTTACAGAGGATAAAACGAAGGTCCAAAGTGGTCACATGACAGTCATGGAATCCTAGGGTTGGAAGGCAGCTTGTTCCACTGTGGAACAGATTCAAGTTTTAGGCACTTTTTCCTTACATTAAACAGAAAGCCACAATTTTAAAATGCCTCCTATATCTCTGGGAGAACAAGGCTAATCATTCTTTCCTTAATAATTACAGTGATCCTATCTCCTCTAAATTTTCTCTTTTTAAGCTTAAATAACCTCAAGTTCCTTCAGCCATTCCAGCTCCCTCAAAATGAACATGGTAGGTATTTTATGTCTGATGTCACAGAAAATAATGTTATCTCCCTAAGAGGTAAACTAATGACACAATAAAAGTTTCTTCATTTCAACGATGGCAGTTAAGAAATCTAAGTTAATGCATTACAATAGACACACACTGAAGGCAACTGTACAAAAACAGCCTTAGAATTGTACATTTAAGGTGATATGTTAAGACTTGAATGTGCTGGTGTGATTTCCTATGCAGGTTATGAAATCACTCTCCCTGTTTGGAGGTTTAGGGAGACCTTTACTTATAATCTTCCAGGTTGTTGTACAGACACCACTTCTGCCATTTTAAAGAGGATGTGACTTCTTTTTGAGATGGCAGGATGGTTTGGTGGAAAGGGCACCGGATCAGCAGTCTCAGGACCCAATCATTAACTCATTAGGGGCCTCAGCTTCCTCACTTATACAAGAAGGGAGCTGGACCAGATGATTTATAACGTCTGTTCCAACTCTAAATCTTGGGTTCACATGCCTTGTTCCAAACCACACATTTCAAAGGTGTTAGGGTTGGGCACAGACTCAGGTCTGAGTCCCGAGACTGGTGCCAGTGTTATCTCCCCACTATTCCACAACTGAGAAGCATGGTGTCCTAATGATAGGGATATAGAGACCCTACAAAGAGGCAAACTGATGTGTCCACTGTGTGACCAGTCTTGGCCAATACCTTGCTGATGGGATCAAAGGTAACAATATGATAGTTCATACTTACAGTGGGCTTAATAAGTAATTTTCTTACTCATTAAACAAATGAGATGCTATTAAACAAGACCAGACAGGCCTGACTGGTCCTCTGTATTGGGGCAATTCAAAGGAGACAACTGCACTTAATAATTATTTGCCTTAGTTGTGGACCTAAAGGGATTTTATGCCTACCTTTTCTGAACAATTTTAAAAATCAGCCCAGAAGGGAATACTAGAGAATAACTAGATTAATTTCAATGGAGACTTTCAATGAACGTTTACCAAGGTCTTGCCTGGCACAGGACCTGGCATAATGCTGTGTATATAAAAGAGTTTAATGCATTTTTTGTTTTTGATAGTAGACTTCAAAGAATACAGGAAAACCAACATAACCTACTATAATGTTTGAAGTAGCCAGGTGGTCCAGTGGATAGAGAAGTAGGTTGAGTTCAAATCTAGCCTCAGACACTTCGCAGCTGTGTGACCTTAAGCAAGTCACTTTACCTCTGCCTGCCTCAGTTTCCTCAACTGTAAAATGGGGATAATAACAGCACCTATCTATAAAGTGTTTAGCACAGCTCCTGGCACAAATAAGTGCTTAATAAATGCTTATTTTCTCTCTCTAAATACAAGATACAAATCTCCAGAGGATTATTTCATTTTCATCATAAATATGCATTAAGTATCAAGTGACCCATGTATAGCCTTATTGAAGGCCCTAACGAAGTTAGGGGAAATACCTGCAAATCCTATCAAATGGGATTGTACAATCTGGAATGGACAACTCTTGAATAAAAGTGCATAAAAACAGATTAACTAATACTCAAAGAATCAAAACCACAAGTGACCCAAAGGGCAAGGGAGAGATATGGGTGGAGCTAAGCAGACTGCGGCCTACTGCTAATGATAAACTTGTGTATATGAATAATTGAATAAGAAACTCAGTAGTAACATGAGGGAAAATAGATAGGCAGTCCAAATACATTGTTCATGAAATATTAAAAGACCTAGAGAAAGGTCTCCATACTCTATGGAGAATTTATGGGAGAGAACACAGACAAGAACTGCATAAAATGAGATACACTCAAATACAGATAGAGGAGGAGACTTCAAGATGGATAAACAAAAGACACACATCATCTCCAAACTTCATTTGTACACATTCCATCTCTCACTTCTATCATCTTTTATCAGCTATCAGAAAGCAACAAAAGTTATTTAGTCCATTTTGCTCCCAAGGACAGAAGCATTTTTTTAAAAAGGCCGAGGGAAGGGAAGAATGACCACTTCATAATCAGTTTTAAAGTTCGGTGGTATAAGATCATCCTACATTGGCTTCTGTTTCATTCAGCATGTTGAAACATCAGCATATTTCAGTATCATTTTTCTATAAAAATTACATTATAATTTTATTCAACTCTACAAAGAGTCCTCACAGTCTTTTCTGGGGGGAGGGATGGAGAGTCAATAGCTATGATTTCATCAATATAGGGAACAACCAGTTAGGAAATTCCTTCAAGTGATGAAGACTAGAAGCTGTAAAAGACTGCTACCAACCATCTAGTATGCCATGTTCTCTGTGATGGACACTGCATTAAATATGTAAATAAATTAAGGGGATAAAATCATTATTACTGCATTGATGAACAATTAATAGTTCTTCAATTATTCAGTTCTTATTTTATTTCAGTTATTATCATTTTATAGTCATCCTTATACAAGTTATGGATTCTAGCCTGAGGAGGCTCATTCTCATATACCTCACTGATTTTTTAAAAATAGGAATGATTTTTGTAGATTAATCATGTATTCTATAACACTGCAAAATTTGTCCATTATTTCTGTGAATTTTCTGGCTGAGACAACTGGAGAGTCTAGCCATGCCATTATGTAACCTGCAAATAATGATATTTTGAGTTTACTTTACAATGTTAATCTTTATACTTCTTTCTGTCTCATTGTAACTATTAGCACTTCTAAAAACGTCAAAAAAAAATGGCAAAAAGTGGCATCCTTGTTTTCAGTTGGAAGACTTCTAATGGTTTTCTGTTAAAAATTATGTCAACAACTGCCTTGGGTAATCTTTTACTATGCTGAGGAAAAAAATCCTTCTTTCCTTTTTCTTTGTGATGTTTTATTTATGAATGATGTTGACTTTTTATCAAAAGCTTTTTTTCTATAGATAGGAAAGTTCTGAAAAATTTTTTTGTTAAATTTTTACATGACTATAGATTTATAGCTAGAAAGAATCTTTCTTTTTTTGAAATGAGGAACCTAACAAGGGGACATGCCTAAGGTCACACAAGTAAGGGGTAGCGTCAATATTAGAACTCAGGTCCTCTGACTGAATCAAAAACTCTTTCCACTGTACCACACTGTCTCCCCATGTTGCTCATTTTTTCTGACATTGAAACATCTTTGCACAACCTGCACCAGGTTATAAGAAACCATTTTTAAATGTACTGCTGTCCTGTGTTTGCATTTATTTAGTAAGGCTGTGTAGTGTACGGGACAGAGTGCTGGAACTGGAAATTAGAAGATTTGAGTTCATATCTCACCTCTGGCATTTACTGGCTGTGTGACTAGAGGGAATTCACTGGCACCTAAAACAACTCTCTAAGATTCTGAGCTGGACAGTGGTTGAGGCATGTGTCAGTGCACAGGGTTCCTACAGAGATTAAATCTTAGGTCCTTAACATATTATTACATAACAAGTGTTTTTAGGAAAACTGGTTAGCACTTCATAGAAGAATGGATTTAGAATTCCATCTTACACCATAAACCTCAATGAATTCCAGGTGAATGACAAACATAAAACAAAGAATAATGTTATTTATCTCAACCAATCATTGAGGAGAAAGGAATACTTCTATTAAACAAATAGAAGGAATTACTAGGGACTGACATGTTTGATTACATTAAAATTGTACAAAAAATAACTTAACAAAAGAAAAGTAGAAGAACAAAACATATTCATGGTAAACATAACATATAAAAACCTGACATCTAAAATATATAAGACATTGTTAAAAATTTACACAGGAAGCTCCCAGTCTAATAAGTGCTAAATGGTCAACGGATCTGAATAATTTTCAAAAAATGAAACATGAATTGTTAATAGTGACTTAGAAAAATATTTAACCCTACTAATAATAAAAGCGATGAAAATAAAAACTAACAGGTACCACTACACTCACCAAATTGGCAAAATTAATTAACAGCAACAAAAGTCAATGCCGGTAGGTCATGGAGAAATAGAAAGAAGTTATTTAGTACAGTTAAACAGTAAATTAGCAGCACAGCTTGGAGGGGAGAAGAGACAGCAATCTACTAGTATCCAGTAAAGCTACAAAAAATAATCTTATTCCACTCTAAAATTCCACTGCTAGGAATAAACCTTGAAAGTGGAAAGTGTTATCAAAACAAAAAATGAGATGGCTTTTCCAAAATTTTCAGTGATATCATTTGTAATTTAAAAAAAAAACTAGAAGCAACTTGAATATCTAAAAATAGAGGAACTGGTTAAATAAACTGTGGTAAATAAATATAATTGAATGATTATATAATTAAGACAGATTATGGGATAAAGAAATATGGACTTTTATGAAATACTACAAAACAAAAAAGTCAGAACAGAAGATGATAGCACAGACTAATTATGACCCCAGAAGAAGAAGTGAATAGGAACAAAAGGACAAAGAATCATGAATGTCTTTTGTGATTGAAAAGACATTCTGTACCACAGCAGTGAATTTATTTAAATGTAAACAGATGCAAGGCAAATTTAACTGGTTGTACTGATATTTACTATTGTTCTTAATGTGTCATTTTTAAGGGCACAGGTGGGCAGAAGAACAGAAAGCAAGGAGAGAGAAGTTAAGGTTTTGGCTGACCCTCAAAGTAACTTGCTCCTAAATAACATAATGCTTTTTAGTTATTAAGAACTTCACTTAGGGTATCTTATTTCATCCTTACAATAGCCTTGTGAAATGGGAAGAGCAAGAAATCAAGGAATTAAGGATCTATAAGGGCCCTGAGAGAAAAAAGCTTGTCCTTATAGGGTCACAGCACAGCAGAGCTAGGATTTGAACCTGAGTCTCCTGGATCCAAAGTATTCTTTCGATTCTACTACGTAGACTATTATATTAGCTTCATTTTACAGATAAGGAAAACGAAGGATTGAATTAAGGAAATGGCTTCAAATAGCTGTTTACCAGCCAAAAAAAAAAAGCCAGGTCTTCTGCCTCCTGGTTTAGGAGTCTGTCCATTATACAATACTGCCTCTGTGTAGCCTAATAGAAGGTAGGATAAAGATAAATCGAAAAACAGACCATTTGGGAAAATTGGGAAAACACCACACTTTATAGGATAAAAAGATTTAAAATGTAAAGAAAAAACATCTTTAAGTGAACTTACATAAAAACTGCATCCTTTTCCACCACTAAGGCAGGTGTGGTGAAGTGAAAACCGTATGTTTTATGCACAATATACTTGTACAACAAGTCAAGGTTCTTTTCTTCCTTAACTGATGTATAAATCAAGGCAGCTCCATCTATTCAATTTGCTTAAGGAAAGCTGAGTCAGTATGAATGTTTAAATCAAGCATGCACAATCAAAATCCAATTAAGAAGAAACAGGCCTAAATTATTAATCCAGATACACTCAGTGAGACAAACATTGGAACTTTTGAAACATCAAAAAGGTAAAAACAGCTATAGGATTATAGAACATTAAAACTGAAAGATCATCTAGCCCCAAACCTTTATTTTCTATGAGAAAACTAAGCTCTAGAGTGAGTCAGTCATTCACTGGGGGGGATTTGTAACTAAAATTCAGTATTTGGGATCCCAAATCAGAGTTCTTAACTATATCCTGGCTTTCAGCCCAACCATCAAAAATCTTCTCACTCAGAATCCTAATGTTAAAATAATGGAAGGTCTAGTTTCTAATGAAAAAAAATGTACATATACACTTCGATACCCCAAGGATCCATGATTTTATCCATGTGGCTGTACTATAATACAGACTGCAACACTTTTTCCAACTAAATAAACAGTCTTTGTGAGTTACCACTCGATTAAAAGCCCTTAAAATCCTTGACCTGATGGCTAACATTATGGTGAAGAGCCTTTCAACTCTTAGTTCACCAGACTAGTCCTCAGATAACCTGCCATTAAAAGAACTACCTACACTACCAGTTTGGTAGTGCCTATTCAAAAGGTGGAGCTCCAATGGGGACATCTTTCAAGAATTCAGTCACCTTTATCCCATGCTAAGGGATGTAAACAGCGCTTCAATGAAGGAATAACAAAATAATGTAAGATCTGTATATAGTTGCATATACTATATTTCTAGCAAAGAATAAACAATATAGTATAATGCTACACATAAATGATACAGCATATAGATATGTAGAGTATAAACAACCCATTATGTTTTTTTCCAAAGGAATTTCCTAACTAAGCATATTAGCTCAAATTCACTACTTCAGAAAATAATGTAAGCACTTCAGACACACATAAAACTATTCCTAGGTCACTAGACCATCCTTCATTAAATTACTAATGCAGTATATTAATTTGGCCTTGGTGGTACAAAACTACAGTAAGTATAATCTTTAAGTGAACTTTTTGCCAAAGAAATTATTTGTTCTGGCTAGATGCTGGCTGTTAATTTTTCTGACCATTTTCCTACTTTTAAATCTCATAAAATTCATCAGCAGAAAAAAGAGCCTTGCACACCACAAACACATCTGGCATATCCCTACTGACAGGATGGATTCACTGTACACACATAAATGAAAACAGTTTTCAAATTTTTGTGAAATAAGACTATCAATGTATTCCTTTTATATCTCCCTTACATACTGTAAGCTATTCAAGAAAGTATAAGCCTATTTAAGGAAGCTTTCTGGTTACAGTCCAGTCACCTAACGTGGTTCTGGGGCACCACTTGCTGGATCTGTGAAGACCCAAGGCTGGTATTAACTCAGTGTCTTATGTGTAGACTACCAAGGGATTTCCCCCTACTAAAGCCAAATATTATGTTCTGTTTGACAATAAATAGCATAGACAGCATTTAAGTAGGGCTTTCCAATTTCCAAAGCACTTGGTGTTCATTAGCTCATTAGATCCTAATAAGATCTCTCTGAAGTATACTGAGCATTATTCTGTCCATCTGAGAGATGAAGAAGCTGAAGTGAAGGGACTTGGCCACAAAAGGATAAAATGTCAGAGCTGCATTCAAGCCCAATTTTCTGACTCCAAATCCACATCTGCTGATAATTTAGACCTAAAATTAAGCTGATCTTCCCATTCTGAAAAAACGCCAAGTTTAAGTTTCAAAAGGCACCTAATTCAAATGATGTTTGGCAGCAGAACTGTCAGCTCTTTCCTTTCAGTTAATGTGTCAGATCACCCAAAGTGTACCATCAACAAGGTTGGCTTACCACAGGTATGAATGGAATGCCTCCAAATAATTCAGTATTGCAGCAGACAGCCTATTCTTAGGAGGAAACTCTAAATTCTTCTTCCTCCCTACTTTTAAGATGGTCACAGTATTTTACATTTCTAATGTGTTGTACAGTTTACCAAGTGCTCTCCTCACAGGGAGAAGACTCCTTGAGGTCTGGAGCACAGGTATTATTATTCCTATTGATGAAAAAAATCAAGGTGCAGATAAGTTACACACATAGTGCTACATTTAATTTTGGGGGATCTGCTATTTTATTGGTATAGGAGAGTCCTGATGAGGAAATTCTCTCTACCAATGAAGATCAGCATCTGTTTTGCAAATTATGCGACAAAAACATTTAATCTTATGCTATTTCAAGTTGTGCAATTTTGAAGGGTCATCTTAGAAAAAAAAAAAGGAAATAGCAAAAATGACACCACCTTAAGTGAGGATACATTGTAAGCAGAATTTACGGATGTGCGACTGAATGAAATCAAAGTGCTCTTCTCGATAGTCATGTTCTTTCTCTAGGACGCTCACTGCATCACACTAGAAGAAAACAATGAAAGTAAAGGGTTAAAAGAGTAGTTCTCAAGCTTTGCAGCCTCAAGACCCCCCTTACACTCTTCCAAGTTATTGAGGACTTCCTCCCCAAATCCTTTTGTTTATGCAGGTTATAGCAATTTATATTTACCAGACTAGTAATTAAAATATCTTAGTATTATTGTGAAAAAGGTTTTGACCTCATGGTCTCTCTAAAAGAGTCTCAGGAGCCACAGAAGTACCTGGACCACACTCTGAGAACTGCTGGGTCAACTGATTCTTACTAACATTCATCAGAATAATCCATTTCAAGTTCTATTTCCTCGTCATATCATTGACTAGCCGCTGACAAAAAATATTTACGTCACTAAAAAGCTGCTATCCACAAAGAACCAAACTAGATTAAAAGAGTAGGCTCAGCTAGATGATTTCTGAGTTTTCTTACATAAATGGGTGATATAAATGGGTGACCCTATGATCTCATCCTTAAAGTGAACTGGCACAATGAAAGAACTGATATAATGGTGGGTGGTTTTTTTTCTTTAACTACTGCATCATAAATGCTACCTTTAGGAAGTCAAAGATTCTATAGCTAAAACCAACCTCTTGCAAAAAGCTAAGCTTATATGTTCTGAGAGCCTTAAAAGAACTGCCCCTCTCCCCGCCAATATAAGAATATTTGCAGGCCCAGCACTCAGCGTAATAAGCTCTTAATAAATGTTTATTCCTTTATTACACACACACACACACACACACACAGAGGTAGGCATACTGTGTATATAAGCCTCTATGTATTTTATTTTAAAATTCCTTTAAAACTTTAAAATTACAAATTTAAAACCATACAATTCATACTAATTTTAAATAAAAATACATTCTCAAAGGTACACATCAAAGCTATTAATGTCGTGATGGCAGATTATTTCTGACATTTTACTATTTCCTTTTTTTTTGTTTAGTTTCTCATGTTTTTTAAATCCAAGATTACTGGGAGTTCTGTTGTTGTTATTGTTTTTTAAGATTGACTTTTACAGAGTTTTTCTATTTCTGCTATTACCAAAGAAGGAGAAAGTCTTTTGTACTTTTAAGGAACAGATTTCTCCCCCTCAAACTATTTTTTGAACATTCAAATTTTCATCACATTACACAAAGGAGGTTATTAACTACAAATATATTTAATTAGTATCATTTCCAATGGTCTTCCATTAAAATTTTCCTCTAATATCCTATCATGCTATGATCTTGATCTAGAATTCTCAAAGACTCAAAGATCTGGAAGGCTATACTATGTTGGAAAGGTTTTGAGTAATGGATAGCAACAGACTTTGTATTTTCTGTCTGGGCACCAGTCAAGTTAAGTATGGAGATACTCATCACTAAAGAATGAATTTTTTGACCACTGGAACTCGTGCAATTGTCCAATGCATGGAGGGGATTATGAACTACACCAGTGAAAAGAGTTAGAGGGACAAAAGCATGAATTTGTAAAGCATTGTAAAGTAAAGAATTAGTATTTCTAATTTTACTTAACTTCAGCTTTCAACTTGTGCCTGAAAAGAGTTCATTGCACAAAGTCAACCACGTTTGCCTACTAGTGAAAGGAGACCCAAGCTCATCAAGGCAATCATTCCACTTGGGTACCATTTTGTTAAGTCCTTCCTAGGCCAGATGTGCAGTGAGGGACTCACATATCCAACCCCCTATCATCAACTCCCTGACCTGCTCCAGCTCATCTAGGGGGCTTGCCACAAGAATGCTGAACTTAGCTTGGATGCCCACTGAAGCTCAGAACTACCAAGTTCAAGAAATCCACTAGTCTCAGACTCTCAACAGCAAGGACTATAGGTATACTCTACCACATCAGGTACGGTTTTGACCCTATTCTCACAGGAGTATTCTATGATTTTATATTCATCTTTTACCCTTACCTCCATTTTCTGTATATGCTTTTTAAAAACCCAAGCTGGTCAATGAGTTCCATATACACTCATACTGGTATCTTTAGACAAGTTGTCCTTTTCTTCTTAATCAGAATTGTTTCTTTTCAGATCTTCAGAATTTAATTCTTAAGCAATTTTCATCCTTCCTGGCCTGTAGAATTTCAGGCCATGGAATTCCTCTGACTCTGAAATCTATATACTTTGAAATCTATCCTTCTTACCTACCATTTTATCTTTCCAGAGCAAAGATCATGTTCCTTGGCAGAGAAGACAGAAGTAAATTAAGGGTAAAGCACATGGGCCTCATTTTCATTATCTGTTAACACTGTCCCACCTGAGTTTTTGCACACCTAACACTATTCTTAGATACTCTACTCAACTTTGGCATAAATCCTATTACCTACTCTTGCTTCCAACTTCTCTAGTCTTTAAAAAATTCTAAGTTGGTCAGTGACTTCAGTGTACATCCACATCAGTTTCCTTAGCTAACAACCTTTTATGCTGGAGTTCCTGGAATTATTTTTCCCACAAAATTTTAGTCTGATGACTCCTGTCATCTCTGAAATATCATCTGAAATTTGCTTTCCCAAAATCTATAGTGCAATGTCAAACTATGCTCTATCTTCCAAACCCAACACAAATTCTGAGATGGGGTTGTCACTCTCTCCCAAGCTTCCCATGATTTCTATTTCAGCAACTAGTTTTTCTTTATTGATGGAAATCAGGTCTAATATAACAGTTCCTTTAGTTGCTTCCTACCCCTTTAGGAGTAGGAAATTATTATTTTAGTAAGTCAGCTAATGTGCTTTAAGCAGAGAGGATATCCTAACAGATATCCACATAACGGAAGTCTCCTATCATTACTATATCATGCCTCTTGGTACCAGGGTGACTTTATGTTTTCCAACTCTTCATCTATTTCCTCTGTCTAGGTGTTCTTATAATTTGGCTTTTAAATTCTTTACTCAACTTAAACTACTTCCTACAAAATTCCCAATTATCTTACTGCCAAATCCATTGTACTTTTTTCAATCATATTCCTTGAACTGTCTGCAGCATCCAACCACCCTCTCCTCCTGGATACACTTTCCTGTCTAGGTTTTCATGACGCTGTTTTCTCTTAGGTCACATCCTGATTGCTTCTTCTCAGTTTCCTTTGCTGGTTCATTATCTGTGTCCTGTGCCTTAACTCTTTGTGCACTCCAGGGCTCCATTGTGGGCCTTCTTCTTTCTAAAAAATCCTCTCTTGAGCAATTTACCAGCTTCCCTGAGTTAAATTATCATCTCTCTGCAGATTATTTTCAGATAATATTTATGTATGCCCTAATGCTGCTCTCCTCTGAAGCGATTACTTTTTGATCAACAGCAATAATGAAAATTTCAACTAGACTAAGGCCTTCAGTCTCTCACTGAAGACTTCATAACCCTTAGCAATGTTTTCCAGATCCCTTCTGGCAGTATCACTTGTGACCATTTAAATGACCAGAAGTGGGAAGCACCCATCAGTTAGACTAGTCAATCACATTCTGCATTATAGTTTGACTCTCTGTTGCTGTTTCCAAATAAAATGGAGCCACTTCTGGGCCTCTCAGCAGGGAGTCGCCAATCACCACTACTCTTTTTGCTCAGGCCCCTTTCCTCCCTGGGGGCAGCTAGGTGGCACAGTGAATAGGGCTCTGGCCTTGGAGTCAGGAGGATCCGAGTTCAAATCCAGCCTCAGACACTTGACCCTTACTACCTATGTGATGCTGGGCAAGTCACTTAACCCCAATTGCCTCACCAAGAAAAAAAAAAGGGACCCCTGGATTTGGAGTCAGAAGACCTGAGCTCATTCCAGCCACATACACTAGCTGTGAACTTGACAAGTCACTTAACCTCCATCTGCTTCAGTTTCCTCACCTATCTATAAAATGCAGATAATAAAAGTTCCTACTCCCAGGATTCCTGTGTTGATGAGATATTTCTGAGACTCTCTGCAAACCTTAAAGTGCTATACATGCTACTATAATATTATTATCGCTATTATATGATCTTTCACTTGATAGCAACTGTGTATCTACATCATTATTCTGAGGAAAAGAAACAGCTGCTTCCTCCTCTGAAGTTTTAGCTTCTACCTCTCTGGAAAGAAAGGTCTTTTGTCAAACATGCAAACAGATGCCTAGCTACACAAACACACTGCCTATGAACTCTTATCTCACCATGAGAGGGTCAGAATTTAGCCATGTGGTTGGATCTCTGTAGCAGCTTTCATGATTTTAAAAGTTCTGATCTGAACTGTGTCTAAAAGAAAACTTCTATCCATAAGATCAACAACCCACTTGAGTATTTTACACATGGTGATTTCACAATCTAATAAATACATCAATTTTTATTTTAAACCTTAAAGTGCCATATTAGCACAAACTATTATAATTTCATTCTGTTTGAAAATTTGTGTTCTTTTCCTTAAGTTGAGTATCTTCTATGTTTGGTTTCTGTTTAATTCATAACATACTATTTCTAGCAGAGTTTTTTTCTTAACTCGTAAGTTTTTTGGGGGCTACAAGGTCAGAGAGACAGTAGTAAGGGAGACAGACAAGACATATTCTACCACTATGAAACATTCACGGATACTTACTCAATTTCACATGAGTTTCAGTGATGACTAATATACGCAAGCTTAAACTTGCTGAACTGGAACCCTCCAAGGAGGCAGAATCACTTTCTATACTCCCCTTTTAGATGTCAGAGGCAAGAAAGAACTGAAGTTCTAAGAATCTTTCCCAGGCAGGAACATTCTGCCTTCATTGGACCTTTCATACCATCTTGTTTCTATCTGTCTATTAAATTACTGGTGTTCCTGTTGTATCTTCCCGGCTATACTTTAAGCTTTTTAAGTATAGGCACAAGGCCTTGCATCAAGTTGATGCTAAAAAAATTTCTGATAGCTGTCACATGAATATGGAATTACTTATAACACTTCAACGGATCTGTGATTTGTCAGTAATGAAAGTATATCCCCTTCTTTGAAAGCTGTCAAGGACAACTGTACTTTCTGTAGCAACCCCAGTGATAAATATCTCAAATCTTAGCAGGGCTGGTTTTTAAATAACATGTCCTATAGGACACACATTCATCACAGACCTGCACTACAGCCCATTCCCTCTTGGCAGGGTTCTCTAGAATGTGCACTCTTGACAAGGCCCTCGGGATCCGCATCATTCCATAGTGAAGCTTCAAGGAGGAGCGAGTGCAGACAGGTTGCAGTGAAGAAGAGCATTAACACTAAATAGTTAAATTAATAGGAGACTTCATATTATAAAAGTATTCTTCATCTGAAATGGGGATTCCCTAAAGGGGAGTTGCCTTGATGAATTTAAAATATTTAAAACAGAATTTGATTTACGTAAGATTTTTTAGGAGAATATCTGCTGAATAAAATGAAGTCTGCCAGGACTCATAAGTAAATCAAGCAAGTAGCATAAACCACTGCATGCAAAGAAACAAAAACAGTTTTCAATACTTAAATCAACTCCTGTTGGGTTTAAAATTATGTAGATATCTAATAATAGAACTGTCCAATTGTAGAACTGCAGAATGGAATACTCCAAACAAAGATTCCAAATTCTACACTGTAGGAGTTTAAATGAAGACTTAATGATCACTTGTCAGGGATATTGTAAAATGTGATTCATAATTTGAACAGGGTTCAGACTGAGGTTCCATCCACCTGTGTCAAATTAAATTGGAATTTTTAACTCCATAACTGACCTATTTTCTCAGTTGCAAGTACAAACATACTGAAAACTTAAAATATTCTTGAGTATTATTATTACTATAATATTATCAGTGGCTCACATTTTTGACTTTTAAGGTTTACAAAATATTTTATTTACAAAAAATCCGGTGAAGTTCCATGGTGCAAATATTAACTCCATTTTACAGATGAGGAAACCAAGGATCAGAGAGACAAAGTGAATTGTTCACAATCACACACACAATTAAGGATCAAAGGCTAGGTCTTGAATCTAAGCCTCCTGACTCCATGGCTCTTTCTATTGCTCACACAAAACTAAAATCCAATAGCTTGCTACCTGCAAAAACAGCAAAGAACTGAAGCCAAAGAAAGAATTGGTCCTATCCTCTAACACTTTGACCATATTGCTAAATGACTATCTGCCTCCACTTCCTCTCCTCTCAATCACTTCTCAATCCTTTGCAATCTAGCTCTCAACCTCAATACTCAAATGAAACAGCTCTCTCCAAAATTACTAATGATCCCCTAATTGTTGAATCCAAAGATCTGTACTTAGTCCTTCATCATTCTTGACCTCTCTGCAGCAGCATATGACACTGGACAACAGTGACCTCCTGTAACACCCTTCTGCTTTGGTTTTTTCCCTACCTACCTGACCATTCCTCAGTCTCCTTTGACAGTTCTTTACCCATTATCATGGCCCCTAACCATGGTCATCTTCCAAGGCCCAGTCCTGATCCCTCCTTCTCTCTCTCTATGCTCTGTCATTAGTGACCTCATCAACTCTTATAGGTTTAATCATCAATTTTACACAGAAAACTCCTGGATCTTTATACCCAGCCTCAGACTCTCTCCTCAACTCCACTCCCACATCATTAACTACCTATTGGACATGTCAAACTGGAAGCCCCATAAACATCTCAATCTCAGTGAGTTTAACTCATCACTTTTCCATAAAACTCTGCCTTCTACCAAACTTCTCTCATTTCTCTTAATGACACCATTACTTCTTCCAGTTTTAAAGGTTCATTACCTTGGACTTCCTAGAATCCTCAGTCTTTCTCATGTCACAGAGCCATTGAGTTGCTAAATCTTATCATTTTTACCTCCACCTCTCTTGCAATTGACCAGTTCTCTACTTGCATGGCAATGCCCTACATCAGGCGACCATTGCCTCTGGACTATTCCAATAGCCTCCTAATTGGTCCACTGCCTCAAATTTCCTTCCTGTGCATTCCATCTTCACACAGCTTTCAGAGCCTTGTCACTCCTCTAGTCAAACTCCAGTGACTACCTAGTAACTGTAGGATCAAATAAAAACTCCTCCCTTCAGCACTTAAAGCCCTTTAACAACCGGCCCAAACAATTTTAAAAGCCTTATCATACATTTCTTTTCTTGGGGCAGTAGATAAAGCACCAGCCCTGGAGTCAGAAGGACCTAAGTTCAAATCCAGCCTCAGCTGCTTGACACTTACTAGCTGTGTGACGTTGGGCAAACTTAACCCCACTGCCTAACCAAAAAAACCCCCAAACAATACATTTCTTTTCTTTCTGCATGTGACAGTTCAGCTGAACCTGACTTACTGTTCCCCACACACAGCACTGCATCTCATCTCTGTACCTCTGCACTGAAGGAACTCCACCCCTGTAACACTTTCTCTCAACTCCATGTCTTAAAATTCCTTGTTTCCTTCAAGACTCAGCTCAAGCACCACCTTCTACCTGTAGCTTTCCTGATCCCTCCAGTTCCTTGCGTTCTGTCTCTTAAAATAACCTTGTATATATTTTGTATATACTTATTTGTGTACATGTTATGTCCCAGGACAGAATGTAAGCTTCTTGAGGGAAGGAATTTCATTTTATCTGTCTTTGTATCCCTAGCACGGTGTCTAACACAGAAGGCATTTAATAAATGCTTGATGGATCAGTCACTTTAAGGTGCAAATAATCTGTTTTTAGTTCAAGGCTATTGGTATGATTCACTGAATGAAAATGAATATTTCATCCACCCACTCAACAACTATTTCTTAAACACCTGCCACATGTGAGCACTGTGTTTAGAATGAAAAGATAAAAATAGAGGGGAAAAAAATGTGGTTCCTGCCCTTAAGAAATTTACCTTCTACCAGGTGAACTACACTAAGGATATGTGAAAATACTCCAGGACTCCATTTCATTAGTAACATCAACTTGAGCAGGAGTAGTTTATAGTAGAACAGCATTTTACAAATGACTTTCAAACAAATTCTGTCACCAGTTCTTTATAACAACTCTACTGTGAAAGTGGAAAAGCCTGCCTTATTTTAAAGATGAGGACTAAGGCTCAGAGAAGTTAGCTGGATTACTAATGTCACAGAGCTAGTCAGTGGCAAAGTGAGGACCCAAAGGCACAGAACTCCCAGGTCATTTAGTGCAACCCCTAGTACCTCTACAATCCATCTCCCAAATGGCTACCCAACTGTCACTTGCACACTTCCTGTGACAAGGAACTCACCAGCTCCTGAAACAATCCATTCTAGTTTGCCACGGCTCTGTTAAGAAATTTTTTGTTATATTAAACTGAAAATCACTTTTCTGTAACTTCTGGTCATCGGTCCCAGCTCTGTCTCAGTACTTTTTCCACTTACAGTTGTTCATCTACTTATACCGTAGTTCCAAATTAAAATGGACCCACTGTCAGGGAGCATGTTTTCATTGGAGAACCACAAAAAGCAAGTAACACTTTAATCTAGCCGGGCTCACCTTTGTGCAAACTACCAAGACTGGGATCCCAAGATGATGTGTGAGCATGTTGTCTCCAAGCGGCAAGGTGACATCTTCACCACCTTGGGCTGAAGCTGGAGGTCCTCTCCTCTGTGGTGAGCCTTGATAGCCTTCCTCAGGTTCCACATACTCTTGAAAATCCTTCACAACTATAAAAGACAACACATTTCTAACAATATATTAGATGCTTTTTAAGTAGCAAGCCCTGGAAAACTGAACCACCCGTCCATTCCTTCCCGCCTCCCAAGAAAATCAAAGATTAAAGGATGTCAATGAAGACTACAAATTTTAAATAATCCAGTTAGAACTCTATCATTTTGGAGCAACACAGGCATTTTCCCAGACATCCTCATTGTAACTCTTTCTGAATTCTTAAAAATACACTATCCAGTGGTTTCCCATAGCACGTACTTTAAAAGCCAATGCATCTCAAGATAAATTTAGATAGTTTAGACTTTAAAAATATCATGGATAATTAAACTGCTTATAAAGTATGTGAATCTTTAAAATTACTAAAACACCAGAAACTCATTTAAGCCATACCAGTGAGAAGTTCTACATAAAGGGAAATAGAATAAAACACTTCCAAACTGCTATGGTATTTACATACTATAGAACAGAGCTGAATGTGCCCATATATCATCCCTATTACACATAAATAATGAGGATGGGAAACTCTTAGCTCAGAATACTCAGCTTCCTCACCTGTCAACTGAGAGGGCTGGACAGTGCCTCCTTCTAGCCCTAAATCCTAAGATCTACTGAGGCCCATCATTTAAAGCACTGTTCTTTGTAATTTGCAGTAACCATATAATAAGCTGTCCTGTCATAAATATAGCAATTCCTTAGAGTAATTTAACTAAAGAGAGAGAGTGTTGTGCAGAATTCTCCACTCTCTCTTCCACAACAGCTTATTCAACAAGGGTAGAATTTTCTGAAATAGTTGTTGTGGGGAATCAAACCTATGATCTCAGCCTCATTAGCAGTGCTTTAACCAAAAGAACTTACCAGCCACAGACAGGAAACAGTATCATTGCTTAGGCTCAGAGCTCCTTGATCTAAATACGGGACAAAGGAAGTTGGAAAAGGATGCACACAACATCATAAAACTTTGGCCTCAGAAGGAACACCAGAGATCATTCAGCTCAAAGCCCCCACAGTACAGAAGAACTAAGGCTGGAAGAGGGGAACTGACTTAGCCAAAGTAACACAAACCAGAACTAATCTAGCTCTCAACCACCAACCCTATGCTCTTTCTACTACACCATACTCCTTCCCTCTCGTGCCACAAAGAGAAGCTGCCAAATCACCCTTTCTTTCCATGTTCAACCAAAAAAGAGATCTGGATCTACAGAAGCCTCTAATCTTTTACCTTCACAAATGTCACCGGCTCCAGAGCTAGAAGTGACATTAAAGATAATTTAGTCTAATCCCTTCATTTTTCACATGAAGTAACAAAGTGAGAAAATAAAATCAAACAACTAATTTCAAAAGGGCCCCAAAACAGATATTACTCCTTATCCATGGGACAGATTTTTTAAGACTTAAAAATGCCAATGTGACAAACTCTTTTCAGCCATTATTATTGCATCAGCTTTGGATAGTTTAATTTGCAGAACACTGCTATACACATGAAGTTAGGGGGCTGATCAAATGTAAACTATTTCCAAATTGATGAAGCCCTCTGAACAGCACTGCGAATAGTGTTTTGTCTTTATACCTAATTTCTAATAAATTTCATTCAATGGATTTAAACTTCTAATATAAATGACCCAAGAAATATTCATGGCTGCATTGTGACCTGAAAAGCAGTGGTTTGACCCAAACCTGAAACACAATGTGTTCTAATGTGTCCATTACAATTATTAACAAGCACCAAGGAATGACTGGCCTTTTTGCTCCTTCTAAAAACATAACAAAACAGCAACTACAACAGACAGTATTAAAAAAAATTGTCCTTTAGAATACTGAACAGCAAGCAACTTATCTTTGATTTCGTGATGAAAATATTAAATGAAGGAAATTTCAATCTTGAAGAAAATTACATGTTATAACAATAATTTGCAGGTAAAGTGTTAAATATAAGGTGGTGGTGATATTACACCATGACTGTTTTATGTTTGTCTAGCATTTTCAAAGCATAGTCATATGTGTTTTTCCTTCACGACAAACACATAAAGCGACCAAAGAAAAACATTATCATCCCGGCTTATGGAGAGGCAGCATGGTAGCGTGGATAGAGAGATGACAGCTCAAGCCCTGACTCTGACATACACTGGCTATGTAACCCTGGGCCAATCACTTAACTTCCCAGGGCTTGAAGCATCTAAGGCAATAAGTTTCAGAAAAGAGGTCAACTAGCATTGGTAGAAGCAGCCTAGACTAGAACTGAGGTCTTGACCCTTAACCTTGTCCTCTTGCCCTCGAACTACAATGCCTCTTACTTGAGTAAGGCTCCCTCCTCTCAGATTATCACTATGCTTAACTGAAGCAATTTATCAAACTGGTGAAACAAATACATTTACTCTAGTTCTGTGTAATGTACTACAGAGAACTCAACAGAAACAGACCCTGCCAGGTTACAATCACTAGTTATTATCATCACAGGAAACAAACAGGTTTTGCAAAAACACTTCAAAAACATCAGATTACCTTTAAACATTTTATGACTGGTTTTTCAGAATGAGTAAGGTCTATAAGTGTGCAACATAGTATCATTTTAAGTTCATATTAAGATAGAAATCAGAATCAGCACTACCTCCAAACTAGAGCAGCAATAAACTTAAGGATGAACACCAAAGATAGGCTAGCCCACTCCACTCATCACAGCTTATACAATCTAAGTTTACAAAACAGTTCAGTACAGCTACAGCTTTGACGGATCATTTCTAGAATGAGATGGGATGTGAGGCAAACACACTTCCAAAAATGAGACTGCTTAAGAGTATAACTGAAAATGCTTCCATTATCTACTGGTTCATATTAATCAGAAGTCAGAATAACTAATTTCAGTCCTATTCAAATAACACCAAACCACTGTTTATACCAGAGTAAGCAAAACTCCTGAAACACTTTGGACAGTGTTTTGGAATCCTATGTTGGAAGAAATTCTAATTAAATAATTTTGTGGTAACTTGGTGAAGCACCAGCAATTTTGAACATTTTATGGGCTTTAATCAAGCTGGGTTCTCTGATCCTCAGAACGTTTCCATTGCTGTCTGGAGCCTTAGCAGTTTAAATGAGAAGAATCTCAGCTATATTTCAGTTTTACAAGTCTACATATTTCAGACAACTGTGTTTAACGGTGCAACACAACTAACAAGGAACACCAGAAATCCCACTTCGAACTTTTTTTTCACATGAAGAACCTTTTTAACTCATGTTCTACCTAAATTAAACCCTGTACATTCTGCATCCTGCCAAAGAAGCACACATGAAATTAAATGTCATCTAGTAATTGGGGCACCACAGCCTCACACCTAGTCCCTAGGCAACCAACAAATTCCTGGAGTTGGGCTGTGACCTCTTCAAGTCCTTTCTAGTTCTCTCTTCAAGTCCTTTCTAGTTCTAAAATTCTAAGATTCTATGAATATTTTCCTCTTCTTTCTGCCTATTCAATGTCCTTGTCTACTGGCTAATTCATAAAGCGCAAGACTATGTCAGGCCTATATCATAGCAACACCAAGGGCTACTATCTCCAGAATCAAATATAAAATCTCTTTGACTTTTAAAGCTCTTCATAACCTGGCCTCTTCCTATCTTTCTAATTTTCTTATATCCTACTCACTTCATGGATTCTATGATTCCAGGGACACTGGCCTCCTTCCTGTTCTTCCCACAAGACACTCCATCTCCCAACTCTGGGCTTTTCAGTGGCTGCCCCCTTAGCCTGGAACTCTCTCCCTCATCCCTACCTTCTAACTTCCCTGGCTTCACGTCTCAGCTAAAATCCCATGTTCTACAGGAGCCTTTCCTGATCCACCCCCACTTAACATTAGTGCCTTCCCTGTTTACTATCTCAAATTTATCCTAAATACATCTTACTTGCACATAACTGTTGGCCTGTTATCTCTCCCATTAGACTGTGAACTCCTTGAAAGAATGGTCTATTTTTGCCTTTCTTTGTATCTCTAGTGTTTAGCACAGAGCATGGCACAAAGAAAGTACTTAATTGCTTGGTAACTTGTCTCCAAACAAGCCTATGTTTACTCCACCCTAAAAAAAACCCCTTACTGATTCACTCAACCCCCACTACCTATCATTCCATATCTCTCCTCTCTTTTGGCGTTAAACTCCTTGGGAAGGCTGCCTACAGTTCACGTTACAATCTGTGCCTTTGCTGCCTGTCACCTCACTCTTTAATTCTCTATAGTCTGGCTTCTGCCCTCATCATCCAACTGAAACTGCTCTCTCCAAAGTTTCCAATAAACTCTTAGTTGCCAAATCCAATGGCCTTTTCTCTATCTTCATTCTCCTCAACCTCTCTGCAGCCTCTAACATTATCAATCACACTCCTCTCTAGGTTTTCATGACATTTCCAGGTTCTCTAAGCAACTAGGCAGCACAGTGAAGTTGAGTCTGGAGTCAGAAAGACCTGAGTTCAAAACTGGCCTCTCATACACACAAACTAATTGTGTAACCCTGGACAAGTCACTTAATATATCTGCTCAGTTTCCTCAACTGTAAAATGGGGGTAATCATAGTACCTACCTCCCAAGGTGGTCGTGAGGATCAAATGAGGTATTTGTAAAGCACTTAGCACAGTGCCTGGCACACGGTGGACACTTAATAAATGCTTGGTTTCCTTCCTTCTTTCTACCTACCTTGGGCTTCTCCTTAAGTCTCCTTTGCTAGATCTCAGTCCAAGTTGCATCTGCCTACAGAGGGTATGCCTCAAAGCCCAGTCCTGAGCCCTCTTCTCAGGTCCCTCTACACTATTTCACTTGGTGATTACATTGGCTCCCATGGATTCAACTATCATCTCTATGCTAATGGTTCTCAGAACTATTTACCCACTCCTAACCTCTCTCCTGACCTCCAGTCTGGTATTTCTAATTGCACACTGGACATCTTAAATTGGATGTATTGTAGACAACTTAAACTCAACAAGTCTAAAACGGAACTCAAACTTTCTCCCCAAGCCCGTCTGTTTTCCTAATTTCCTTATTATTGGTTGAGGGTACCACTATCCTTCCACTCAGGCTCAAAACCTCAGTGTCATCCTTGACTCCTCACTTCCTTTCATCCCCCCATATCCAACAGGTTGGATTTCACCTCTGTGACATCTCTGGTATACACCACCCTCCACACTGTAGAAGACCCTCATTATCTTATGCCTGGGCTACTGCTTAGCCTGCTGGTTGGTCTCTCTGCCTTAAATGTCTTCCTACTCCAATCTATCTGCCAAAAAGATCTTCCCAAAGTGCAGGCTTGACCATACTGCCTCCCCCCCCAACCCCCCCGCCAATAAATTCCAGTGGCTTCTTACCATCTGTAGGCCCAAATATAAAATCTTGTTTGATATACGAAGCCCTTCATAACCTTTCCAGTTTTCTCATACCTTACACAGCCCTAGGTACTCTGACCCAGTGCCACTAGCCTCCATGCTGTTCCTCAAACAAGACTCCACATCTCCTAACTCTGGATGTTCTTTTCACTGGGTGTTCTCCATGCCTGGAAATCTCTCCTTCCTCCTCTCTACCTCCCAGCTTCTGTGGGTTGAAGTCCTAGCTAAAAGCCCACCTCTTTACAACCTCACCTCCACCTCCAACCCTGCCCCACTCTCTGCCCCCTTAATGCTAGTGCTTTCCGTCTCTTTATTCTCTCCAATTTATCCTCCATATATCATATTTTTACACAGTTGTTTACATATTTTCTCCTTCATTAGGCTGAGAGCTGAGAGAAGGATCTACTTTTGCTTTTTGTTGGGGTTTTTTTTGTATTCCCAGCACTCAGCAAAATGCCTGGTACACTACAGGCATTTAATAAATGCTGCTGACGACTATTCAAAATTGTCTCTATTCTTTAAGGCCTAGCCTGAATTCCACCTCCCCTATGAAGCTTCTTCTCAACTTTTTTTCCATTGCATTCTTAAAAGTGTCTATAGTCTATAACATATTAAACAGTATTTTTCATACACTTGTGTATTTCCCCTATGATCTTGCTCCTTGGGAGATAGAAATCCACATGTCTTCATATTATTATCACCTCCACTTTAAAGGTATGTCAACTATACAACAAGTCTCAGAGGTTCCAAGTTAAGCCCTTGGTTCCCCTGACATATATTATGGCTTTAGGTCACTTCTAAGTTTCAAGTAGGGTTAACAGGTAAACCTTCCAAAACATTTATTTAAAAGGTACTGCCTAGTTCTACTGCTCTGGGTTAAGGCAAGGGACCACCCAAAATATACAGCTGAGAAGGAAACAGTTCTTTAATGTAAATACTATCTTTCAATCACTTTTCCTTTAAAAATAGAAAAACTCAAGGATGAATAATGAAGACACTATAGGATAATTCAACATCTGGAAGAATCTCACTATCAAGATGAAACAGCCAGCTGACAGAATTAAAGCTTGTCCTGGGAAAACATCTAATTCAAACCTTTCATTTTAAAGTTGAGGGAACTGAGACTCAGAGAGGTTAAGTAATTTTTTCAAGACTGTTCAGGTGAGTCTCAGGTCTTCTTTAGCCTAACCACATTATTAACATTCAACTTAAGACTAACAGACACTTTAGCACACAAGGCAAAAAAAAAACTGTCATCCCAAATGTCTAATACATTGGAGGTAGGGATGAGAACAAAGGTTAACCAGAATTAGAATAAATTTACAGCACTAGACAGGACAAAAAAACCCCAACATTATAAACATTTTGCACATAGATATAGTACATGAGAGCTGGAAAGGACCTTAAAAATCACCTAGTCTGATCCCATCATTTTGCAGAGAAAGAGAATGAGGCCCAGGAGGGTAGGGAGGAAAAGTAGCATGCCCAAGGTCACATGGCTAGTAAGTGGCAAAGCAAACCCAGGTCTCCTAAATCTTACTCTGGGGATCTTGCTGCCTCCAAGCTCGATTGAAGCTGTTTTAAAAAACAAAACAAAACAAACCCAAAAATGAAATATCTCTGAAATGGTATCACACTATAAAAATGAGCTCAGAATAATCAATTTATCACAATCAATCTACTTCTCTACATACCATACTATATGTGTATAGGCCACAAAATTGCCCCATGTTCAGAAGCAGTTTGCTTTAGTGCCTAATCCTGGGGAAAAAACCCTCATTATCTGTAAAGGTCAGTTGTTTGATACTGGCTAGCTGAACTGCATAGCAATCAATGCAGCAAATACAGCTGAGAAAATTTAGAAAAGACAGGTTGAAAGGATCAACTATAAAGCTCCCAGTGTCTGTGGGATACTTGAACTGACATGTGACAGAAGGCACAGGCAAAATGAAGAGCGTGACAGGAAGACATGGGATGTGGAATTTGATTTGAAAAGCAAACCTAATATTCAGGAACCATCATTCAGAGTGTCGGTTATAATGCACGAGTTAGCAATGTGAGGATACTGTATACCATGCCCAAAAGGGCCCTCATTAATTCATTGGAGTGATGTCATACTGTGGAAATAAGCCAGTTTGAGCAGAGCCAACCCTTGTCAAAGACTGTTGCTGCTGCCGCGGCCACTCCTACTCTTCTGGCAAGTGGTCAGATGCTCATGTAACTGCACAGAAGCAAGGGAGAGGAAAAACAATCTTCTGAACCACATATATTTTAAAACAAAAAACAATCCCTCCCCTCCCAAACCTCCTTCAAACTTGAAAATCAAGTCCTTTATTTTAAAAGAACTCTTATTTTAATAAACACAACACAGCCTACCACTTAACAACAGAAAATGGACTTTTAAATGCTCTAATTTTTAATTTAAGCACTTGAATTCAGAAACAAACCACTCTAGTACTGGCTTATGTCTGAATTCTCTGACAGAATTATGCTTTCAATTTTTATTTGTTCTCCTACAGGTTAATGAAGGAAACTAGCTTTCTCCTGCAAAATAATGTAACTCCTACAGGGAGCTTCAGGCTATACAGACCACAGACTCAAAAACTGTCAGAACTATATGGGACCTTAGCAATCACCTTGCCTGGAGATCATCCTTACTTTACAGGAGAGGAAATATAGCTCCTCAAGGGGAAGTGACTATCTCGTAAAGCTATTACATGTTAGAGTCAAGACTTGGACCCAAGTTTCCTAACTGCAAAACCAGAGCTGTTCCCACAACAAACTGGGGCCTGCTAAAGAGTTCTGAGGCCACACATGAAAACAACAAAAAAGACCCAAATATCAGATCATGTTTAAATAAGGAAAGCCTTATTGTACATCCTTCCCTTTGAAAACCACACACACAAAAATTACCTTAATCTTCTGGTCAACGGGGGAAAGCAAATACCAATCAAACTCACTTCATACAGAGAAACCAACTGGGGATATGAGGAGAGCCTTGAAAATGTTCTGAGACCCTAAGATGAAAAGGGCTGAACTCTCAAAGAGCATTTTCAATGCAATCATTCATTCAACAAACTTTTTATTAAGCACCTTCTACGTGCTTACTTCTTCAAAGAGAGGATCTTGAATGTCCAAAATATTACCCACCTATTAAAATGAGGGAGGCAGGCGCCACTCAAAGAATCTACCATGAAAACAGGCTCATAATTACACTCTCATGCAGAAGAATGTATTGTACTTACACTTTTGCTCCATGTCTCTCATTTCTTCTGGTGGGATTTTCATTTTATCAATGTGCTCCCGCAAAACACTGGCCCATTTCTGTAACGATTCCATAACAGTCCAAGGCCTAGACATATCTGCTACAAAGATGACTAAAGTCTCTTGCAGGGTTTCTGCAGAAACAGCAAACTTCAACAGGCCTTTATGGTACAAATCTCCATCCAGGATCCACACATTGCAACGTGTCTGATCTGTGGAGAAAAGAAAATAATGTAACCATTCAACACTCAAGTTTGCTGCCACAGCAACTGCATCCTAGAAAAGTATCAGTAGATCTTTAATGTCAAAATAAAGTCAATATAAATAAAGTCAAAATAAAAAAAAACACCTATAACTAGAAATGTTTTATTTACAAAGGAAAATATACCCAAGAATCATGTGCATATAAACTGCTTTATCCCTTAAAGAAGTGATGAGAGGATATTTACAAATATCCTCAAAGCAACCTGAAGTGTGTACAACCTACAAAAAAAAATACTATGCCCTTTGCTACTTTTATTGGAAATCAAGGTTTTGTTACAAGAGAAGGCTATATTTGGAAATAAATGTGGTATAAAAACAAGATATCAAGAAAAAAAAGGAACGTTACTTTTTTTTCTTCCAAATTTAAAAGGTAGAATTTGAGGAATGAGATGACAAATGCTGACATATTAAGGTTGTACAATTTCATACATTACTTGATCTGCATACAAGTCCCGTTAGGCAATTACTAGAGGCCCATTTTACAGATGAAGAAACTGAGACTCAAAATCTTTCACTGCCAGGAAGCAACAAGAAATCGATATGCTACTATTTGCCAATAGTGCCATTTTCATTAAATAAAATTGAAATTTGAGACTCCCACATTAACACTTTCTTTAAACCTCATAATTATGGGCTATTTTAGAAAGTGCTTTTCACATAACATTTTATTTAACTCTCACCTCAACTCTGGGGCTTCTTACCCTCTTTTTGGATGAAGCAGCTAAGGTAGAGAGAAGGTAAAGAATTCTTTGGCATGAAGCATCAGGATGCATACAGTGCATCCTCTTCCCTTGAAACAGAAGCTTCTTGAAGACAGGAGCCTCTTTTTGTCACTGCATCTTCAGCATTTTGCACAAATTGGGCACTTAATGTTTTCTAAATGGAAATTGGCACCCTTGTCCCACCCCTATACCCACCCCCTACTCCCAGTTTGCAAATCTTACATTAGAAATGCCAGCCACGATTATTACTGTTATTATTACTAATGGCAATCATCAGGCCTGGTGGACAGCTCCATGGCTTGTTCCTTTCATGTTCCACTCTGTCAAGCCCAGGGGCCTTGCTCTCCCCTTTTCACAGCAGGCCCCTTCAGCGCCCACCTCGAGTATCACCTGTGTCTGCCCAACACCTCTCCTCATGCCCCCTTTCCTTCTGCCATTATTTTACCCCTTTCTTCACCTCAGATTATTTTGTATTTACCTGTTATTTACTTTTTGTCGGACATGTTGTTTACCTTCAGTAAAACATAAGTTCTTTGGGAAAAGGGACCATTTCATTTTTGCCTTTCTATGACCAGTGACTGGCACACAGGGCCAGGTAGAGAGAAGGTATTTATCAAATGTTCTGTAAATTAAATTAAATTAAATAATCAGCTCTTAGTTCACACATCCCCAAATGAGTAGCCCAAGAAATGCCTCTGGTGACAATCTTTCCAAATTTGTCAAGGGTTATTTTTGGTGGGGGGAGTTATTTTTGGGAGACTAACAGTTCTTATCATATTACAGTCACCTTCAAATGCATACATTTTAAATCAAAACCATTTGATTATATGCCTATATCACTAAAGCAAAAAAGGTTAAAGAGAAATGAGATTTATTTGCTTCTAGTCAGAATAGTGCTTCAAGTAAAGACAAACTGACATCTAATTATATACCTCAAAATATCTATATTAAACATTTATTATAACTCACATTTACAACAGCTAATTTTTTTTAAAGCCTTTTCTCACAACAACTTATATGGTAGGTAGTGAACAGTATTATCCCCATTTAACATATGAGGAAAACAAAGCTCAAGGAAGGAAAAAATGTTTGCCCTAAGGTGAACAGCTAGTAAGCAAACCAAACCCGAGCTTCCCTGGTTCTAAGCCCCAAATTTTTTTTTTATATATATATATATATATATATATATTACACCAGGCTGCCTATAAAATTAGCTATTATGGCAACCTCAAAGAAATCTGAATGAGGAGTTACAACACTACTTCTACTTAGAGGAAGGAGGGTGCAGAGGAAAGACACAGGTAAGTAGATTGGATTCTAGTCCTCACTAACTTGCTGTGTGACCCAGGTAGGTCACCTAACCTCTCTATAAAATGAAAATAAAACCTCCCTCAAAGGACTGCAGTCATAAGTATCACATGAGGTAAGCCATGTAAAAGCCCTCTGCAGTTATAACGTCCTATAAGTATAAACATTATTAATGGTATAAGGACATGAAAATGCTTTGGCACAAAATGAACTCTGACTACTCCACAATGAAGACTATCCACGCTACGTATTTGAGAAATAAGGAAAAAAAGTTAAGAAACAAAAAGCGAAGGACAAAGTTTTCATTTGTTCAAAGTCTGCCCCATCTCATCTGCGGCTGCAATGTGGATATTCTTCATATTACCTGAAGAGTCTCTAAGAGTGGGCAAACAAATCTGTTCTTGAGTCTTGCAGGAAAGGAGGGTCTGAAAGGACTTTAGCACCGAAGCCAATGTAACTACCCCCAACATTCCGATTTATGTGCTCAAAAGGCAAATCTAAAACATGCTGAAGAAAGCTAGAAAATTCAAAGGGTGAGAGTTACAAGTTTAAACACTGATTTTAAAAAATATATTAAAAAGTAAAGGGAGCGTAGTATAGTAGAGAAACAACTGGGAACCAAGAAGACCTGGATTTGAGTCTAGCCGCTGAACTAATAATGGCTGTTGTTTGTTGTTTCAGGCATGTCTGATTCTTGTGACCCCATTTGGGGTTTTCTTGGCAAAGATACTGGAATGGTTTGTCATGTCCTTCTCCAGCTCATTTTACAGATGAGAAAACTGAGGCAGAAACGGTTAAGTGACTTCCCCAGGGTCACCCAGCTAGTAAGTGTCTGAGGCCAAATTTGAATTCAGGAAGAGAAATCTTCCTGACTCCAGGCCAGCGCTCTGTGCACTGCATCACCTAGCTGGTTGTTTAACCTTGGACTAACCACTTAAAATATTAATATCTAACCTAAGAGATCACTGAGGCCAATCTCCTTCATTTTACAAATGAGGGAAATGAGGTCTAAAGAAGTAAAGTGGTGTGCCAAATGTGTTCTATTTCATTTTGTATCAGCCTTCCTAGAATGTTAAACGTCCTCGGCAAGATTTTATTATTTTTTTGTCAACATAACCCAATCTGAAGGAAAGTATTCCATTTTTATTGTAGCCTTTACATTCAGATGAACCTTCTTACCAAAAAAACAAAAACACCCCTGAAGATGATAACATTTCTTCATTTAAAAGCCAAAACTCCAAGCCATAGCAGCCACAAAAGCAGGCAAGGGATTTCATGAGTAAACGTCAGTTAACCGCAGAACTACAGAATTTAAAATGGTGTAACAGCAGCACAGAGATACCTTCTCCTATCAGCAATCCAATAAATTAGTGCTGAAAAATGTTTTAAAAAATCCAAACTTCCAATATATCATTTCAGGAGTTTTTCAGAGGAAAATAACAGGCTACCAGACCAAGATATCAAGGCAGACTCCTGAAAAGATCCTCTCTCTATATGAACTTAAGTAAGCTTTAATTTCTACTATTAAACCAAAGTCTGCAAACACAGGAGTAGATGTATTTTCTGTTTTCTATAATATTTTTTCAAAGGACAGAAGGGGCACTATTTAACACAAAAAAACCCCCCAACACATTTTCATGTGTAAATTCTCCCTCTCACACATTCTATATTGCAACCAAAACATCTCATACTTTCCCCACTTTATACAATTGCTCTTATTATTTACCACACCTGGAAGAACCCTTTGTTCCCCAACCAAATTTTGCCTGTTGAATTTCTACCTAGAATTCAAGGCCCAGCCGAAATGCTACATTCTGTAGGCATCCTGTCGTGGTTCTGCAAAGTGGAAGTGATCTCTTTTTCACATGCTCCTACAGCAATGTGGGATCCAGGCCCCAAAGGGGTGGCTGCTCATTCTGCTTAAATAAGCTGGGAGTCACCAACTCCAATCCTTCTGGTGAGATGGGGGACCACCAGGCCTTACTATCTGTCCCACTTCTATGCCCTCTAGGCACTGTCATCTGACCTACTGATATATCTTAAGGACCCCTGGGCCTTGCCATCTGTCTCACTCTTAAACTCTTAGGACTCTTTTCATCTGCACTTTAACTCTTCTTTCCTGAAAGGTGTTGTGTACATAACCAGTGTCGGGTGGAAGACCTGGGTTCAAGCCCTGCCTCAACACATTATGACCGTGTGATCCTGGGCAAGAAACTTAACCTGTCAGTGGTCTAGGCCAGGAGTGTTGTTCTCAAATAGAAATGGGGGCCACTAAATCATGATAAGGAACCCTGTGGGATGCATACTGACTTAGAAAACCACAAAGTAACATGATCTATGTTTTATTTTATTTTGTTGAATATTTTCCAATTACATTTTAATCTGGTTGCATTTCATCTGGCCGCACTAAGGGAGGAGTGTTGTGGGCTGCATGTTTGACACTTCTGCTCAAGGGGACTCTCTAAAACGTGCCAATCTGTACTGGAAAAGTTTCTTCATGGGAAAGTTTCCTATACCAATGCAATGGCTGGTCCAGTCCCTAGTCTATTTTCCCACAATTACAGTGTGAACTCCTTGAAAACGGAGACTCTTTATTTTTTCTATTTGCATTCCCAGCACTTAGAACAGTGCTTGCATTGGCACATATTAAGCACCTAAAAAATGCTTTATTCGTGATGGGTTGGAACAACTTACCATCTCTATCTTCATCATGAATGTTAAGGTATAGATATTCTAAACCTCTTCCTTTTTTGCTGTGCTCTGCTCCTTGTAATTTAGCCAAGAGTGTTGTTTTACCTGAACCATCTTCACCTAAAAATAATATTTAGAAGAAAAACATAAGAATGTAATTACTCAGTACACAGAAATCATGTTGATATTCTGAAAGAAATAGGTATAGCTTCCACATTTATACATATATCCTGACATATAACAGAAACCCTTCAAAAAACTGATTTCACAGCACAGGACAAGACTCAAACTTATGTTAACAAACTTTTATAGTTATGTTTTGGCAGGACAAGGAACTTATTAAAAAAATGGAATAAAGGATATCATCAAAGAACTGTATAATCATAAAACAGAAGCCGGTCACCTGGCAAGAGGCATGACCTAATGGACAGTTCTTATACTCCACCGACATCTTCACATGAGGACAGAGTGAAGGCCTCTCAGCACAATGGGTAAACCCCCTCAACCTATGGTGAACTTAAGAAAAGACATGGAGAAGACTGTCTCACAGGATGGGCAGATGTAAAAGGGCTACAATCTGCTCTGTTGAAGGGAACATCCATACCAATAAGATCACAATTCTATTTCAGTATTTTAGACTTGAGATTTTTAAACCTGGAGCATCAATGATCAATGGATCTAGCCCCTTACTTTTGCGGATAAGAAAACCCAGGCCCAAGAACATGACTCGTCACATAAGGTTACACACTAGCCACAATGGTAGAAATGAGTTTAAAATCTAGGCTTTCTGATTTCCAGTTCAATGCTTTTTTCTTTACTTCACACTACTCTCACCTATCCAAGGTATACCTAGATCTCTGTAATAATAACCCAAGTTATAACCTATTCTTTCATGTGGAAAAATAAATGAATTTGGCTCTACCTAAAATTTGCCCAAAAAAGTAAATGAAGAAGTCAAAGAATAAGTTGGGGTCAATCTCTTACTAGCAAATATGTTAAGACGGACTATTACAAAGAAAACAGAGTTATAAGATACAGTAAATCTAAAATGACAACCTTAAACCTTCAGTGTTTAAATAATAAGGTCTGACCGTGACAGCCAAAGTTCACTAACAGAAAATTCAGTCAGTGGCAGGATAGATCCCAACATCTGCTTTCAACATCGGTGTATCTTCTTCACCAGCACTGTGAAGGCTGGGAAACTAATGAAAATAATTATAGAGCTAAGCAAAACTACAAGTCTCAAGCAGACTCTATAATTATCTCCAATTTATCCTGTATCTATCCGGTTTGTACATAGTTGTTTTCATGTTGTCTCCCCCATTAAGAATGAATCCTGAGGAGCAGGGGATTTTTTTTTTGCCTTTCTTGGTATTCCCAGTGCCTGGAACACAGTAGGTACTTAAAAAATGTTTGATGAATGGAGCTGATTTATTTTGTTATTCTTCCTTTCCACTCACTTTAGTGACCTTTGCCACTGTAACGGAATAATTCTACACAACCAGAGGGTCAGAGAGTATTTAAAACAACAACAACAACAAAAAGGGAACTGCATAATCTGGAAGAATGAGGAAAATAAAAATATGGTTAGTTTAAAATCTATCCACATTACATCAGCCGAAACAAGGAAGTTTCAAAGTCTACAGAGGGAAATATCCCAAAAGCCCAGTGGGTACTTAGCACTTCCTTAACCGCAAAACCCAGCTCCCAAGATCTTCCCCCACTTCCAGCAATGCCTCGCGGCCCAGCCCGGGGCCGGGTGGCCCACCTTCCCCACCCTGCTCCAGAGGCCACTTACCAAAGACGAGGATGTTTTTGCCCGCCGGTAACTTGGACCTGGACCGGGTGGAGACTTCGCTCAGGATGGACGACCTGCGGGGTCACAGCGCAGCCGTCAGCCGGGCGGGGACACACAAGGTTAGCGTCTCCCCGACCCCCACGGCTCACTGGCCCCGACGCTGGGCGTGGGGTGCGGGGGAATGCGGCACAGCCCAGGATCGCGCCGCGGGCTCCCAGGGGTGTTCCTGGGGACACCCGTGTTTCTTCCCTCGTGGGGAAGCAGGGGGAGAAGCCCCTCTCCTGCCTCCGACACCGTCCTGGGGATAGCAGAACGCTAGAGGCCTGTGCATCGTCACAGAGAACAGACCCCGGCTGCGGAGGACCTCAAACGGGCCTGAAATGCTGGTCTGGGGCACCCGAAGGGGGGAACGGAGGGAAAAGCGAGGCTGGAGAGCGAGAAGCAAGATAACCACGACTAGTATTTACATAACGCTTAAGGGTTTGCAAAGCTCTTCCCAGACGCGTTACTTCGGTCCTCACAACAGCAGCTCTGGGAGGGAGGTGTTATAATCTCCGTTTTACGGAAAAGGAAAAGTGAGGCGGGCAGAGGCCAAGTGACTCGCCCAGGGTCACAACTATTAGTGTCAGGTCGGATCTGACCTCCAGTCTTGCTGACTCCAAGAGAGAGAAAAGGAGATGGGGGGGGAGGGAACGAAGTGGCGGATGAGAAGGGGGCCCGGCGGCGGCCCCTCAGCGCGGAGCCGGGAGGGAGGGAGGCGGGCGGAGGCTGCCCCACCATCCCCGCCGTCCCGCCCGGTCCGCGGCCCCGCCCCGCCTGGCCCGGCCCCGGAGCCCGGGCCGCCCTCGGCCCCTCCTCACTCAGCCCATCGGTCCTCCACTCACCACAGGTTCTGCCCCTCGTCCTCCTCGCTGGGCAAGTCCCCGGCGCCAGGGGCCCCGGACCCCTCAGGCCCCAGCAGCAGCTTCTTCTCCACCCCCACCGGCGCCATCTTGCCAACTGCAGCCACAAAGAGGGCCTTCCCCCGGGCCCGCCGAGGACCCCGCGCCGGCGGGGTGGCCGAAGCCACGCCTGTCCCGACACCGAATTACCTCACCCCTCTGCGGCCGCCATGGCCGCGGCCCTACGCCAGATCACCCGTCATTCCAGAGACCTGCCTCCCTGAACAGCCTGACAGGACAAGCGAGGGCAGCAGGGCGTGCGGCTTGCTGTCAGGCAGTGATGAAGACAGCTAAGAATCCGAAGGCTTGGCTCTGTGACACCGCGAGGAGCCGCCCTGAATCTGAGGAGCGCGACAGCGCCCCCTCCTGGCCTGAAGGAGGACGGCAGCCACGGCCGCGACCTCCGGAGCTCTAGTCTGGTACCCGGGCTCCTCCATCCTGGGAGAGCATCACTGAATTCCAGGGCCCTCCGTGACCGCAGAAGGTCAGCCACAGGGTGCCAGGGCTTGCAAGGGACTTTGGATAATATATTTTCCCGGGATCCAGAGCTCAAAGGAATCTTCGAGATCAACTTCATTTTTACAAATGGGGAAACTGAAGCCCAGGAGTGGGGAAGGGACTTATCCAGTATCACAAGAGGCCAGTGAGAAAGCCAAGAGTAGCTTTGTTCAAATCGTCTTACTCAGAATCCAGGGCTCTTTGGGTAAGGGAGTGAAGATAATGGGGTCCCTGATTAATTTGATCAGTTTTTCAATCAACCCACTACTAACATTTATACAGGGCTTTTTTTTTTTAATTTTGCAAAGTGCTTTTAGTACATTATCTTGAGTCTCACAACAGTGCTGTGAGGCAGGTACTGTGGGTGTGGTTATTTCCATTTTACAGATGTGGATTGACTTCCTGTTCCATTCCAGCAGACTACTTTCTCTGTCATCTCTACTTGGCTTGTCTTCAGTCACTCCTTGTCTAGTATTTGCTTTTCTACTGACTGCAAGGTATGCCCATGTCTCCCCCATTATCAGGGGATCCTCGTTTGATCCTTCTATTCCTGCTGGCTGTCATGTTCTGTCTTTCCTGACTATTGTGGCTGCACTCCTGGAGAGGGCTGTCTGCAATGGGTCCTCCACTTTTTTTCTTGCTCTCTTCTTAACTTTCTCTGGTCTGGCTTCTGACCTCACATTTGGCCAGGATGACTCTCCCCAAGGTTGCTAGCAGTCTCTCGATTGCCAGCTCTGATGACTTTTTCTCAATCCTTATCCTTCTTGATCTCTCTGCAACCTACGACACTATCAGTCAGCCTTTTCCCCTTGATGCTGTCTTCTCTCTTGGTTTTTGTGACACTGCTCTGTCCTGGATCTCCTTCTTTCTCACTCTGCCATCTTGGCTCTGCCCCTGATCTCCTTCTTTCTTACCTTCTTAGTCTCCTTTGCTGGATCTTCATCCAGGTGGCCCTTGTTGTGGGTGTTTCACAAGACTCCATCTTGTGTTCTTTTCTCCCTCTGTATTATTTTACTTGGTAATCTTGTCAGCTCCCATGGACTCAGTCATCATCTCTATGTTAATGATTCTCAAATTTACTTGTCTAGCCCTGGCTGTCACTCTCGACTACTCAACTCTTCACTCTCACTACCCCCCACCAAAACCCCATGTACAATCTATTGTGAAGGCCCATCGATTTGTTTTTGTCTTTGTAATATCTCTTGCATATACCCCCTGCTCTCCTCTGACACTGCCCTGATATCCAACGTGTGTTCTCATCACCTCACACCTGGACTATTAGAATAGCCTGCTGGTTGGTCTGTCATGGGTATCTGTTTTCATCCATCTTCATCTCAGCTGTCACAGTGATCTTTACTAAGCCCAGGTCTGATCCTGTCACACACCACCACCATCACCCCTCAATAAACTCCAGTGGCTCCCTATCACCTCCAGGATCAAATATAAAATCCTCTATTTGGCCTTCAAAGCCCTTCATAACCTGTCCTACCCCTACCTTTCCAGTCTCCTTAAACCTTACAGTGCCTCCCCACCTGGTATTCTTCAATCCAGTGACACTGGCCTCCTTGCTGTTCCTAAAATGAGACATTCTGTCTCCTGACTGGGCATTTTTCTGGCTGTCTCTCATGCCTCTCATTACCTTCCTCATCTCTGCCTCCGGGCTTCAGCTTCCTTTAAGTCCCAGCCAAAATCTCACTTTCTATAGGAAGCCTTTCTTGATTCCCCCTAACTCTAGTGCCTTTTGTCTGTTGATTGTTTCCAATTCATAACAGTGTATTGCTTGCTTGTCTGAATAGTTACTTGTATATTGTCACTCCATTAGATTGTGAGTTCCACAAGAGCAAATTCTGTCTTTTACCTTTCTTTGTATTCTCAGCACTTACCACAGTGTCTGGCACGTATTAGGCACTTAATATGTTTATTTAGGGCAGCTAAGTGGTGCAGTGGATACAGCACCAGGCCTGGAGACAGGAAGACTCATATTCCTGAGTTCCAATCTGACCTCAGACACACACTAGGTATGTGACCCTGGGCAAGTCACTTAACCCTGTTTGCCTTGGTTTCCCCATCTACAAAATGAGCTGGAGAAAGAAATGACAAACCACTCCTGTGTCTTTTACAAGAAAACCTCAAACGAGGTCATGAAGAGTCGGACATAACTGAAAATGACTGAGCAACAACAAATGTTTATTTACTGACTTGCTCATGGCCATACGGTGCCAGAGATAGGATTTCAACCCACTCCAAGTCCAGCATGAAGCTGCCTTTCAAAGCTGGAAAAAGTCAGTTCCAGTTCTTCATTTGCTAGATGGTGAAACAAATGGAGACCCAGAGCAATTGTGACTTGCTCATCCATGGTCCTGCTCCTACTGGCTCTGCTTTATGAAGTAAGAGGGAAGAGGAACCAAAGGATATGAGAGTTCAGGCCAAGTTGCCCCTACTACTAGTGCAGTTATTGGTTAGAGAAATGGAGATTCCCTCCCCCTTGGGACATGGGTTCCATGCTTGGGAATGGGAAGCCATTGCTTTCTGCTCATTATCATTATTTATTTATTTCCCCCCTCCAATTACACATAAAAAACTATTTTAACATTCATTTAAAAAATTTTTTGAATTCCAAATTCTCTCTTCTTTCCCCTTCATTGAAAAGGCAAGTAATTTGATATAGGTTATACATGTGCAGTCATGCAAAACATATTTCCATATTAGTCATGTTACAAAAGAAAACACAGACCAAGAAAAAAAAGAGAAAAAATAAAGTTTAAAAAAGTATGCTTTGATCTGTATTCAGACTCCATCAGTTCTTTCTCTGGAGGTAGCTAGTATTTTTCATCGTTAAATCTTTCAGAATTATATTGGGTCACTGTATTGCTGAGAATAGCTGAGTCATTCACAATTGATCATTGTACAATATTGCTGTTATTATGTACAATGTTGTCCTGATTCTGCTCACTTTACTTTACTTCAGTTTGTGTAAGTTTTCCCAGGTTTTTCTGAAATCATCCTACTTGTCATTTCTTATAGCATAATAGTATTCCATCACAATCACATACCACAACTTGTTCAGCCATTCTCCAATGGATGGACATCCCCTCAATGTCCAATTCTTTGCTACCACTAAAAGAGCTGTTATGTATTTGCATACATATAGGTCCTTATCCTTTTTGTTTTTTTCTCTCTTTGGGATACGGACCTAGCAGTAATGTTGCTAGGTCAAAGGGTATGCAGGGTTTTATAGCCCTTTGGGCATGGTTCCAAATTGTTCTACCAAATGGATAAATCAGTTCACAATACCAGTGTCTCAATTTTCCAACATCCCCTCCAACATTTGTTATTTTTCCTTTTCTGTCATATTAGCCAATCTGAGAGATGTGAGGTGGTACCTCAGAGTTGCTTTAATTTGCATTTCTCTAATCAATAGTGAGTTAGAGCGTTGGTTTTTTTTTTATATGACTCTGGATAGCTTTAATTACTTTGAAAACTGCCTGTTCACATCCTTTGACTATTTATCAACTGGGAAATGTCAGCCATTGTTTTCTATGATCACTAGGATGAAACTTGGGCAGTAGGTATGCCTACCAGGAAGTCAGACAAGGGTTTGTCCTGATGTAGTGCCAGAGCTTGGGTACAATTAAGGGAACTCCCATGAGGTCCTTGGGAGGCAGCTCCAGGCCAATGTTGCCAGAAGCACAGAAGTGGGCAGCAGGTAAGGCAAGGTTTATTCAATATATACTTGTGATCTGGAAGAACTCAAGAAGGGACACCAGGTGACTGAGGTGAGTTGTCCTCAAATGGAGAGGGGTACCAGAGATTCAGGCACATGGAAGGACTTTTATAGAAGATAAAATGGGATCCAGGTCTCTCCTTTTCCCAATCCTTAGTCAGGTTACAGTTATGGTTAGAGCCTCATACCATATTAACCCCACTAGTGCATGAATGGTTCCCATCTGGAGGGAGAACCTTTGGTTGATATAGGTGAGCAGTAAGGGGATACAGGGCTCAGATCCTGATATGCTAATTGGGCAGTGCTCTGGTGGCAAGGAAGGACACCAATAGTGATGGGGTTGGAATGAGTACGGTGCTTAGTAAGCCAAAGGACATCTTCCTGAATTCAAATCTGGCCTCACACACTTACTAGCTGTGAGATCCTGGGCAAGTCACTCAATCCTATTTGCCTCAGTTTTCTCATCTGTAAAATGAGCTGGAGAAGGAAATTGTACTCCAGTAGCTTTCCCCAAAAGGGGTCACAAAGAGTCAAACACAACTGAAAATGATTAAACAACATGACAGTCATTATTGCACAGTAGTAGAGATGATACAGGGTCAGAACCCTGGTTTCCTGGCTCCTGGGCTTATGTGCTTTCCAACATCCCAGACTCTCTCTTCAAGGACATACTCCTATATTTAGGCAGATAATGCATCTAATCATCTCAAATAGCAGCTTTCCTATTAACAATTTCTAGGGAAGGAGACATAATTCTAATCCTTTATTTAAAAAAAAATTACTCCATCTCACCTATGAGCCAGAGCTCTATGTATGGTTGGGAGATACTGAGGCATAAAACACATGAAACTGTGACCCTTCTTTTAGTAAGCTTCAATCATGACATGACCTGCTTAAAAACCAGTTCTTTAGTGGCTCCCCATTGCTTAAGTGACAAAGTCAAAACTCTCAGCCTTGCGTTCAAGGCATTGTAAGGCTTGATCTGAAATTGAAATGATCTTTCTCCCCTTATCCTATACTTTTCTTCTATACATATTTCACACCCCAGGGAACCAGACTACCCTGTCATCCTGAACATACCTAGGCTTTTCTGGACTCTGTGAAAGGGAAACCCTGGGTTTTAAACTCAACCAGTGTTTTTTCCATCTGAAATGCCTTCATTTTCCGTTTTCCACCTACATAGGGTTGCTGGGAATCAAGTGCTCTAAAATTTTTAACTTGCTGTATGTGGGTAGAAGATTATTATATTGAAATCCTATCTATCCTTCAAAGTCCAGGTCAAAATGGCACCTCTTCACTTGCTAATAGCTACTTAATCAAGAGTTATTCTCTAATTGAAGGTCACAGGAGACAGAACAGACTGGTTTTAGATGTGGTGTTGATGAAGGACATATTGCTTATGTAAGTTAAAGAATTCACATTCCTGGTGTGTTTTCAGGTAGGGACATTTTCTCCTTTCACCTTCAAACAACCAAAAGACAATTATAAGTTAATATGTCCTCCTCAAAAAGGGAAAATACCTGTTTCATTACTATTAATTATTTCTAAAACCACATCTCTATTCATACATTTATCTGCATCAACATTTATAGCAAAATATCTATGTATATATATATATATATATATATATATGTATATACTCAAAACTAATACTTCTGATTTTCAAGAAAATAAGCATCAATGCACAACAGGCTTCTAAAAAATTCTCTTTCAATACTATCAACTCTTGATTATCTGGGTTAGTGAGCTGAGACTAAAAGCACATTTCCCCCCCAGCTGTGAATTGATGACTGTGTAATGGGAGACTGGCCAAGGCCAGACCAGTCCCTGATGTAGATATTTCATAAGCTTGTCTCTGAACATGCCTAATAAAGGGCCCTGCTCCTCTGGCCAACAGCTGGAAGTCTGTAACAATTTCTATTCCTTTCTCGAATCCAGTGAGAGAAGAAAGAAGAGTAAGCTCCTGTGGGAGTTTTTTGCACAAAAACTCAGTTCCAGCTCATCAGCCAATCAAAAATGTCCCCTTCTTTGATACACAGTGAGTGGACAAAAAACGTTAGTGGGATATCTGCATGTGCTCCCAAGTCGAAAACAAATTCTCCATTACACATTCCTGGAGGCAGGCTTGTCCGATATTCCCAAGGGGGGCTGCATTAGGCAAACATACTACAAAAATAGTCTTGAGGACTATTCCTCCTTGTGGTATGCAGGGTGACCCTGGGTTCTCCAAGCTCTTGAAGTCTTCAGACTTTCCGACTTCTATTGAAGGTACCACCATCCTTCCCAGCTCCCAGGTTCATAACATTGGCATTATGCTTGCATCCTTATTCTCCCTTACCCTACCAAATCTTACCATTTTTACCTTCGCAGCATCTTTCACATCTGAGCCTTTCTCCCCACTCACACATCTACCTTAGTTCGGGCTTTGATCACTCCTTGCCTAGATCATTGCAGCCCTGGTCTCCCTGCAACAAGTCTCTCCCCACTGCAGTCTATCTTCTACCAGCGCTTCTTAAACTATGGGTCAAGACCCCATATTGGGTTGTGAAAAACTCGGCAACAGTAAAAGGTTTCTAAACATGCAACAACCAAAAATTAATTAAAAATCAAACACACAATGAATTTGAGATGTTTCTGGCAGCGTTTGCTCATGTTGCGTTGTGCAACTTCACTGCAGCCTCAGTTTTGAACGCAAAGCATGTACACTTTGCACAGCACATGCCCTTAGACCACACAATGCCAACAAACACTGTCCAAATGGGAAAAAGAGGTCTCAAGTGGAAAAAGTTTAAGAAGCCCTGTTCTACACTGCTACAAAAGTAATTTTCTGTTAAGTGCAGATTCAACCATGTGACTCCCACGATCATTCAACTCTAATGGTTTCCTATTGCCTCTTGGGAAGAGAAAATAAACTCCTTTGTTTAGCTTGTAAAGCCATATACGACTTGGCTTCATTTTATTTTTCTAGCTTTATTGGATAGCATTTTCACTCTTGCATTCTGGACCCATTCTGACCTTCATGTGACTGGCTGTCCCACAGGCCTGGAACGCACACCTTTCTTATTCCTACCTCAGCGTCCTCTTCCTCTAAGAGCTACGTCAAGCATCATCTTCTGCAGGAGGCCTCCTTCCCAACATTTAACTACTTTGCATATATTTATGAACTTTATATTGATGCACTAGACATATTTAAAGCTACTTGTCTCCTGAATTACAATGTAACTCCTCCAGAGTGGAAACTGTTTCATTCTTAAGTCCTCAATGCTGGGCATGGGAGAGGCACTTAATAAATGCTTGTAGACTGATTGAAGGGTTGATGGATGACCACTGACGACAAGCTCAGGTAGGTACTACCAAGTTAAGAAGTCTTCAGTGTCATAGTTGCTTTATGACTTCAGACAAATCACTTTTCTCTGGACCTTGGGTTCCTGGAAAATGCAAAATGAAAAAAATTCATAGGATTTTAGAGTTGGAAAGTATTTAGATATCACATAGTCTAATCCTCTCAGTTTATAGATGAAACTGAGGCTCAGAGAAGGGAAGCTATTTGACTATGGCCACATAGTCAATAAATATTTAAGCGTTGACTGTGTGTCAGGCACTGTGCTAAGTGCTGGAGATACAAAGAAAGACAAAAGATGGTCCCTGCTCTCAAGGAGCTCATAATTGATAGCAAATTCACTCATTACCCTAAAAATGTGTATTGGTATCTCTTGTTTTTATATCATCTTTTCTGAATACATTCCCCACCCTGTACCATCCTGAAAGTCATCCTTTATAATAAGCAATAAAAGAATGGTAGCAAGAGTGATGGGGGAGAGCATAAGCTAATAAGTCCACAAGCATTTATTAAGTGCTTACAAAGTGTCAGGCAAGGTGCTTAGATGTGGTAACACAAATACAAGCACAAAGACAGTCCCTGCCCTCAAGGGGTTTATACTCTCATTGAGGGAAAACAACACTAGAAAAGAAACTGAAAAGCTACTAGGGCCTGGTAGAGAAAGTCCAGATACTCAGAAGTGCAGCCTGGAGAGGAAAGAAAATATGGCTGGTCTGGATGCCCACCTTAAAATGGAGGTTCCATGAGGAACCAGCCAATCAGGCCTCAGGTATAGAAGGTATTTTCAGTGGGAGAATTCCAGCAGTGAAGTGAACTTCAAGGGTGAAGAGGTTTAAGGGGCATGCAGAAAAATATCTGAGATTGAGGAGCCTGGAAAGGAATGAAGGCATAACAAGTCCAGTTTTTTTCCAGCAAAGCACACTCTTGCGTTCCTTGCTGAAGGTCATATACTTACCGCCTGTGGCTTGTGGTTGGATCCTTTTATTTGAACCTGTATCAAAGATGATTGTAGACTGAGACAGGAAAAGATTTCCCCTGGCCTTCATGTAGGCTGTATGAGGTAACATTCCCCTCTCTTTTGAGGTAGCCTCTTTGTTGGGACACAGAAAACACCAGCTGTCTATTAGGCTTCTAGCAAGTAAGGGAAAGAGGCCCTTCCCACTCTCCCCCACCTCCTCACCCTCAGCAATGGTAACTGCCCTCAAGAGGCATCCAGAACATCCTAAGAGAGCCTGAGACTTGACCTCATGTCCTAGGCTGTCTCTTTGGGTCTGTGTTTCTTCTCCTGAGTGCTAGTGATCATACAGTGATCCCAAGAGGTGGTCATTTACAGCCATGTCATGATTTTGATATGTTGGGAACTAATTGCCAAGCAGATTTTTTGCAACAGATTCTCGGGAACAATGACCACTTCTAGGAGAATACTACAGCTGTAAGGGTTAAGAGAGCCCAAGCCATGGCTGGCTGGCCAGAAAACAAAGACCTTGAAAGTTGCTTCAGTGGTATGTATTGGAAGTGAATATGAAATGACTATTCAGTCCCACAAGTTTCCTGGGAATCTTCACCTTCCAGGAGAGTAAGATAGAGGTGATGGATTACTGGGACATATTTTAAGTATTTGTTAATGTGCATTTATGATTCTTTTGTATTTTAAGCATTCCTTTTGTGGTAGAGAAAATAATTTACTATTTGTCTCTACCTGGTATCTATGAAGAATATTTTTTCTAGAACAGGCCCTATTAATCACTTTTAAGAGAGACCCCAGAAATGAACCATATCTACGCTTTATTTTAAAAGACAGAGGTAGAGAATTCTAGAAAAGGTTAATCTACTCTCTTAGGGATCAGGCTCTCTTAGGACTGAACCTAATGCATGTGACTATAGAACCAGGGCCTCAGTAAATCAGCAAAACCAGGCAACAAGTCTACCAAATCTGACAGTATAGATAGTATTCTGTAATATGTCGTTCAATCATTCAGTAGTGTCCAACTCTGTGACTCAGTGGACTATACTGTCCACGGGATTTTCTTAGCAAAGATACTGGAATGGTTTGCCATTTCCTTCTCCAGTGGATTAAGGCAAACAGAATTTAAGTGATTTGTTCAGGGTCACACAGCTTGTAAGTGTCTAGGGCTGGATTTGAACTCAGGTCTTCCTGACTCCTGGCCAAGCACTCTATCCACTGAGCCATCTAGCTGCCTCCATTCTGTATTTACAAAATTTCTGCCCACTGGTACAAGTTCTCCATCTGGGGCTAAACAAAATAAATGCACAATTTTGAAGAATGAAGAAGCAGATACAAATTGAGACTGAGAGAACTGGAAATGATTAAAGAAGCTAGAAACTCAGATTAGCTACGTATTTAGGCAGAGACATAAACATTTTATCTAGTAAACACTCTTAAGACTTTTTCAAAGTTTAATTTCATTTATTTGGGAGTAAAAAGTGTTTAAATTCTACTAACAGGGCCAGAATATAAACAATGCAGGCACAAGCAATATCTACAGCTGTCGAACCTTTAGAAACTGAATGAGACCATAAAATCATACTTCCCCATCTTCTTTATTTCAAGCAAGACATCTTATTCTTCAGACAAATTTCTACAAAATCTTCATTTCTCTGTAATCAATGGGGATTATATTTGTCAGTCTTTTATACACTTTATAGAATTTATGACTAACACTTAATGAGTAAGATTCACCCCAACATGGGAAGTTGCTTCCTTCAGAGAAACCTGGCACTCTTGATACCCTAAGCTCTGAAAGAATTATTACTCTTACGTACTCTTAACTAATGACTTAGAGATCAGAAAAATCAGTAACACCTAGAATAGCACCATACACATGGTAAGCACTCAATATGAACTGAAATGGCTAAATGAAAGTTGCTACGCTAATCACCATGTAAAAACTATATTACTCAAATGTTAAAATTTTTTTAAAAATCCTGCTCAGCTCAAGTGAACAATTAATAACAGCCCTGTGAGCTAGGTACTACAGGCAATACCATCCTCATTGTATAGATGAAAAAACAGGCTCATAGAGGTTAAATAACTTACCGTTGGCTGCACCATTAGTTATGTTAAAGGTTGGATTTGAACCCAGATCTTCCTGACTCTAAGTTCAGAACCCTTTTCACTACTGCCTTTCATTCACACAGAAATCATGCTGGTTTATGGAAGGCCATGCTAACTGACAGCAAGCTCTGGAAAGTCCCACAAAACTACAAAGACTCAACTCTGGCACCAGTGACAAGCTGATGGCCCGTGAAACATGCAAAAATTTAAAAATGGCTTTCAGTTCCTGTGACTCTTTTTTGTTTCCGTTAAGGACAGAAACGAGAGAAAAGAAGACGATTGTTAACAGTCACAACATTATTAAAAATATTAACTGGTTCATTTTTGGCACTATAAATGAGATCTTTATCCAATGACAGAAGAGCTGATAGACTATATTTTCACTATAAGCCTAACTAAAAGATACAAAGGTCTAGGCACATGGAAGGATGGCTCACAAGTTCTCCTCCAAAATGCAGGTAAAAGAGCTAGTTCTACGCAGTTTCATTGTGACCACAAAGGCAACAAGAAGCCTGGGACACTAGGTCACCTCCTCTGCAGTCTTCATGGTAAGTAAAAGCCAAAAGAAAATAACTACAAGATGGCAGAAGAGAGGTAGCCACTGAGCTAAACTGTCCCAACACATCCCTCCAAACAACTTTAAAATAACACTTCAAATTGAATTTTGGAGTAGCAGGACCAACAAAAGGTCAGGGTGAAACATTTTTCTAGCCTAACACAATTTAAGAGGTCTGCAGGAGAGGTCTGTGACACCAGGGTGGGAGAGGATGATGGCTAGGAAGGCTAGGCTAGAAGCACTGCCATTCGGCTCTTGAGCTCAGGGTCCTGGGCTATCTCAGTCAGGGTCTGAGGGGTGATGGTGGTCTGACTTGCCTGGCACATGCTGCCTCAGAGTGCCTTGCTTCAACTACTCTGATTTTCATGCCCTTAATAAATGATTCTTTGATAAAAGTAATCATAAAGATTACTTTGTTTAAAGAAAATAGAGTATTAGTATAAATCAAGTCACAAAACAAGGGCATAAGTGCTCACCAAAGATTCGCCAACATTACAAAGCTATGTCCTGTGCAGAGTCCAAATGGAAGAGTAATTCCCAAAAGAGGGGGGGCTGCTCCAAACACTCCCTTTTGCAGATGACATTGCACAGATTTCATCAAATCTCTGAACACTACCAGATCCCCTCAATGAAATGAACTGACACTCAAAAGAGATCAGCCTGGAAATCCTCATAAGAAAAATTATGCAGATGAAGAACGCATATTTCTCAGATTGTGATATGCAGTTGGATAGGCCACCGGTACTTACATCTTGAACAATGAGTTGGGTCAACAATTAAAAGGAAAAAGAGAGCACAATGGATTGTATTTGAGAAACTGTGCAGTACTTTCAATGATACAAAAATTCATCTTTTTAATAGCAATACTCTACCAGTAATGATATACATGGAATGAGTCATGGAATATTATGCTCTTCAGATCATAATAGAAAAGTCAAAATTGCAGGTGACCCAAAGGGCAACAGAGAGATGAAGAAGGGTTGGAAGGAGACTACAGCACATTGCCAATGATGACTCGCTTGTAAGAAGTGGTGTAAACAAACATTTATTAAATGTCCACTATGCGCAAAGCACTGAACTAATCCCTCGGGACACAAAGACAAAAACAAAAGAACCCCCACCCTCGAGAAGAATGCATTCTATTGGAGGTATAAAACATGTAGGGAGAATCTAAATTTTTTTAAAAATTGAGGAGAGAGGACTAAAAATTGGGAGCATCAGAAAAAGTTCAGTGTAGGGGATGGCCACTGTGCAGACAGCCTTGAAACAAGCTCAAGATGCAATAATCTCTATACAAGTGATTTCCTGATCTACATATTCAGTCTGAATCTCTCAAATGAATTTTAGTCTCTACTCACCAACACTTTTGTACATCTCAAACTGGACGTCTTGAGAGCTTGGGGGCAAGAGGCACATTAATGCACTGTTGGTAGAGCTGTAAATTGACCTAGTTATTCTGGAAAACAATCTGGAACTATACTCCAAAGATAACTAAACTGTTCATAGCCTTTAACCCAGCAATAATGCTACTAGGCCTTTATACCAAAAAGAGAAAAGAAAATTGAAAAGGACCCATATATACAAGAATATTTATAGCAGCTCTTTCTATGGTGGCAAAGAATTATAAACTAAGTGGGTGCCTATTGATTGGGGAATGATTGAACAAATATGACTGCAATGGGATACTGTGGTGCCATAAGAAATGCTGAAAGGGATGGTTTCAGAGAAACTTGGGAAGACCTGTTTGGAGTGATGCAGAGTAAAGTAAGCAGAACTAGGAGAACAACTTATACAATAACAACAACATTATAAAGACAAATAACTTTGATGCAATGATGAACCAAGATTCCAGAGAGCTGATGATGAAGCATGCTACATGCCTCCTGAACAGAGAGGTGATGGATTCAGGGCTCTAGACCAGTAACCACATCATTGTGGTTATCAGTGAGGTTAAGATTTTTCTTGTATAGTTCTGCATATTCTTGCCACTTCTTAATCTCTTCTACTTCTGTTAAGTCCCTACAATTTTTGTCTTTTATCACACCCATTTTTGCATGAAACATTCCCTAGTTATTTCTAATTTCCTTGAAGAGATCTCTTGCCTTTCCCATTCTACTGTTTTCTTCTATTCTATTTCTTTGCATTGCTAATTTAAGAAAACCTTCTTGTCTCTCCTTGCTATCCTCTGGATTTCTGCATTATTTGAGTATATCTTTCCCTTTCTCCTTTCCTCTTCTCTTTCTTCAGCTATTTGTAAAGCTTAATCAAACAACCATTTTCTTTTTTTGCTCTTCTTTTTCTTTCAGGTGGTTTTTTTTTTTATTGCTGCCTCCTATTATTGTTCACAATATTGTGAACCTCTGTCCATAGTTCTTCAGGTACTCTGTCTACCAGATCTAAGTCCTTAAATCTATTCCTCTATTCTTCACCTCCACTTCATATTCATAAGGGATGTTAATTAGATCATACCTATACAGTCTGACGGTTTTCCCTACTTTCTTCAATTTAAGTCTAAATTTTGCATTAAGAAACTCATGCTCTGAGCACAGTCAGCTCCAGGTCTTCTTATAACTGACTGTGTAGAGCTTCTCCATCTTTGGCTGTGAAGTATATAATCAGGCAGGGCTCTATCCACTGAGCCACCTAGCTGCCTCATTTCATATGTCCTTAAGCATTATATTGTTTTCCTGTTTGTTTCTTTTAATCATATCTATTTTTTGTTTTCACATGCTACTGGGAAATAAGAAATACAGGAAATGGGGTACAGAAGTCTATCCTGCCCTACAGGAAAATAGAAGGGGAAGGGGAGAGAGACAGAAGAGAGGACAGACTAGGGGAAGGGATATTCAGAATGCATGACATCTTGGGGTGGGGGAGGGGGGAGATGGGGTGAAAATCTGGAACTCAAAAACTTGTGGAAGTGAATGTTGAAAATTAAAAATAAATTTATATATAAAAATAATATCTATTTTTATGTTGCTTTACTTTGCTATTCCTGCTTTTTAAAAGTTCACTTGAATCATAATAAATTCTGCTCCAGATCCTCACATAATTCTATATAAATCCTTACAGTTCAATTGTAAACAATGTATTGCTGGAATCTGCTTTCCAATCTCTTCTGCCATCTTTCTCTATATTATGGGCGAGTTCATCCCAAATACAATCCACAACCGTAACTAAGAACCTATATCCACTTATACAGCTAGGTATCAATTAGTGCAAATAATGAATCCTATGAAGTGTTTACATGTGTTTGAATTCTAACTATCTGAAGTTATAATTATGTAAAATATGGATAATTAGTTCTAGCCCAATAACCACTTCATAGGATTCATTAATTGCACTAATCAGGACCTAGCTATGCTTTTTCCCCCACCTTCTGAAAGATGCCTTTCTTAGACAAACTGAATATATAAGACCCAGAAGGAATCAAACACAGCAACATAGTATTTGATGAACCCAAGGGACACAACTCCTAAAATAAGGATTCCTGATTTGAAAACTACTGGGGATACTGGAAAGCAGTCTTACAGAAAATAGTTAAGATGAACATCACACACCATATGCCATAATAAATTCCAAATGGAGACATGACCTAACTATAAAAGTTCACATCACAAACAAATTGGAGGAGCAGGGACCTTTCACAACCATAGATAGAGGAAGGGTTCCTGACTAAACAAAAGTAGAAAGGATCACAGGAAATAAAATGAACAATTTTAATTATATAAATTTGAAAAATTTTTGCACAAATAAAATTAATGTAGTATGAATCAGGAAACAGTTAGCTGGGAAAACAATCTTTGTAATTATCTCTGATAAAGATCTGATATCCTAGACATACAGGAAATGTTTACAAATATTTAAGAAGCAGAAGCATTCCTTAACAAATAAAGAGTCAAATGAGAGGAACTGGTAGCTCTAAAAAGAAGAAATTCAAGCTATTAACAAACATGAAATAATGTTCCAAATCACTAATAATGAGAGAGATACAAATTAAAACAACTCTAAAGTTCAACCTCACAGTCATCAGATTGTGATAGAGTAGAGGAAAATAGCAGTTGTTAGAGGAGAGGTACACAAATGCACTGTTAATGGAACTGCAAACTGATATAATTATTCTAGAAAACAATTTGGAACTAAACCCTGAAGATCACTAAATTGGGCCTGCCTTTTGACCCAGCAATAAAGCTCTGTAGCACATAATCCAGAGATCAAAAGAAAGAGGGAAAGAACCTCTACGTACAAACGTATTTATGGCAGCACTTTTTATTGTGGCAAGAGACTATGAACCACATTGGTGTCCATCAGTTGGTACATGGATGAATAAATCATGGCATATGAATGTAATGGAATTTTATAGAGTCATAAAAATGAGGAAAGGCGTAGGTTTGGCAAAAACTGGAAGACTATATGATCTTGATGCAAAAAGAAGTGAGCAGAACCAGGAGAATAAATTGTAAAATGACTACCATATTGTAAAGGAAAAGACATGAGAATTATTTAAGAAAAATGATAAATGAAATGACCAATCGCTATTCGAGAAGACCGATTTAATGAACCATGGTTCCCACCTCTTAGAAGAGAGGTGATGAATCAGAGGTACAGAATGAGATCTACGTTTTCACATTTGGGCAATATGGGAATTAGTTTTGCTGAACTATATTTATTTGTTACAAGGGAAGTATATTATTTGGGGGGTGGGAGTACTGTTAAAGGATAGTGAGAGTCACATACAATGACACCATGCTTTTTTCTTTCTTCTTTGAATAGGGAAATGTTCACATTTGTCAATATCAGGTTCATAATAAAAAAGAACATTTTTAAAACAATGTAAAATATGATAATTTTGATTTTTAACACAGTTCTCTTTTTTTCTTAACACATTCAATAAGTAATCTTCTCAAATACTAGCTATTAATGAACTAAACAGATATGAACTAGAGAGTGATAAAGAAGCAGCCCCAACTGGAGTGGAAAAAAGAAGGAAATGTACGTGGAAAGTTTTTCATCAGAGTTAAAATTTAGGACTATTGATGATAAGAATATAATGTAACATACAGCAATAGTTCATTATTTTAAACAGATGCAAACACACCAAATTTTAAAGTAATTCAGTAATTTAAGGGCTGCAGGAAAAAAGTATATACAAGCAGTAAATGATACATATCATCAGTATGCTACAGAAGAAATATCCATGGAATTGGTACCAGAAGATGTGTATTCTAGACTTAGCTTGTCACTTTCTAGCTGTGTTATTGAGAGCAAGGCACAATTTCTCTGAGTCTCAATTTCCTGCAATATGGTGATAATGTTTACCTACATCAGAGGATTATTATAAGGAAAGTACAATGTACATTGAAAGCTATAGAGCATTATATGAATGTCAGCTATTATTATTAGCATTTTTTGCTTGCCATGGTAATCATTATATAATTACTGGATCTGAAAAACAGTGAACTAATAAATGCTTCAGTGCAGAGTATTCTTCTAATTGCCATGATGGGTAGTGTTTATTTTAAAGTGGAAAATAAGAGCCTATAGATAAAGTAGGAATGCAGATGCTTACCAAAAGAGATCAGGGTTGTTGAATGTTAGAACATGGATTTACAGTCAGAAAACCTGGCTTCAATTGTTGATTATGTAAATGTAAGCCATCATTATTCATCATTCATAAGTTCACAGCCAGAAGGAATCTTACAGATTATCTAGTACACTTTCCACATTTTATAGACAAGGAAATTGGGAATTAAAGCACATAAGAAGATCTCCACATCAGTCATCTACTCTCTTCTTTCCTAAGGGAAATATCCGAAACAGAAAAACTTGATTTTGTTTTTAAAAATTCAGAACTCACTTTGGAAATTGTTTTGAAAATTATTTCTTTCTTCATGTGTAGAAGATTCACTACCAAACCTTTTTTTCTTATGTGGGGTCAATAGTATTTCTGTAAAACATAAAAATTATTTAGAGAATCTTCAGAGTATTCATACAAGCAATCACTTGTCAAATCTATATAGTAAAATATGTAAAATACATATTTAATGTAGACCTATACTTTACATTGAAAACTTTAGGTGAGTTGTTAAGAATTTTAAAAACTATCCAAAGAGACTAAAATTGCTCCCCAGGACTTTTTAAGAATCTCTGACTGCTCAGAAACAGGTTTTCTTTTCAATAACCTTTTCCCCCTTAGCTTTAATGTACTTCATAGTTTAGAAGCTAAATCCAGTCCAGAAATTTTATCACAAACACAGTTAAAAGCTGCTAAATTACTTTGGTTAAAGATAAGTGATTTCCTTAGGTCACTTTTATATCTATCTTCAGCTTCCAGAATGACTTTGTGGCGATCACATTGGAATGGGCAAGAGTGCAAGAGCCTGCTAAAATTTCTGCTATTCAGGGATTTTCCTACTTCTATGCAACCTAAAAAAAAGCACATTAAGATGATATACAGATGTTATAAAATAGCTAATTACAAGTGTATGAATGCAAAATATTATCTTTAGGATGGTAACTATAGTCCAATCAAGTACCTAGTTATGTTTATTATAAGGTGAATATGATCACATATTATGTTTGTAGATAATTAGCTAACATTTGCTGAACACTTACAACATGCCTAATGCTGTGGGGAGATGCATAATAACTATAAAACAATTTTAGCCATCTAGAATCTAGTCGGGAAGATAAAGCAAACACACATCAAACAGCCAGAATCCAAACGAATGCTAAATTCTGATAGTGACCATAAATACTGGAGTAGCAGAGAGGTAAGAATTAACAGAATATATTTTAAGTATGCCTTGCTGGAATGGGAGGGATGTTGAGAGTAATAGGAAATGATTAGAATGGGGTGGGGATAGGAAAAAATAAAGAGAGGGGTCTTGAAAGTCAGAGAAGTTTAATTCTGATAGATGCAGGAGGCAATGGAAAATTATTATATAGTCTTATGAATGAAGTGGCATGATGAAAGTGGCATTTTAGAAAAACAGTTAAGAATTGGTTGTATGGTATTGATTAGTTGGGGAACAAATGGGAAAACCAATAGTTATAGTAAGATGACAAGAATCAGAGTTAAAAAGAACTGCAGAGATCATTGCCCCCTCATTTTACAGATAAAGAAGCTGAAGATTGAAAAAGGAAAATAACTTGCCTAAGTTTACAAGCAGTTTTCAAAAAAAAACAAAAACAAATTAGCAATAACTACTTGAGAAGTATTCAAGCTATTTAATAATAATTACAGAAATGTAAAACAAACTAACTGAGATACTACCTTATACCTATTAAGATAGTAAAGAATCTCAAAAATAGTAAAATGTTTTTTTATGGCAATGGTTCAGTGAAAGAAGAGCAATGGATTTGGATTAAATTGTCCCAAGTTCAAATTCAATGTTGGTAATGCTGTAGGAAAATAGGCACACGCTGCTAGAGTTGTGAACTGATACAATCTTTTTGCAAAATTACTTGGAATTATATGGTGAGATTTATAAAGCTGTTCATATCATTTGATTTAGTAACTGCATTGGAGATCTACACTAGGGATGCTATTGATAAGAAAGGGGAAAAACTATTTGTATGGAAATATTTTTAGTAGTATTATTGGTACTAGCAAAAAAAGAAACTAGAAATGAGCCACATTCAGTACAACAACTGGGGGAACATTTGTAAAAATTGTGATATATCAAATAAGACAATATTTGTATAGTGCTTAGCACTATACCTAGTATATAGTAGGGGCTTAATAAATGTTTGCTTCCTTCCTTCTTTCCTGCATGAATAGAATGAAATAATGTTGCACCACAAGAAATAAAAAATATGAAGAATATAAAGAAATACGGAAAACATGTAAAGTAATTCTGAGTTAAAAGCAGAATAAAAAGAATATTACACACTGATTTCAACTAAGTATAAGAACAAAATCTGGAAAATATATTCAAAAGGAAGGTAAAGGGGGCATGTAAACAAAAAGACAGTTGTTACTTTTTTATTTTTTTAATTTATTTTTAATTTTTTTTTTTAGGTAATTGGGGTTAAGTGACTTGCCCAGGGTCACACAGCTAGCATCAAGCGTTTGATCTGAGGCTGGATTTGAACTCAGGTCCTCCTGACTTCAGGGCCCGTGCTCTATCCACTGCGCCACCTAGCTGCCCCTCATTGTTACTTTTTTAGAGTATGTATAATTTGCTAAACAACATGTAAATGATAGAAACATTCTATGTACACCTTGGTTTTGCTCTTATTATTGTTGTTTTGTGTTTTTGAAGATTTGTGCTTGTTGAGCACTGTCAATTTTATGATAAAAATTGCTTTTATAGAAAAAAGAAAATAAAGGTCTAGAGTGAAATGAGCAAAGTCACAGATGTGAGAGCTGACGGCACGCTGGCTCTCAAGTTGAAAGGGTAAAAGTGAATGAGCTCAATCAGTGACTACTTAGAAAGATGACTATAATAAAAGAGACCAATGGAAAAGCCATCATGTCACCAAAGCCAAGCAAAGAGAGAGTTCCACATAAGGACTGGATGAGATGGATGTTGAGATCCCTAACAATTCCATGATTCTCAATCTGTGAATTGCAAGCAGGAGGGGATAATTAAATAGCGATACCATTAAAGAGAAGTTGAGGAAGATAAGGACTAGGAAAAGGCCACTGGTTTTGGCAAATATCAAGGACAGCCTTTGAGACAACATCAGGGAAGGAAAACAGGTTTTGGAAGGTTAGTTAGGGACTGAGTAACTAGGAAAAGAAGACAGCAGGCAGAGCCCACAAATTTGAGGAATTTTACGGTGAAAGGAAAGTGTGAGATTGAATGGAAGCAATAAGGAGTAGCAGGAGCAAATAAATTTCTCTTTCTTCCTTCCTTCACACCCTAAAGATAGCACAGACCTGTGCATATTTGAAAGTGGAAGGGACAGAATTTGAATTCAGTCCAATCCTGCTCCAACATGAAATACTGACTATAAACTAGACAATGTAACTAGGTAACAAGGATACAAAGAGAAAATTTAAGTCTCTGTCCTCAAGGAATTTACATTCTATAAGAAGAGACTGAAGAAGGACAAAATGATGTGAACTACAGAATAGAGCTGAAAGGGACCTCAGTGTTTACTGAATCCAATTCCTTCATTTTAAAGATAAGGAAACAGGCTGAAATACATTCCAAAGTCACAGTCAAATAGAGGAAAAGGTAGGATTAGAACTCTAGTCTACTAACTCCAAGGTAATGCTCACTCTACCTCATTATACTGCTTCACTAATTGTGAGTGAGCTCCTAGAAAATCAGGGAAAGGATGGGGTCTAGAACACAGGTAAAGGCACGTTTAGAGAAGAAAAAAGGAAATTCTTCTTAAGATTGATGGGAAGGATGAAAACATCGATACACTGACAATGAGATATTATGGTAGGATGGAGGTAGGCAGAGAACTCATGCTGGATGGTACGGATCTTCTCTACAAACAAGAGGCAAGGACATCTATTGAGAGAATATGGGTTTGGGGAAGGAGCTAGAGTTTTAAGAGAGAGGTCACAGACTAAAAACTATGGGAAGTGTGTTGAAATGCCAAGGAGAAAGAAGAAATAATTGTAAAATGTTTACTATACATTGTTATACTATTTGATAGAAATAGTGAAAAAAAAAATTTATATTTGTGTGCCTAAAGTGTTTACAGAACAATCCAGAACACAGTGCTTTACATTAAGGTCTCAAAAATATGAAAGAATAATTGTTATCTAATAAAGTTACAATGTACACATCAGGAAGAAGATAGTTGTTCCAAAAAGTGAACTAAAAGGAGCTCTGTTTTTTAATTCATTAGCTCAGAAAAGCCAATGAGCAGCCTTCCATGGGTTTATATCAGAGGGAAGGGGAGTTGTTGAGAAATTCATGTTCCTATCATATTACACTGGATTTTTTTTCATTGTTTTCTAGGTGACCAGAGATGTTCAGAGAGAAAGAGGGCATCAGTTTGGATTGGTAAGAGAAGTAAGTTTAGACCTAAGAACAGAATTAGGGGCTAACAGCCTATAAAAAAAAGTTTAAATTTGAGACTAGGAGGTTCATTTTTTATGTTGAAGAAGAAAAGTGAAATTTAGTAGCTCTGCAAAGAAAAAACTAAATAACTGTCTGACAATCTAGAACTGTGTTAATTACGAAGTAGCTCTAATTGCTAAAAAAAATTTACCTGAACACCTGAAATTCAATGTTTTAGGATAACTGTCACTTCCTTGAAAATTGGAAGCTCTTTGCTGATTATGTCTGAACACAATGCAAGTGGATCTGAAAAGAAAGATTATAAAATACAAGATTTGTCTACATTCATGATAACAAAAAGGGCTTAGCATTTATAAAGGGCTTTTCCTCCCCCCAGGATGGGTGTACTGAAGTGCTCCATCCTCTACGTTCTCCTAAAACAGACACCCTGCTGCTCAAATAGAGGCGAAGTTTTAGAAAGAGAATGCTTCTACCAGACAGGGATGAGAACAGTGGTGTTAGGCCATCATTGAGGGGGTGGGGAGCAGAGATACATGAGTATTATTATTAGCTGTAATACCCAATTAAGTGTTTTGGTTAAAAAAGGAAACAAAAAATTTTGTCACTGTACCTGTTACTGGTAACTGATGCTTTCTATTTCTGACAACTGGAGTTGGACATTTACAAGCTTGTTCACTAAAAGAAGATGGAGATTAGGGTATTAAAAATAAAACATAACATTAGCAATGAGGGCAAAGCACTTTTTATGAATAAAGCAGAGTAAGAATGCTCAGTGTTTAGCAAGCAGAAGAATAGCAGTAGGCAGGGTACGGGCTGACTACACATGTCTGGAATAGTTTGTAAATTCAGTAGCCCTGAATATAATCTTTGGAGCCACTGGCAGACCTAAGATATTCTGAGGGGAGAAAGAACAAAATTAGAGATAAATGAGAAGGAGGAGTGAAGAACAAAGGAAAGAGAATACAAGGAGGAAAACAAACAGAAAAGAAGTACACAAAGTACAGAGTATTAACTCTCTACTTTTAGCCCCTGCCTTTATTTTCAGAAGAATCTGGACATGGCATCAGCACGGATTAGTGTGGGAAGAAGCAGGGAGATCAGTGAAGAGGCTGTTATGGCAGGGTAACAGGAATCAGAGGAGACTAACTAGCACAGCCCCAGGTGAGGAAACTGAGGCTCAAAGATAGGAAATGGTTTCCTAAGGCAGAGGAGGGCCTGGTTGACCTAGCTCAGGATGACATCAGCAGGTCAAGGGAGGATGGAGTGAAGAGCAGAAACAGCTGCCACAAAAAGGTTAAAGTCTTGGTAAGGCAGATTGACTCACACAAGAGCTAAAACCTTGAGCATTCCCTATCCCGGCCTCCTTTCACTTTGAACTGACACATCTACAACTGATTTTCCCATGCATTGCAGCATATGTGGATTTTAGTAGTCTGAAGAAACCTCAGTGCCAGCTTGACCTGGCCTTTAGATTTACCTGGACTCAGCTCCCAATTATATACCTCTTCTTCTTCCCTCAGGCAGAATTTGCTCTTAGTCTGGACTCAGAGTTGCCAAATAAATGGCATATGTAGGACCAGAGGCCCTACATGACAGTTACTTCAAGTCAGCAGGTATTTTAGGTGTTAATCAGTAGAAACTGTCAGAAGTTGCCCACCCTCATGGAAATGAAATCCTCCATCTCCCAAACACAGGTGAATGTAACATGATATAACACGGGTGAGCCACCTCAGCTGCGAGGGAAACTATTAAAGGAAACTGGGAACCAGAAGGCATCATGATTGAACTAAGGTTGAAATAGAGGGGTGAGGAGGTGGGTTTGAAGGCTCTGGCCACCATGAGAAGTGTAGAGCCTAGAACAAGTCAAATAGTGTTTTCTTCTCCATCTTCAACATTTCGTATAGGTATAATCAAGTTAAAATGAGAAAAAAGAAGGGAAAGAAATGATCAGAGAAAGTTTAAGATGTTCAGTGGCACCTTCAGAACACTGGAAGGACACTCCTATGCCCCTTGCCAGGGCACTGGAAATGAGTCTCCTGGACTCAGCATCATATCTGTGTAAGGAGCACGAGGTTAGTATGGTGCAGCAGACTGAGTGCTGAATTTAGAGGCAGACAGTCTGGGGGCCAACGCCAGCCCTTCAGCTCACAACTTCTGTGACCCTGATCTCTAACATCCTTCCAACTCTAAATCCCATGAACAATGCTTTAGCATCAGTTGACAAAATTATTTCCCCATCTCTGACTTTGTCTAGCCACCAGCAACAAGGAGGTCTTGCTGGCTTTTGGTTGAAAAACTGTAGACAGTGGCCAGAAGAACAAACAAACAAAAAACATGGGGCCAGATAGACAAGAGTCAACAGGAAAAATCAAATGGTCTGACTAGGGACTATATACTTAAGAAAGAAAGGTTCTTTCAAATCTGGCCTCCGACACTTAATGCTTATTAGCTGTGTGACCTCGGACAAGTCACTTAACCCTATTGTCTAGCCAAAAAACAAAACAAAACAAAAAAGTTCTAGACATGCTCATGTTCTAGACTCTGCTAAGTCCTGGGGATATAAAGGCAAAAATGACAGTTCTTGCCCTCATGGAGTTTATATTCCACAGGGGGAGATAACATATATTTGTACAATTATAAGCAAAATAAACAGAAAATAATTCAGGGAGGAGGAAGGCTCCTAGATGCTGTGGGAATTAGGAGAGGCCTCACACACGTCATTATCTCAAGGATGAACTATGTACATAAGACTGAAGAAAATTTCTGTTTTGTCTAATCCCCACAAACTTCTCTGTCCATAAGCAAGCATCTTTCAGTAAGCATTGCTAGACTGGTTCTGACTTAATGGCTTCATCCTGCCTGTTCTTCTTACCTGAGCTAGGGGGACAAGCTATGAACCTGGACCAGCACAAACAGCTGAGTACCCTGACTTCTACTTCCTGTTGAGGACTCTGTGCTGATCACATCAACCCCTGGAATTATGTGGAGCCTCCAGAAGCATTTAAGGGTTTTACCTAACTATCCAGAAAGGAAAAACCAAGGGGATAAAGGCTCTCTGTTGTTGCAGACACTGATATACAGTGGGAAAGCCAGCCAACAGATCAAGGACAAACACTAAAGATGGATAATGAGCTGGCCCAGAATTTAATAAGAGAAATAGAGTGGGCAGGATTCAATCTGGGAAATCGTGCAATGCTTTCAATAACCCAGGCTTCTTCCTGAAATAAAACCTGATCTTTGTAATGCGAACAGCATTCCAATGATGCTATAGGGATATAAATCATGGAAGAATCAAAATTACTAACCACCCAAAGGGCAAAGGACAGGTACCCAGTGTACATAAATAGGCTGCAGCATATTTTTTATTCAATCATTTTTCAGTTGTGTCTGACTCTTCACGACCCCATTTGGGGTTTTCTTGGCAAAGCTACTGGAGTGGTTTGGCTTTTCCTTCTCCAGCTCATTTTACAGATGAGGAAACTGAGGCAAACAGGGTTAAGTGACTTGCCCAGGCACACACAATTGTCTAAGGCCATATTTGAACTCAGGAAGAGGAGTCTTATGACTCCAGGTCCAGGACTCTATCTACTGCACCACCTAGCTGCCCCCATAGGATATTACCAACAATGAACATAACCGAAGCTGCATGAACTATATAATCAAAGAGTTATATGACCTGAAAAGGGGTTGAATCTGTCATATGATAAGATCAGCAGATTACAGAGGGAGAGCCCACAGACTGCATAGTAATGTCAAAAGTAATGTCAAAAGATCTAAAGGAAAACTACCAGCAAGCTGAGGGGACTTCCAGTAGAGAACTGACTGGAGAACACTAACAAGGGTGTGACAGAATGAGAAGAGGTGAGTGGCCTGGGATCTGTACAGGTAAAGGCAATACCAACATCAATAACATCACAGATCCACTGAAGCAGCATGAATGTGGGATGTGTTATATTAATATTAAACATGCCTGCTTCATTGCTCTTTGCTTAGGTTTACCTTTCACATACTGTACCTTGTTTGTAATAACAAAGCCCTCTTCTCACAAGTCACTCCTCTGTACGAGCTATGACTTCTGGGGGCACTGGCAGTCGATGGCGCACTAGTGGTGCTCAGAACGTTGCCAGGCCCACACTCTTTATAACAGGCACTGACTGGATTTGCCTTGTCACTCCTCGTTGGATTCTGGGGCTCATGCCCTGCAGAGCCATCACACCTCTCTGCAGCATTTGGCTCACAGCTCTGAGGCTCACATTGCTTTTTGGGGCAGCTTCTTTCTGCATCAGCACCTCTATCAGTGCTATCCACTCTAGAGGTTTTGATGTATTTTGGGTATTTAAGCTCCTTGGCAAAGAATCACCAACCAATTCTCTTCTTCCTATTTTTTCCTGTAACAGAAAAATATCAAGTAAATACCTCCAAGAAGATCTATCCACATTTTGCGTTTCCTTTCATTCTCTATACAAGAAATAGGTGAATTTTGTAATGTATAACAGAAATACATTTTTATAAGTAATGGGAAACATCTCCATTTTGGAGTGGAAAAGGGAAAAACAGGCAAACATTTTATAGAAAACAAAAAATTTGGGGCAGCTAGGTGGCACAGTGGATAGAGCACTGGCCCTGGAGTCAGGAGGACCTGAGTTCAAATCTGGTCTCAGACACATAACACTCACTAGCTATGTGACTCTGGGCAAGTCACTTAACCCCAATTGCCTCACCAAAAATAAAAAAAAAAAAAACAAAACAAAAAATATACAAAGAAAGAAATGATTTCATTTCTTTGTGTTGTTTTCTATACAGATCTCAATGCAACTGTAAATGTTAGCTAGCATCATGGGCAAAAACCCACAGCAGCATATTGAAAAAAGCCCCACACTTGGAGCACTGAGACCACGTCCCAATCCTGGCTCCAAACCTTGTTACCTATGTGACCATGGGCACATTGGCTCGCCTCTCTGAGCCTCAGTCTCCTTACACCAGGTAATGATCATGCTTGCCTTCCTTATCTCACAGGCTGTTGTGGGGGATAACATGTAAATCCTGAAGGAATGGGAGCTACTCTGTATCACGAGGGGGAAGCTGATTTTTGCTAAGTCTAAGAAGGAGCTTCCTGGCAATTAGAGATGTCCACCAATTCTCTAGGGGACCGCCAGATACCAATCCAGAAGGTAGATGGATGCGCATCCAGCTCCACAGAACTTCTGCAGAAATGGATCCTGCCTGGGCTGGGCCCAAGGCCTTCATGTTCAAAAATGCCTTTTATATTCTTTCATCACTTTCAGGAATGGAGAACAGAGGTTTGTTTGCTGTTCTAAATAGCGACTCAACTTCTATAAATTAGAGGCCTGGACCCTCATACCTAACAGACTGTAAGCTCCTCAAGGGTTTACTGTCTTATCTATCTTTGTGTCTTCCCAGGAGCCAGCAGAGACCAGTCATTGAGAATATGTCTGTCCTTTAGTGAACATTAAATCAAAACCTCTTGAACCTGGCCAAAAGCAAGAATAATAATATTTATAAAACATATTAAGATTCTGGTAACATTAACACTAAAGAAAAGGAAGAAGAGATCTCTGTATATATACAGACATTCACATATCTGTATATAAGTAAGCTTCATTAGTACTAGCTATAAAGACTGAGGATCCAAGTTCAAATTCTGTCACTTTTACCCATGAACAGTGGGACCTTAGGCAGTTTAGAATGCAGGAGCCTGATCAGATCATCGCTAAGGTTCCTATTGACTCTAAAGGTATGATCCTACCACATGTTTACACACACACACACACACACACACACACACACACACACACACATATTTGTGTACTCACGCACACCCATGTGCATCTATACAGTGAAGAATTGAAATGACTTGTTCAACTGTCCTTGCTAGCTAGTCTTCTCTTCTCCAAAACTTCCTTTTATCATGGTCTACATTTTCAAATGAAAAGTTTTGATCACATGCTGCAGATGCTCGTATTTCTCCTACTTGCGATAGACCCATTTAGAAAGGATTTTTGCCTCCAACCTTAACAAAAATCTTTGCAAGAGGCTTTATATTCCTGAAAATAAGCAAGCTGACCTCATCTTCTTTATTTTCAAGCTGTTTTATTCTGTGAAGAATTTCTTTTGCCTTCTTCCAGAAGTCTTCAATATTCTTCTCTCTCATCTTCAATTCTTTCAACTCTTGTGCTTCATTCATATCAGAAGAAAATTCTTCTAGGTTTAGAGATAATTTCTCTGCTTTTATAAAACAGAAAAAAGTGGATAGTTTATCATTTACTACAAAGCTTTATCATTTTAGTCATTTAACTAGGTAATAAAACAAAAAAAAAGTTGCTCATCTACTCATCTACCACCTTTCCAGCTTATCTTCATGAAAGATCTCAATAAGCATTTAATAATATGGCTACTGTGCACAGAATACTATGCTAGGTACTGGGAGAAAGAGATAACAGACTTTAGATAAGATAAAATTTAGTAGGAAAATGACATTCATGAATAATCATGAAACCAAATCATATCTGACTGGCCATATTTATTTGTTACCAGGGAAGGCTTTTATTTTTGTTTCTGGGGGGAAATTTGAAAATGAGCATGGGGTAATGATAGTAATATTTCAAAAAGAAAGAAAACAAAGAAAGAATATTAATGAATCATTAAAAAAAACAAACAGAAGAGAGCAAAAGGAAGTTCAGAATGAAACAAAAACAGGATAGTGTTAGAATTACCATGTTAAATTTAAATTATACAAAAAAAGATGTATGTAGTGGAAAAAAAAGAACCTATACATAATAATTTAATTTCATATACAATTCCCTTTTTCTTATTCTTTTCCTGTTAAAATGATCTTGTTTGTTGATGTTCATTAAGTTCTTATGAAAAAGAAAATTAATTTTTTTTTTGAGGCAATTGGGGTTAAGTGAGTTGCCCAGGGTCACACAGCTAGTTTCAAGTGTTTGGTCTGAGGCTGGATTTGAACTCAGGTCCTCCTGACTTCAGGGCCAGTGCTCTATCCACTGCGCCACCTAGCTGCCCCCGAAAATTAATTTTTTTGAAAAGACACAATAATACATGATAAGTACACTACAGAAATGGTTATATGAAGTCTGAGGGGCAAATCAATAGCAAGGACCAAGAAAGACTTCATGGAGAAGGAGGCATTTCACAGAATCAAAGAATGTCAGAGCTGAGCAGAACTTCAAAAGTCATCTAATCCAGCCCCAAAATTAACATAAGTATCTTCTTTTAAAGGAAATTGCTATCTTTTATTTTCATGTCATCTTCATTTCAAAATATAACTATCTCTCCCTCCCATATCCTGGAGAACCTTGTAAAAGAGAATAATAAAGGAGAAAAAACATATTAGCAGAACTAAACAACAAATCAATCTAGTCTGACTGTATGGGTAACGTTCCACAATCCACCAAGAATGCAGGTAAATGCACTTTTTTCTTTGGTGCCAATGCAAGAATGTTTTCTAGGACATACTGAACAAGTGATCATCCAGCTTTTGCCTGAAGAAGTGTAGTGAGAGCAAGGTCCACTACCTCCCAAGACAGCCCATTCTACTTACAATTGGGTAGTTCTAATTATTAGGAAGTTTTTCCTTTTGGCTAGCCTAAATCTGCCTCTCTGCACCTTCCACCCACACATCCAGCTCTTAGGGGTGGGGGTGGGGGGTCAAGTAGAACAAACTTAACTCCTTTTCCGCATTATAGCTACCAAGACTCTTCCTAAATGCTCACCTCTGGGGTAAACATCCCCAGTTCCTTCAAAGGATCATAGCTACAGAACCGGAATGAATCTTAGTTCGATACCTTCATTTTCTTCGTCAGCAAACTGAGTCTCAAAGAGTGTCAGTGATGTCACTAAGGTATACCATTAAGAAGCAGAGCCCTGATTCACACTCAGGTCCTCTGACTCCAAAGTCAATCTTCTTTCCATCACACCATGCTTAGATTTATATAATGCTTTTAGGTAATTAAGGGTTTTCTTCTTTTTTACCACCAACATAAATGCAAATAAATCTATATAAAACCGGGAAGAACTGTTTTTGTTTTGTTTTGATTTGCTTTTTAAATCAAGAGTAAACTTACTAATTTTTTTGCAGTTGTGAAGCACAAAGGTAGCAGCTTTGTTTAGTTCCTCATTCTGTGATTCAGTTAAGACTTGGATCATTAATGGCAGACCATTGTTCTTAAACAGATGAAGCTGATTCTCTTCTATAAAATATAATCTATGTTAGATAAAATTGTGACAGCAAATTATTTCGTCATTAAATACTCTAAACCACACTCTAATTCTTTCTTGCAGGAATTTTAAGCAGTTGCAAAAATTTCCAACAGATAACACAATTTCTCCCAATCAAAAATGTTGTTCATTAAGCTAATAAAAAATTAAAGGAAAAATATATATAGAGAGAGAGTTCTAAAGTATTTTCAACCCAGGCAATAATCTTTGCTCTAAAAATATATCATCTTATCAAGTGATAAACATTTTACTTTTGAACTTGAATATGTGTGTATGTACGGTTATTAAGATATACACGTATATCTAAACATATACATATATATTACATACATATAGTTTGGATAGATTGCTGTACTTGCTTCAAAGATTTCTCTCTCTACTAATGTAAGTCACAGCCCCTCTACAACTGAGCAAATGGTCTTCAATATTTGCCATGGGCAAAAAAAAAAAAAACCATCATCACCCAGTACCTCTATACTCTAAGCTTTTCCAGCATAACTGGCCTAGACAGAGTCTGTGCTTCATTAGCACAGCTTTTAAAAATCTAAGGTACTCTCTCCATCTCTCAATGAAGTATTAAAAAGGAGTCATCCCAGGAAGGAAATCCTCCCTAATTAGAGAAAAATACCCCTAAACTATCCAAATTTTGACTTAAACATGCAAAATCAACTCAATTAGGCTAATGCAATTCAATCTGTGTATTTTTCAGTTCTATTGTTTCTTCATGTCTGCATTTCCTTGTGCACTTCTTAATTAGTATCACCATCAGAAGATGGAGATAAAAGAAATGGAAAATCTTAAAAGTGTCCCCAGTCATTATGATATTATGTAAATAGCTGAGGTTGGGAATTGGGAGACCTGTGTTCTGATACCAACTCTACCATAAACTCACAGTGAGAACTCACTTGGGAAGATATTAAAATGTGAATAATAATACTTGCCCTTTCTACATCACAGCTGCTGTGAGGATCCAATAAGACGGCATATATAAAATGCTTTGTAAATTCTCCAATTCTACAGAAATGGCACATTGGACAATCTGCATGATTTGCTGCTCTGGAAGGTACTAAAGAGCAGCTGTTTTAATAAACCCAGTGTAAAGTATTATGGAATAACATTTTTCTGATTTTTAAACATCATTTCAAAATAATTTATTTTAGAATTTTATGACAATCACAAGATGATAGAATGTTAGAATTAGAATGGAACTTAGAGATCATATTATCATTGGGAAGAGAAGCTCAGGAGCTGAAAAGGCTTCAGAGACCTTCATTTAACCCTTACCCCAATTTAATGAATGAAGAAACTGAGGCTGTGAAAGGGACTTACCCAAGGTCTACTTGTTTTTGTTGTTAGTAAAGTTCTAAATTTGGGCAAGTCACTTTGAAAAAAATGATTATTCAAGTTTTAATTTGTCACTTTAATTGATACCCACTTTGAGCCTCCTCTCTCTGTGAGCTTATACCCACCTGTCCTTCTCTGAATTTCAATAATACTTAGAATCAAACATAACTTCAAACTTGTTTACATTATTCTAAATGTTTTTTGCTTATAAAAGTTCTATCTACCTCATTAGATTATAAACTCAACAAGGGCAGGGAATATATCTTCTATTATTCTTACATTCCATAGCTTTTAGCACAATGTTGGACACATAGTAAGTAAATATTTGTTAAAATGATGTGGCTGACACTTTGTGAGGAAGTCAGATTTTTATAAACAAAATTCCTAAAAAATATGTGACAAGTACTCAATAAATATCATATGACAGAAATAACTTTTTCTTAATTCTTTACTTTTTCCTTGTATTGTATTTCCCCCACAATTTCACGTTTTCCACTTAATTATATAAGAGATTCATGGTTTTTGTTTTCTATATATTCCCAAATTTGAATAACCATTTGAAAAGACAGAAATTATAGAGTCCTATAAGGAAACATCATTGTAATTGGAAGTTCATGAAAACTATTGTAGGTTCTACTTTACAAAACAATAGCTATAATTTACATTGTGCTTTAAGGTTTGCAAAGAATTTTGCAAATATTATCTTGCTTGATCCTCACAACAATCTTGAGAGGAAAGTACGATTGTTATACTCATTTTACAGATGAGGAAACTGAGGCAGACAGAGGTTAAGTGACTTGCCCAGGGTCACACAGCTAATAAATTTATGAGATGGTCTATGAACACCAATCAGGTCTTCTTGACTTCAGGTCCGGCATTATCCACTGCTCAACCTAACTTACAGCTGGCTAAGAAGATAGGAAACATGTTAACATGCCACATCAATTTTATTTTCTAATGACAATATTCCAGTGGAAAATCCAGCTCAAAACTAAAATGAAGGAATCAAAACAAAGAAAAAGAAATTGATAGGATCTGAATCTGTTAAAGACAAGGAAGTTATGTCTCACGAGGATCTGTGGTAATTCTTGGGAGAATCCAGGTCAGGGGACCTTCTAGAGCTAGAAGGAACCCAAGAGACCATCTCATTCTACAGATAAGGAAACTGGGCCTTAGAGAAGTTGAATGACTTGAATAAAGTATCAGTAGAAGAGCTAGGATTTGAATCAGGCCAAACTGATGCCCAGTCTAGGCTTCTCTCCTACATTCCATGCTGGCTCAGGCTTACTGGGGAACAAAACGTATGAAGTGCTTTCCTAGTCATCTGCGGTACCAAGTTCATTCAATGAAACCCATACTTACCACAAGCTTCTGTGCAATGTCCAAGGGCAAGAATAATGCTAAATTTTTCTCCTGAATCCAGACTCTCATTAAGTAGCAGTGTCAGAAGCTTGGATACAATGTGATATTTGGCCACTACTACCCCAACAGCAGCTGTAAGCACAAAAGATCAAAAAAGAGTAAGTATTAGAAAACTTCAGATATATATATAGATATAGATATAGATATGTTGTCTATTTTCCAGAGTCTTCTCTAACTCCTTTTGGGAGCTACATAACCACTGGGAGACTGTGGGGAATCACACTTGCCTGCATAAAATCTCATTCCACCAGCACACTATGAAAGGTTGTCCTATGAACAAGAAGACATTCCCTCTCAGCCTCATCTGAACACATGTAGACTCTGGTTGCTGGGAATCCTGTTGCATGACAAATGTCATGCTGATTACATGGTAACATACTCTTATCTTGCTTGGCCTTTGAACAGAAATGTGTCACCAAGTTGTGATCTCTCTGCTGGTGCAGGATTCTCTTGCTATGCCCATGCTTGAATATGGTTCACAGTTCTGGGTGGCGTCCTGGGGCAAGGAGGAGTGCTGGCGTGGTAAAGCTTGTAGTGGCTGTACAGAAGAAAGCCTCCTCATAGTTCAAGACATAAAAGAGTGCTTGTGGTCATTCACAGACCACAGCACAGGCCAGAAAAGGAGTAAACACCTCACCCTTGATCACAGAACCTTGGAAGAACTGAAAATTTTCAGGTCCCTACAAGTATCTCTGAAAACAGCTGCACAAAACCCCCGAAGCCTAGGACAATACATTCTCCACACTAGAAGCAGACTCCTACCTTAACAAAGAATTTATAACTCAAGTAATTGGCTGGGATCTTAGCAAGCAGAGCAAAAAGAATCAGACCATAGAATCTTTCTTTGGTAACAAAGAAGATCAAAATATACAACCAGAAGAAGACAACACAGTCAAAGCTCCTACATCCAAAGCCTCCAAGAAAAATATGAATTGGTCCCAGGCCACAGAAGAGCTCAAAAAGGATTTTGAGAAGCAAGCAAGAGAAGTAGAGGAAAAACTGAGAGTGATGCAAGAAAATCATGAAAAACAAGTGAACAACTTGCTAAAGGAGACCCAAAAAAATAATGAAGAAGATAACACCTTAAAAAATAGCCTAACCCAAATGGCAAAAGCGGTCCAAAAAGCCAATGAGGAGAAGAATGCCTTAAAAAGCAAAACTGGCCAAATGAAAAAGGAAGTCCAAAAGCTTACTGAAGAAAATACTTCCTTAAAAATTAGAATGGACTGTGTGACCCTGGGCAAGTCACTTGCCCCCAATTGTGTCAAAAAAAAAATAGAATGGAGCAATTGGAAGCTAGTGACTTTATGAGAAATCAAGACACTGTAAAACAAATTCAAAAGCAAGAAAAGATAGAAAACAATGTGAAATATCTCACTGGAAAAACAACTGACCTGAAAAATAGATCCAGGAGAGAAAATTTAAAAATTACTGGACTATCTGAAAGCCATCATCAAAAAAAGAGCTTAGACATCATCTTTCAAGAAATTATCAAGGAAAACTGCCCTGATATTTAAAACCAGAGGGCAAAATAGAAATTGAAAGAATCCACCCATCACCTCCTAAAAGAGATCCCCAAAGAAAAACTCCTACGAATATTGTAGCCAAATTCCAGAGTTCTCAGGTCAAGTAGAAAATATTGCAAGCAGCCAGAAAGAAACAATTCAAGTATTGTGGAAACACAATCAGGATAACACAAGATTTAGCAGCTTCTACATTAAGGGACAAAAGGGCTTAGAATGTAATATTCCAGAGGGCAAAGTAGACAGGATTACAACCAAGAATCACCTATCTAGCAAAACTGAGCATAATCCTTCAGGGGAAAAAATAGACATTCAGTAAAATAGAGGACTTTCAAGCATTCTTGAAGAAAAGACCAGAGCTGAACAGAAAATCTGACTTTCAGAAACAAGACTCAAGAGAAACATGAAGAGGTAAACAGGAAAGAGAAATCATAAAAGACTTATTAAGGTTGAACTGTTTCTATTCTGCATGGAAAAATGACATTTGTAACTCATGAGTCCTTTGTCAGTATCAGAGTAGTTGGAAGGAAAAAAATTATAAGTATGTGTGTGTAGATAGACAGATAGATAGATAGATAGATAGACAGATAGATAGATAGATTTATTGATAGATAAATAGAGGGCACAGGGTGAGCTGAAGATAAAGGGGTGATATCTGGAGAATAAAATTAAGGGGTGAGAGAGGATTATACTGGGAGAAGGAGAAAGGGAGAGGTAGAATGGGGTAAATTATCTCACATAAAACAGACAAGAAAAGGCTTTTACAGTGGAGGGGAAACAGGGGGAAGGTGAGAGGGAATGAATGAATCTTATTCTCATCAGATTTGGCTTAAGGAGAGAATAACATACACACTCAATTGGGTATGGAAATCCATCTTACCCTACAGAAAATCAGATTTGGCTTCAGGAGAAAATAACATACACACTCAATTGGGTATGGAAATCCATCTTACCCTACAGAAAATAGGGGGAGAAGGGGACAAGAGAGCAGGAGGATGATAGAGGGGAGGGCAGATTAGGAAAGGGAGTAATCAGAAGCAAACACTTCTAGAGAGGGACAGGGTCAAAAGAGAGAATAGAATAAATGGGGGGGCGAGATGGGATGAAGGGAAATATACTTAGTTTTTCACAACATGACTACTATGGAAGTGTTTTGCATGACTGCACATGTATAACCTGTATTGAGTTGCTTGCCTTCTCAATGAGGGTGGGTGGGGAGGGAGGAAGGGAGAAAACTTGGAACCCAAAATTTTAAAAACAAAAGATAAAAAAAAATTTGTTTTCACATGCAACTGGGAAATAAGATATACAGGAAATGCGGTACAGAAATCTATCCTGCCCAACAGGAAAATTGAAGGGGAAGGAGATAAGAGAAGGGGGGGAAAGACAGAAAGGAGGGCAGATTAGGGGTATTCAGAATGCATGCCATTTTGGGGTGGGGGAGGGACAAGACGGTGAGAAAATGTGGAACTCAAAATCTTGTGGAAGTGAATGTTGAAAACTAAAAATAAATTAATTTTAAAAACTCAATTAAACTAAATTATGCTCTTACTAATCACAGTTATTGGAAAGCACTACATTTATATTCACTCCAAATAAGTAAGGTATGCATAAATTGGACTTAGATCCCTTTCTTCTGTTCCTTCAATATGAGCATTTAGTTACTAGTATGAAACCTTTATTTCACATCTACTATTGGTTAAACACAAGCAGTGTGAATAACCTCTCTACCATCACCAACGCTTTGGTTGATGCCAAATGTTCTCAATTGTCATTCTGTAGGTGTGACACATGCAGATGTTAGAATTCCATCACTCACGGTTGTCAGCAATGCAGGCGTCCAGGGTCTTAGTCACCACCACTGCCAGCTTAGCACTGGGCAGGTTCCCACGGGAATCATGTTCCAGCTTTATCAGAACTTCAGATAGTATGGCCAGTCCACCAATAGATATAAAATATTCTTGTACGTGTGCTCAGGAAATAAAGTAATAAGATCTTAGAACCAAAGAAAGTTAATTATGATTTTATCTTATTTATATACTAAATGCAACATTAGCTACACTTAGCTTTTTTCACATGCCTAGTTTAAAAGTCCACAAGTTAAGGAAATGTTAAATATGCATGATGACAGTTAAATGCAGCTACCTGCCTGGACTGGGAGCTGGGGGGGAGGGGTAAGGGAAGAGCACAGAAGAGCTCTATCCTCTTAGATGTTAAAGTCTTCCATGCCCTAAAACTCACTACCTTGCACCAATTTACAAATGGCATAGGGGATAAAGTGCTAGATTTGAAGTAAGAAAGACCCAAGTTCAAATCCTGCCTCAGGCACTTCCTTAGCTGTGTGACCCTGGCCAAGCCATTTAACCCCTCTCAGCCTCAGTTTCCTCATCTATAAAGTGAGGATGATAATAATGCCTACCTCACTGGATTGTTGTGAAAATAAAATGAGATACCATAGTCAAGTGTTTTGTAAATCTCTAAGTGCTATAAAAAGGATGACTATACTTGAGAAAACCAGCATGCCTTAGTCCTCTAGGACTACCAAGTGCCCAGGTAGGTGAGGGCCACCACTGCCTCTAGGGCTCTTAGACCAGCACCTATTCCTTCTTTTGCCAGCATCTCCCAGTGCCTGGTAGGTCCTCTTCTCCAAGGGTTCCCCTTCCATCTGTGGAGTCAGTACTACTTTGTGCTGTGTCACTGAATAATCTGAGCACTCTACCGCCAGTACCCTGGAAGGCAGAAGCCAGACAGGGGTCAGTAGGTCCTTAGTCATGCAAAAGGAATCTTCATTGCCTGTGCCCTTTACTGCGTGAGACCTCCATTATCACTGAGCACCCAGGTAGGTGGCAGTAGCTGCTGACACAGAGACCCCTGCTCCAGCACCCATTCCTCCCTTTGCCATTCCCAGTCCTAGAATGCTCGGCTTCAAATCCAATCCCAACCAGAGACCAGACTTACGGGCCTCCTCTCCTCAGAGCTTCTTGCACCACACAGAGGCACTATCTATTCTTCCCTACTTCACTAAATCCTAAAAAATAAAATATTTCAGCCTGTTTGCCACCAAGATTCCATCTAAAATCGTAACCTAGATACCCATCCTCCCATGGCTCCAAGTGTATATTACATGCAGAGGATGCTGAGCGAGCTTCAAACCTGACCAGAAGAAGTCCTGATCACTAAGAATTTAACAACCCAGACGCCTGACCCAACTCCTCAGCTGAAGAGAATAGGCTTTTGATATCCTCAATCAACAAGGTACCCTGGAGGGCAGGAGCTTAAATACGCTAGCATTTTGCCTATCCTTTGGGAAGTAAACGCCCACCAACTCCTATGATTCAGAGTCAGGTTGGCTAAGACAACTTCCCTCCCCCTCCAAACATCATTTTCAGATATGACTGAGGTGTTGGTTTTGATGAATTGCTTTTTTTCCTCTTTATTTTTTTTTTCATTTTTGTTACAAGGGATAACTCATTGGGTAGCAATATATTTAGAAATAAAAATGACAAAAAAACAAAAGACAATAATAAAAATAAGATAAATCATAAAAAAATGCAAATGGAACCACCATATTTCTGTGCTAAATGAAAAAATAGAAATGGCACTAAAGGAAACAAAAGTGGCCCTTTGACCCAGCAACAGCACTTCTAGCGCTGTATCCCAAAGAGATCATACAAATGGGAAAAGGACCCACATGTAAAAAATATTTATAGCAGCTCTTTTTGTGATGGCAAAGAACTGGAAACTGAGGGAATTCCCCATCAATTGGAGAATGGCTGAACAAGTTGTGGTATATGAATATAACAGAATACTATTGTGCTATAAGAAATGATAAGCAGGCAGACTTCAGAAAAACCTGGAAAGACTTGTAGCGACTGATGCTAAGTGAAGTGAGCAGAACCAGGAGAACATTGTACACAGTAAAAGCCACGCTGTGCAATGACTAACATTGATAGACCTACGTCTCAGCAATGTAAGGATCTAAGACATCTCCAAAGGTCTCATGATGGAAAATGCTAGCCATATCCAAAGAAAGAACTATGGAGCTTGAATGAAGATTGAGCATACTATTTGCTGTTTTTCTTCTTCTGTTTTGTTTTGTCTTCTCTTTCTGGTGGTTCCTCCTATTGGTTCTAATTCTTCCTTACAACATCACTAATGTGAAAATATGTGGGGCAGCTAGGTGGCACAATGGATAGAGCACAGGGTCTGGAGTCAGAGGACCTGAGTTCAAATCTGGCCCAGACACATAAAACTTACTAGCTGTGTGACTCTGGGCAAGTCACTTAACCCCAACTGCCTCACCAAAAAGAAAATATATATATTATATATATATATATATATGTATAATAGGAATGTATATGTATAGCCCACATCAGATTGCACACTATCTTGGGGAGAGAGGGCAAGAGGAAGGGGGAGAAAAATTTAAAACTCAAATGCTTATAGAAGTGATTGTTGATAAATGAAAATAAATTAATAAAAAAAAGTTAAAAAAAAGTGGGAGGTACAGCTAGAGTAGCCTATGTATGTGAAGAGGAAGTCCATGCTATCTTAATGAAATAATTTTAAGGGTACTGAAGAATTTTCAAGATATCTAAAAGCAAGGAAGACATCAAATAATTTGGAAAAAATTACAGGTATTACTGCAACCAAAAAAACATGATCAAGAAAACAGCCAGAAATTCTCACCCATATATCTGCTTTCTCATGACTAGAAATTTTTATAAGAATAATTTCTTTGAGCCGAGAACATTGTACACAATAACAGTGATGTTGTGCGATGACTAATATTGATAAACTTAACCCTTCTCAGCAATACAAGGATCTAAGACATTTCCAGAGGCCTCGTGATGGAAAATGCTATCTACATCCAAAGAAAGAACTATGGAAGTTGAATTGCTATCTTTTTTTTTCTCTTCTGTTGAGTTTTGTTTCCTCTTTCTGATGGTTCCTCCTATTGGTCTTAATTTTTACTTACAATATTACTAATGTGAAAATGTTTAATAGGAATGTAAATGTACAGCTTATATCAGATTGTACACCGTCTTGGGGAGGGTGGTGGCGAGGAAGGGGGAGAAAAATTTTAAACTCAAAAGCATATGGAAGTGATTGTTGATAAATCAAAACAAATTAATAAAAGAAAAAAAGGGAAAAAATGCAAAAAAAAAGAATAATTTCTTTGGCTCACCTATTTGTTCAAATGTAATGTGGTCACTGACAATGCCCTATTAATATTACGAAGTAAAAATATGACCATTTAAGCAAGCTTAGTCAATACCAATATCAAGGGCATCCTTGATATAAGAAACAGGCAGGCTTTTTACAAATGAAATTTCACAGCTGATTATATCTTTACTGATACACAATTGCCTGAAAGGGACAGCATATCCAAAACCTCACTGTGCTTATTGACTACAAAAAAAGGAACTGAGTGGAAACAAGAAAATGTCACTTTCAAACAAGGTGTTTCCTATGCATATGTTAAAACTATACAAGAGTCTCTGAAAGACACAAAGAAATAAATTTGTTTAGTGAGCCTCTGATTATTAATATCAAGCAAGGCATAAGGCAAGGAGCTATGTACTTTCCAAAGGTGTTTCTCAGGAAAGATGACTAATCTGGGGTCCAGATTGAAGAGGGGTACCCTATAAATGGTGAGAGTCTCCAGATGCTTCTCTTTGTAGGTGACATTCTGGTTGTGTTAAGCCTTGGACAACTGCAACAGTATTCTCATTAATATTCTTACCTCCATTCTCTCCCATCCATCTCTAACACAGATGTCCCCCCAGATCTTTATAAGGCAAAATTTGACTATGTTACTCCCCGACTCAAAAATCTTCAGTGTCTCTTTATTGCTTTGGGGATAATGTGCTTGAATTTGTCAATTACAGCCCTCCGCAATCTGGCTCCCACTCTTTTTTCCTATTTCTCCTTTTCACTCTACATTCCAATCAAACTAGCCTACTCATTAGAGTATGGACTTAGTATTCTACTCCCCATCTCCATGGCTTTGTACAGGCAATCTCCTCTGCCAGGAATATGTGGCCTCTTCAACTCTATTAGAATTGGTCACTTTCTTCAAGATTCTTCTTGAAGACTGCCACTCCCCACATAAAAACTTTACTGACCTCCCAGGTGTCAGTGCTTTCTCTCTCTCCAAATTATCTTACATTCATGTGTGCCTGTTTAGACTCTCAGTAGAAAGTAATATCTTTAGAGGTAAAGACTGTTTTATTTTTATCTTTGGTGCCTACTATAGTATCTTGCACATGATACGTCCTCAATAAATGTTTGAATTGAACTTGAATTGGAATGTAGAAGAAAATTCTTATTTGGCATTTATGCACATATCAATTACAAACCAACTCTTAAATTGTATTTACATCAATATACCTATGCTTTTCTATAAGCATGTTTAGACTATTCTCTCTTCTACTGTACAGAAATATCTTCTCTGTACTTCTCCAGGGAAAGTAATTTGATAAGCCTTGAAGTTCCAAATTTAAAGGGCCTAGTAGAATCACAGTGAATAGATTTACTTATTTAGTTTGTAATCATGAAGCTGCCAACTTTGTCTGTTCCTAATTTATTTAATACTAGAGCAGCTAGGTGGCACAGTGGATAAGTACTGTGTCTGGAGACAGGAAGACTCATCTTCAGGAATTCAAATCTGGTCTCATACATTTACTAGCTGTATAACCTTGGGCAAGTGTTTGCCTCAGTTGCTTATTTATAAAATAAGCTGGAAAAGGAAATGGCAAACCACTCCAGTATCTTTGCCAAGAGAATCCCAAATGGGATCACGAAGAGTCAGATACATCTAAAATGACTGAACAAGAACGATTCATTCAATCCGAACACAGAACAAAGTAATATAACTTTTGTCCAAGAGCATTTTTTTCATTCCACCTATTCTAGCTAATGCTCATTACTTCTCAGAATATATGAATTACTACACTAAGGAATGCAGGTAAATAGCATATACTCTACGTAACCTTGTAACATATATTTGTCTTTCTAACAATCACTGCAAATACAGCCACCACGACCAAACAAGTAACTGGTTCACTAGCAGGAGAAGACACCTTCGTGTCTTCTTTGGCTTACTTGTTTATCCCTGCCCAAACGTTCCTCCTTCACCTGTTGGCCTTCTCTGCAGATCTTTCTAATGGAAGACTTCCTAGGCATAAAGCTGGCGATCTAATTACAGACTTAGTTACATGTATGGTCACTAATTATTATTCTGCCATAACTTCCTTTTCTCCGGCACAACTCTAGTTCCATGAATTAAATGCAAGAACAATTAAAGAAACAAGACTATTTTTACCCTAATGTTCTTAAGGAATATAAAGCTTTAATTCTCAGTAGGGGAGAAGAGTCTTTCCAAAATTTTCTACACTTAGAAATGAAACTATAAGAAAAATTTCCAGGACAAGGCGAGAATCCAAGAAGTTTTTGATAAAATCACTAGAAAATTTTTATGAAAAAAAAATTCTAAAGTTAGGCTATATGACTACATAAAATGAGTTTTCATCAGTTTTTAAAGCATATCTCAAATAAAGAACACTTAGACTTGCAAAGTGATAAGCATCTTTGGTCACCTTGTGTCATACTATACAATGAACAGTTCAGCATTTCTGCTATTCTCCATTTCTTACAATCTGCTGACAGTATGCCATTCTATATCCATGTCCTTTAAGCTGAATTCTAAGGTTCAAGGAAAAGGCAAAAACCTCATGAGAGCAGTATTCAATTATTACAATTTAGGGGATCATGTTTTCTCTGCAAAACATAACTAGTCCTTTTATACCTCGGAATGTGGATAACTGCCATTAATGATTCTGTATTAATGCTTTACTTAAGCATATAAGTCTTCTCAAAATATCTTTGGTGGAATACTCATATAATTGAGTTTTCTAGTTTTTCCCCCTTCTAGTTCAAAACTAGAAAGAACCCTAAAAGTCAACTAATCCCTTCTCCTCCTCCCACCTCATTATAAGGGAACTTAGACCCAGAGAGACTTAACTAGCTGCATGACCTCGGACCAGTCACTGAGCCCCAATTTCTTCATTGATAAAGTGATGATAATGTTTGCTCTACTGACTCCACAGAGTCGTTTTAAGGATCAAATGATCTAATTTGTGTAAAGCATTCCGTAGGCCATAAAGCCCCACATAAATGGAGGAGGGATTATGAGGAAGAAAACTAAAGCCCTGGGAAGTTAAGGGATTTGCCCAAGGTTCCAAAATATTATTTGCAGGCAGTGAGTAAAGGGAAAGTCTGACCATGTGATGACCTGCTCCCCCCAATAAATTCCACTGGCTCCTATTACTTTCAGGATTAAAGATAAAATTCTCTATCTGGCTTTTAACCTTCTTCATGGCCTGGCTCCTCGTGGCCTTCTTCTGATTTGCTTATTTCCACAAACTCCATCATTTAGCTATACTCTCCATGTTGGTGATTCTCACATAGGGCATTCCTCTTCCTCTCTCTGTCTGTCCCCTATCCACGGCTGTCTCCCATGGATGCACTGGCATTCAAGGCCTCCTCACACCTACTACTTCTCTTACCTGGCTTTCTTCAAGTCTCAGCTAATACGCCAACTTCTACAGGAGGCTTTTCCTGGTCTCCCTAGCTGCCTGTGGCTTCCTCTCTGAGATTACTTCCCAGATGCCCCGTATACATCTCATATTTACTCAATTATTTAAATGTTATCTCCCCTCTCCCTAAAAGGTGAGTTCTTTGAAGAGACTTAGTATTCCCAGTGCCTGGCATATAGTAAGCACTCAATAAATGTTATTTGATTGAAATACCAAAGAGAGGTTTCAAGAGGAGGACTGAGAAAAGGCCATTTGATTTAGCAGATTTTTTTTGTTCAGTCTTTTCAGTTGTGTCCAAATTGTTATGATTTAATTTGGGTTTTTCTTGGCAAAGACACTGGAGTGGTTTGCCATTTCCTTCTCCAGTTTATTTTATTTGTTTTGGTTTTTGTTTTCAGGCAATTGGGGTTAAGTGACTTGCCCAGGGTCACACAGCTAGTAAGTGTCAAGTGTTTGGTGTGAGGCCGGATTTGAACTCAGGTCCTCCTGACTTCAGGGCCAGTGCTCTATCCACTGCGCCACCTAGCTGCCCCCTCCAGTTCACTTTATTGATGAAGAAACCGAGGCAAATAGGGTTCAGTGACTTGCCCATGGTCACACAGCTAGTAAATGTCTGAGGCCAGATGTCAGCTCAGGAAGATGAATTTTTCTGACTGCAGGCCCAGTACTCTGTGCACTGTTGCGCCACCTAGCTGAAGATTAGCGATTGCTTAAAACTTCCGAGACAATTTCAGTAAAGTAATGAGGTCAGAAGTCAGGTGTCAAAAACTGAATGGGGGGTGTGGAAGTAGGGGCAATGAGTACAGATGACTCTTTTTAGGAGTCTGGCAATGAAAGGGAGGACAGCTATAGGATAACTGTGTGAGAGGATGGCAGGATTAAGCAAAGGCTTTTAAAAGATAGGAAAAACCTGTGCAGATTTGTAGGTAGCAGGAAAGAGCCAGTAAAGAGAAGCTGGAGACTAGGGTGGCAGGAAGAGCATAAATGATAGGGCAAGCTCTGGGAAGGCAATATCAAGGATAAAAATAAAGGGATTAGACCGCATAAGAAGAAAGAGAAAAACGAGTTGTGGTGTGGGGGAGAAACGGGAGTTTTTTAACAGCATTAGCAGCTTCAGTATTTTCCCAAGTATGTGATAAATATACATTATAAACAAATTAGTGAACTAAAGCAAATGTTTATTCTTAAAAGAAATTTGTTCTTCTAAGTGCAACCATTAAAAAACACTTACTGTTATTGGCAACGGTCAGGCAAATAAATGAGCAAATAGGGCGAATTATCTCAGGTTTTATACAGCTCTGTAGCCATTTATTTGCATGTTGGAAAACTGAACTGCAAATTTTCTGGTTGACATCTAAAAGAAATTAAAATCAAATATGAGTTATTTTAGCCTGGCTAAAAATTTTCTATTTGAAGTGTGAATTATTAGTAATTAGATTTTCATTTTTGTTTATAGGTTTATTTTCACAACTACAAGTCAAGCTCAGCAAACATTTAAGCATAATTGTGTACAACACTATGTTAGACACAAAAGAAAATAAAGACAATACAGTATATGCTTTGAAGGAGCTTATAGCTTGAATAGAAGGTGAGAAAGGTTGAAGAGAAGGAAAAAAGCTTCAACAGGTGGAGATGGAAGGAAAAGATACTCCAGCTATAAAAAACCTCTGGAATTATCTAAATTAAACACCTGAGATCATTACCATTTTGTGGATTATTTACACATGCACACAAAGCACTGCACACCGAAGACCACAGCTGATAACTCTGGTAAATGGTTTCATTTGACAAATCCATCTCAGACATGGAAAGAGCTGTTCTATTAGGGAACAAGCAAATACAATGACTTAAAATGTATTGATGACTGAAATGTCAGTTACTTATTAACAAATATCTTATATCTGCTCACCTAAAAAACTGTAGCAGGATACCAACACAGCCTGTTTCTCTCACAAGAGTTTGACCGGTCCCTAAAAACACGCATAAAATGGTTTGATGACTCACGTTATTCTCTAATAGTTTTTAACAATCGAAAATAGAACTTAAGCAGCACTGTCCATATCAACACCCTCTCAATCTCCCACAAAATGACCAGTACTAATTTTATATTTTTCTATTCATAAAATGGAGAAGCCATGATCATAAAATTCAAAGCCAGAATTATTTTAAGATAATTTAGTCCAATCTTCTCACTTAACAAAGAAAAAAAATAGGTCACAAGAGGTAGGTCACATAAATGGCAGTTAGCCGACCTAAGATTTCAACATAGGTTCCCCTGGTTCCAAATCCATTACACCACACATTTACCCTTCTTTGGGTAAGTTCTATTTTAAGGAAGAAAAGTCTGGAAGCCTATCTGCTAAGAGCAATCAAGCTGAAATCTTATCAATCAAATACAGCAATCCTCAAACTCAGCCCTTGGTAAAGTACCTTAGGAAAATGTACACTGTAAGACTATATCTACAAAAACGCCTAAACAACCTATCAGTTGAGGGTGGAAATCGGTGCCAGTCATTTACTACTAAAACAGTCATTTAGTCATACGTGGACAAAACAAGTTGTTGACTGATGGGCGTGCATGCACATGCGTACGTGTGTGTAAGTATGTGTGTCTGTACAAAGAACTGACATCATTTTACTTTTCTTAATATTAAGAATATTGAGATAATTTGTTCTTAATTTCCTTCTAATAGCTTTCAGAAGTTAGTGAGACAAAAAGAATTCTGAAGAATCAGAATTAAAGGGCTGAAAAAAAACAAAGCTATTAAATTTTAATTTTAAAATGAAGCTTTAATATTTAAAAGATTTTTCTAATACAGCAAAAAAGATACCTACTGTTATTTGAAACCAGGACTAACATCACATAAACAGACATTCTTTTCAAATTGATGTTAGATTCATATTTAGATAGAAACCAAATAATGTCTTCAAAAAATTCTGAAGTGCACAAAGTTTGCTGACAATAAACTGAAATAAAAAATGCGAAATTTAAATTACTTCACAGAAGTAACAATTTAAAAAATGAACATAATAATTATTCAGTAGGTGAATATACTCACTTTCATGAATGTATAGATTAGCTATATGTTTCTATTATACTACATGACTTCTACTATAACTGATTAGCAATGATTTAATTGGTTCACCTGAGAGATCACCATCCAAGGCAAGTGTATTTAAGTGATCTTCAAAAATGGCTCCACTGCCCTAAAAAAGTGTCCATCTTGTGGAAAATGTGAACAAATGACAACTCAAAATAAAATCAGAAAAAAAAGTCTTAACGAGTTTAGGAAACAAAACGCAGACAAGCCTCTTAACCTCACGTTAGGGAATAATAAGACAAACTACGGGTGCTATTTCCCTACCAGTTTTAAGAAGTGATCACCCCCTGGCATCTTCTTTTCTCACCGTAATAATTCAGTTAAGAGAGGCAGCTCGGTGGAATGGAAAGAGAATCAGCCTTGGAGTCCAAAGGTCCTGGGCTTGTGTCCTACCTGCGATACTTATGCCTGTGTGACCTTGAGGCACATTTAACTCCTTCATATAAGCTTCTGCGTAAGGGCTCATCTGCTAATAGGAGCTCCCTACTCTGGCAAAATCCGAGGTCCACCAAACATACGCAATACGCTTTTTAAAATAATTTGGGGATTAAAATGCGCCCAACTACATCACTTATTAGACAATAAATTCAAGAGGAAAGAGAACATGTTTTACTTATCTACCTAGCTTCTCCTCAGCTGCTTAACATACTGAATGGAAAACAGAAAGTGCTTAATATATGTTTGTTTAATGGATGAATTCAATACAGGTCCTAGAACCAGTCACCAAAATATTATAGGAATTTAAAGTTGGTTAGATATAATGGTAAATTTTTGCAGCATGAGAAATGTCAAACATGAAAAATGAAGCAAAATGTAAAATGATGCAGAATTAAGAAAGCAGATTCAGAATAAATACATTCTGATTATAATGATGTAAATAATAATATTAAGCAAAAAAATCCTTAAGAAAACAGAGGAAAGGGGAAGCTAGGTGGCGTATCAGCCCTGGAGTCAGGAGGACCTGAGTTCCAATCTGACCTCAGACACTTAATACTTACTAGCTGTGTGACCCTGGGCAAGTCACTTAACCCCACTGCCTAGCCAAAAAACAAAAAACAAAAAAAAGCAGAGGAAAAAGATCTAAGAAGAAGGCATGGAAATAAGCAGGACATTTTTGTTACTACCTTGTACAGGTTAATATACACACTATTAAAAAAAAACTGTAAACAACTGAAGTTTGAAGTTTCACATGTGATCTTTAAAAAATGTGCATTTAAAATTTTCGTAGATGGCAACTAATTTTAGAATAAAGATAGTTTTTAAAGGAACAAGTGGGGGAAAATAAAGCTGAGGTGACAAACTGCTACTTTAGCTTCAAATTAAGTTATCTGCAGATAAAAATAGCATGTCAAAAAATATTTTATGCTTATAGTATGTACCCAGTACTGGGCAGTTTTAAGTCTTTGAAAATTTTTTTTTACTAAACTAGCACTCATAGAAAGCTATTTAGTGTGAAAACTAAGGAAAAAGTGCAATTTAAAAATATTTGCTGGCATTATAGAAATGTAACAATATACAAATAATAATAAAATAATAAAGTAACATTTTACCATTACATTCTGCAATAGCTCCTAATGTAAACAAGGCTGCTTCTTTTACCATGCTGTGAATGCTTGACTTTGCAAGATTTTTCACAAACATCAAACCACCAATCTCTCGAAAATAAATACTTGCATCACCTAGAGGATTGTAAACAAAATAAAGCTACATTTATCTAACAATTCTCTTATGACAAATAAAGTCTATAATGATAATGTGACAATATATTTTTTGAATATACAGAATTACATATTTTTGCACTGAAATAGCACATTAAATGAAAATCCCTAATGAAATGTTAACGTATTTTCTTACTGTTTTGCTGACAGACTGAATAAATAGTAACCAAAGCCTCCTTTTGTGAAGATGGGTTGTCCATTTGATATTTAAGACACTCTAATAATAAATTCAGGTCAGTCTTCATTTCTAAAAGAAAACACATGTTTATGAGTTCCAATTATTTTAGCCAAAAAAGTTTCAACTAATTATTTTTTCTTTCTTATGTGATAATCCTTTGAAGACAAGAAAATAAAACATAAAAACATGCTCCTTTTAAGGAACACAGAAACTATTATGAACCTACCCAGCAGTAGATACTTAATTGGATGCTCAAAAGAGCCTATGAATTCCACAATACACTGTTCTTAATTATAAGAACTTAATTTAAGTACATAATAGATAGAGTGTCAGGCATGGAATCAGGAAGACTGCTCTTCCTGAGTTCACCTCTGGCCTCACATATTTACTAGCTGTATAACCCTGGGCAAGTCACTTAATCCTATTTGCCTCAGTTTCCTCCTCTATAAAATGAGCTGGAGAAGGAAATGGCAAACCACTCCAGTATCATTGCAAAGAAAACCCCAAATGGGGTCACAAAGAGTCACAAATAAGACTGAAATGACTGAACAACAAAAAAAAAAAATTTTTAAATTAAACTAGCACCCATAAAAAGCCCTAAAAAAGTGAAAACTAAGAAAAGGAATTCAATTTTTAAATACTGGGAAAATTACCAGAATGGTTAAATAATAAAATAATAAAGTTAGGACTTCACATTCTACAATAGCTCCTAATGTAAATAAGGCTGCTTCTTTTATCATACAGTAAATGCTTGACTTTGTAAGGTTTTTTTACAAATAACAAGCCACCAATCTTGCATGTTTAAGTTTTCTCAGAAATATAGGGTCCAATAGCACTGACACAGAGTGAAGAAATCAGAACAGGAAGTGAACATACTCAATGTCTAGAAAACTTTCAACAGTTAAACTCAGATTTTTTGCAATGATCAGTCTTGGTTCCAGAGAAAACAGATGATGAAACACACTTCTTTTCTTCCAGTAAAGAGGTTTAAGAAACTATAGGGTTAGAATGTTGTATACCCTGCCAGACAGGGTTATGTGTTGATGGGTTTCGCTTAATTTTTTTTTTGTGTGATAAAGGAAGGTTCAATTGGAGAAAAGAGTATATTGGGAAATGATTACAATGTAAAAAACAAAAGGTATCAATAAAACATTTTAAAGATGTGTCAAAATACTGCACACTAAAAAAAAACTGTCAATGGATGCTTAGTCTTCTACTTTAAAAAAAATCAGTCTAGTAATTTGGTATAATGAAACAAAATTACACATGTAATAAATAATTAAATTAACTACTGAGAATCTGATAATACAAAAGGTATTACCAGGTCTTCATTCCCTAGAATAGGGGTTCTTAACCTGATGTCTGTGAACTTGTTCTTTTTTAAAAAAAAATATTTTGGTAACTGTGTTTCAATATACTTGGTTTCCTTTGTAACCCTATGTATTTTATTTTATAAACTTAAAACTATTCCGTGAAGGGGTCTAGCCTTTAACAGATTGCCAAAATGGGCCATGACACAAAAAGGCTCAAAGACCTTTTCCTAGAATGAAAAATTCAAAATAATATACATTTATCCTGCTTTCCTCTTTTCTGAATGGGGGTAGGGGAATAACAAGATTGTTCTGGGTACAGCCATAATAGGAATCAATAACTTCTTTCAATTTAATTTTATTTTTTACAGTATTTTTTTACAATTACGCATAAAGACAATTCTTATCCATTTTTTATAGAATTTTGAGCTCCAAATTTTCTCCCTCCTAACCTCCCTAAGACCATAAACAATTTGATACAGGCTATATATGTGCAATCATGTAAAACATATTTCTCTATTAGTCATGTTATGAAAGAAGAAATAGTTTGCAATAGTGAAAAAAATCACAAAAAATTCCAGTGAAAATAGAATGCTTTAATCTGCATTCAAACTCCATTAATTCTTTCTCTGGATGTAGACAGCATCTTCCATCAAGAATCTTTTGGAACTGTCTTGGATCATTTTATTGTTGGATCAAAGAATATGCACACTTTGATTGCCCTTTAGGTAGGCATAGTTCCAAACTGCTCTCCAGAATGGTTGGATCAGTTCACAACTCTACCAACAATGCATTAGTATCCCAATTTTCCCACAACCTCTCCAACATTTATCATTTTCCTTTTCTATCATATTAGCCAATGTGCAAGGTGACACCTCAAAGTCATTTTAATTTACATTTCTCTAATTAAAAGTGATTTAAGAGGATTCTTCATATGACAGTAGATAGCTTTGATTTCTGTTTCTGAAAACTCTGTTCATATCATTTGACCATTTATCAATTGGAAAATGACTTGTATTCTTATAAATTTGACTCAGTTACCTATATATTTGACAAATGATGCCTTTATCAGAGACACTTGTAAAGACAGTTTCCCAGCTATCTATACATCAATAACTTAAAATGCCAAAGATGACTTCTGCTATTAAGACTCTAAGTAAGACTGCAAAGGAGAGGAAGTTTTCTTCCTCAATCTCCCTTCTTTAACCACTCTCACTTTCTGTTGCTCTGTTCCATCCACCCCTCAAGTATCCAGTGCCCTCACACTACTCTCTAGACATTTAAAGTCCCCCTCTGTGGTATTCTACCCAATTTACCTTTCATGAAAAATGCGCCAAGTCTAGAGTTATTATTCCCTCTTCCTCCAGCCCTGATTAGGACTTTCTTCAATCAGTAAAGTAAAAAACAGTATCATTAGCAATCAAGGTAAAGTAAATATGACTTAATCCTCTAAAGAATATTTGTTTTTGGAAGGTCTCAAAATCTCCCTGGTATCTCTTACCAGTAGAATATATTGCAGAAATTTTTGAAGATGGGCACCTTTCTAGGTTCCTTACCTACTTTGGGCCATTTCTCGACCAGCTAGCACTTCTCTTTCTAAAGTGGTCCCACCAAGTAAGAAAAGGAGAAACTAGCAATTTGGCCTCTTGCTTCTAAAAGGCTGCAAACAGCCAGGCAAAATACTCCTTGGTAAGAGATACAACAGTCACTTTTATAATTTGGGGGAACTACAGGAATTGTTTCAAAAAGTAGGAATATGTAAATGTATAAAAATGTAATAAACTAAGCTTCTACTTTAATAACAACCTCATTGAAAATTAAAAACACCAACACTGGTAATTGAGTTTGTACTTCAATAACAACCTCCCTGTATTTTAATAACAACCACAATGCCTACTGCAAATTCTTGGATAAATTGGCTCTTGTGAATCCTCCTAATCCCAAAAGATTAACAAAGTCTTTATGGGGTACATTATCACTGCTTCCACTTCAGCAGCTACTTCATAGACTTATGAAATGGTGTTAATAACTTAAATTACTGATTAGAATCTTTTATTGAAGTATAAGCCATATAATTTTAATCTACTTATTATCAATTTTTATAGAAACCTGTTTGTTCTTCAGAACTAGTTTCAAAGCAAACAATGGTGATATTTAACAAGTACTGCTAAAACCAGCTCACTATGAAAATAGAAAATTTATTGGATTCTTGAAGAAAATGATACAAACTAAAAAAAGGTAAACTTCTATAACATAAATTAGGAGTTTCATTTTTAAGATAATCAAGTTTTTAGACTTTAGAGATAATCTCTTCCTCTGCCCTCTTTTTACAAAAGAACCAGAAGGTTAAATTGGGGTTAAATTGCTGCAGAAGTTCTTGATCAGGTAGAGCTGAATTACGTGATGAGGTCCTGTCTATCTCTGAGACTGCAAAGTGGAACAGCACTCTGCTACACTGGACAGCGATGGATTTATAGTCAAGGAGACATGAGTCTGAACCCTATTTCAAACATATCCTATGTGACCATAGGAAAAAACAAGTATCTCTGAGCCTTTCTATTCATCTGTTAAAGTGAGGATAATTGTGCCTGGAATACTCGCCTCACAAAGTTGTTGTGAAGCTCACGTGAGAAAATGAATGACCAATGTTTTGAACATCTTAAAGTGCTGCTGTAATGAATAATAAATAATAATAAAACTATTGTAATGAATAACATTAAATTATTTGCCCAAGAGCACATGAGAAGCAATTAGCAGAATTGGAATTTAAACCCAGATACTTTGACTCCAAATCCAACCCTTTATCTCATTAAGTGACAGTAATTAGGGCTGGGCACCGCGCCAAATGTTTGGGATACAAAGAAAGGTAAAAATACTAACCCTGTCCTCAAGGAGCTCACTTTTTTTTCCAGTTCTTTTCCTGTGACTTAATTTTTTTTAAATTTTTTTATTAATTAATTTTAGTTTAATATTCACTTCCATAAGCTTTTAAGTTTTAAATTCTCTTCCCCTCCTTCCCTTCTCCCTCCCCAAGACAGTGCACAATCAGATATAGGCTCTACATTTACATTCCTATTAAACATACTTTCACATTAGTCACATTATAAAGAAGAATTAGAACCAATGGAACCACAAGAAAGAAGAAACAAAACAGAAAAAAAAAAGAGCAAATAATGTGCTTTGATCTGCATTCAGACTCCATAGTTCTTTCACTAGATGTGGATAGCATTTTCCATCATGAGACTTTTGGAGTTCTCTTAGATCCTTGCAATTGCTAAGAAAAGCTAAGTCTATCAAAGTTAGTCATTGCACAACATTGCTGTTACTGTGTACAATGTTCTCCTGGTTCTGCTCACTTCACTCAGCATCAGTTCATTCAAGTCTTTCCAGGTTTTTCTGAAATCTGCCTGCTCATCATTTCTTACAGCACATATTCCATTACATTCATATACCACAACTTGTTCAGCCATTCCCCAATGGATGTCCATCTCCTCAATTTCCAATTCTTAGCCACCACAGAAAGAGCAACTATAAATATTTTTGTACATGTGGGTCCTTTTCCCGTTTTTATGATCTCCTTGAGGTACAGCCCTAGAAGTGATATTGCTGGGTCAAAGGGTATGCACATTTTTATAGCCCTTTGGGCATAGTTCCAAATTGCTCTCCAAAATGGTTGGATCAGTTCACAACTCCATCAATAATGCAATAGTGTTCCAATTTTCCCACATCTTCTCCAACATTTATCATTTTCCTGTTTTGTCATGTTAGTCAATCTGATAGGTGTGATGCAGTACCTGAGAGTTGTTTTGATTTGTATTTCTTTAATCAATAGTGATTTAGGGAATTTTTTCATATGATTATAGATAGCTTTAATTTCTTCATCTGAAAACTGCCTTTGACCATTTATCAATTGTGGAATGACTTGTATTCTTATAAATTTGACTTAGTTCTCTATATATTTTAGAAATGAGGCCTTTATCAAAGACATTGGCTGTAAAAATTTCCAGTTTTCTGCTTCCCTCCTAATGTTGGTTGCATTGGCTTTGTTTGTGCAAAACCTTTTCAATTTAATGTAATCAAAATTATCCATTTTGCATTTCATGATGTTCTCTATCTCTTGTTTGGTCATAAATTCTTTGGTTCAAGCAGCTCACATTTTAATGGTGGAGCCAAAATAAAAAGAACCAGAGACACAGAAAACTCATACAGAGTAGATGAGGAAGGCTAGCAGCTGGGGGGACCAGGAAAGGCCTCCTGAAGCAGGTGGGATGGGACTTGAAGGAAGCCAGAGAAAGTAGGACAAGAAGAGGGAGAACACGGGGGACAAGCAACACAAAGACACAGATGAGAGCTAGAGTGTCCTGCAATAGGAATAGCAGAAAGGCCATTGTGCCCGGATCACAAAGTTCATGGAAGAAAGTAAAGTAGAAGAAAACTAGAAAGCTAGGAGGGGCCAGGTTGTGAAGAGATTCAAGTGATAAAGAAAATGTTTTCTATTTGATCCTGGGAGTAACATGGGGTCACTGGATTTCTCTCTCTTTCTCTCTCTCAGGGGGTGGAGGTGGGGCCAGTGGTGTGGTTATAATCAGTCCTAAACTTTAGGAAAATCACTTTGGTAGTTAAGTGGAAAATGGATTGAAGTGGGATGTGGCTTAAGGCAAGGAGACCAATTTGACTATTGCAATAGTCTAGGCAAGAGGTGATGAGGCTCTGAATTAGGATGGTGGCCTTGTGAGTATAGAGAAAGGAACATATACAAAGAATGTCATGAAGGTCTACTAAGATTTGACAAGACTGGATGTAGATGAGTTCCGTGAGAGCAAAGAATGGAGGATGACACCAAGGTTGTAAGGTTGAATGACTGAGAGGATGATAGTATTAGGAAAGTTATGTGATCCTCCACAGTCACAGGGGAGCTAAGTAGAGGAGTCAGGGGAGGGGAAGCAGGAAAGATGAGTTCATTATTGGACAGACTGAGTTTAAGATGTCTATTGGACATGAAGTTTGAGATATCTGACAGGCAGTTATACGTCTGAGGCCAGGGGTCAGGAGTGAAGCTAGGGTTAGATATAGAGATTTGGAATCATCTGCATACAAATAACTGAATCCATGAGAGCTGAAAAGCATTGAGCCAAACAGTATAGAAGGAGAAGAGAACGTAGGGCAGAGGGCTGCTTAGGGGTCATCTGGTCCAATTCTTTCACTTTACAGATAAGGAAATGTAGGCCTAGAGAGGCTATAACTTCTCCTAGGTTTCACAGGCAAAAAAGCAGCAAGCAGGGACTTAAAATCAGGTCCTCTAATTTCAAATCCAGCATTCTTTCCATTGCAGGTGCTTAATAAATGTTTGCTGATTGAATTAACTATAGAAAACTAATAATGCTAAACAAAAACACATTTAACAAAAACATGAAATCTGATTCAAGAACACAAACTGAGTTTCCCACCTTGGGTCTTCTTTATCTCATCTTTTTCCATTTTTAATTTTCTTAAGCTTCACCTACAAGACAGACATTTTATCAATTCAAATCCATAGTGCATCATATTATTGCAAATACAGTAAAAGTATATCAAGAGCGCCAAGCTAACTGGCCTTCCTCTAGCTCCTTTCCCTTGACTGTCCATCTCTGAATTCTTGATCCCATTGCTAGAGCAGAGCTGCTTTACCATCCTCCTCTAAAGAAGACAGGAATTCACAAAACCCTTCAGATTAGCTTTTCTAGGACGAAATATACTTTCCAATTGTGCCACCATAATGTAAACAGAGAGGGAATCATTTAGTGTAAATGGAATTTCTGGCTTTCCACACCCAGTTCTATCACACTTTTTAACAAAGCTATATAGTATGTATAGTGTTCATTCTCTTTATTTTACACAGAGCAATTTAAAAAATGGGAGTTCAATAAGCAGCAAGTCAGTTGTTGTAAAATTCCAATTTTACATGATTAATGTCAGTTTTGTAATTAAACTTCCTGTTTTTCAATTCTCACAAATTCCTAATTAAAATACTACTAGTAAATGTTTTCATTGATCTTTTTACTGATGAAAACTGGAGAAGTTATTTTATGGGGAAACTGCTTCAACAAGTGAAACGAACTTTAGCTACCACAAACACTGAATCACTCATCTGAGTGACTTAGAGGAAGTCACTTCCCCTCTCTGGGCCTCAGTTACATTATTTATAAAATAAGGAGTTAGACTAGATGGTCTTCCAGTTCTGAATTCTATGATTCTTCACCCCATTTCCTATCCCTCTAAGTCAAACAGGAAATTAGTAGCCTCAGTTCCCTTTTGTGATCATGCCTAGCTTTTTCTTACTCTTTGTCCCTGTATTTTACTCATACTAAAATCATAATTCTCATTTTCCCATCTTAGTCATCTTCAACAAACACAAGCAAAGTTTAACTTGAGAAAATGCACTTGAAAAGTTAAGTAAATAACAACTATCCAGGATTTAGCAGTAATGATTCAAAAAAAGCCTTTTATACTTGCTAAAGTATTAAAAGAGTTCAAACTATTAAGCTAATCATACTTCTAAAGGGCACTGATAATCACTGTAAAGATGATATTACATTGCCTGTTTACTGCAAAAAAGGAAACTCTCGCCCAAGACTATTATAAGGGGGACGTTAGAGCAGTTTAATTCTCTAAACATTAACAGAAGCAGCTGAATATTAAGTTTTGGTTTTGTTCCTAGGAACAAAGTTTCTCCTCAGTAGCAGGACAGAGGATCACAGGGTTTAGAGCAGGAAGAGACTTTAGGCATATAGTTCAGTCTCCTCATTTTGCATACTGAGGCCCAGGGAAGGTAAAGTGACTTGGTTGAGTTTACATGCATAGTAAGCAGACCCCACCTGTCCTTTTCTTCCAATGTGGTTTCAAAAATAACTCCCTAGCCTCCCAATTTATAGTTGGAAGTATAGCACTGCCATGAATTTCAAAAATGTAACAAGGAAAACCATGTTCCCTGGTGCTGTTAGAAAAATACATCTCCAATGTTTATTAAAGCCCACCAAAACAGCTATTTTTCCTCAAAAACCTTAAGAAAATAACTATCTTCTAATATATAAAAAATTAGGATATTTAGTACTAAAGTCCTAAGAAGTCTATGTTGTAGTCTGTAATTCCACTATTCTCATTTAGTCTTTCAAAGGTTGGGATCAAAAACCCAAACAAGGGAAATTTTGTGGAGGAAAAAATCTTCAATTTCTTCTTCAAAATTGCTTTATGTACCATAGACAATAAGAGAAGATAAGAAGAAATATTCAAGTAAAGATGATTTGACACTGTTCTTCTGTTAAAACTGCATTAACAAGCTAATCACTAGAAAACATGTTTGAACCAATCAATCAGTAGACAAGCACTCTGAGCTTATATGTGTCAAGCACTGTGCTAGATACTAGGGATGCAAAGACAAAAATGACAGCTGCTGCTCTCAAAGAGATTACATTATATAGTGAGAGACAACATGTACTTATACAATTACATACAAAATAACTAAAAGGTAATTTGTGCGGAGTGAGGCACTAACAGCTAAGGAGATCAGAAAAGGCTTCATTACAAAGTAAAATTCAAGGCATGGGAGATGGCCTAGGTACAGATGGAGACGGGAAATGGTGTGCTGTGTGTAAGGCTCTTTTGGCTGGACTGGAGAGTTTGTGAAAAGGGGTTATGTACATTAAGGCTGGAAAGGCAGACTGAAGTCACATTGTGAATGGCTTTAAATACTAACAGAAAAATTTGTATTTGACCCTAAAGGTATTAGAGCATTTTTGAAGTTTATTGAATAGGATGATTACAGAACTGGGCTTTAGAAAAATCAGTTTGTTAGTCATGAGAAGGCTGAACTGGAGGAAAGAGAGACTTTAGGCAAGGAGACAAGATTTCTGTTCTGACATGTGGAGATATGTCATCAAAGTGGTTTCAAATGCAGGGGCTATATAGAAATCCACGATACACTACCTGACTTATTTACCAGACCATCTGTATAGTATTTATTCCACAGTCTCCCACGGTGGCTATTATAAAATTAATTCCATCCTTTCACTTGGTCTTTTTTCAATATTCCTTCAGTACTTCCCTTTCCTTTGCAGAGTCCAAATGGAAGAGAGGTTCACTAGCGATGGTGAAGTCCTCCAGATGCTCCTGCTTGTGCATAATACTGTGACAACTGCAACAATCCTAAAATACTATGGGGACTCAATGAGATTCAAAGCTATTAAAAATATATCAGCTTAGCAAGCTACCCAGGTAATAATAAATTCATGAAAAATGCCTATTGCTACAGCCCAACAAGCTGTTGGACAGTCAGCCCATTGAATTAGTCTATCAGGACATGTATCACTGACAGGTACTGAAAAGAGATGAGCTGGACCCAAAATTGAACAGAAGGAGGTGAGTAGGTTGGATTTTATTTTGGAAATTTCAAAAGGTGCTTTCAAAAATCACAAACTGCAACCTGACATAAAACTCATTTTTAAAAATGCTAACATTTTCCCTCCATGTAGCTACTTATTGAGGGACACTACAACATCCAAAATAAAAATAAAAATTATAGATGACCCAAAGGGTAAAGGAAAGACATGTACAGTCAGTATAAGTAAAATGAAGACTAATCCGAGGAAGTTATCAGTAAGGAAATATATTGGAAGACGAGAAGATGGTGGATAAGTCATGCAGAAGGAATAACACAGAACAGCTGAAAAACCTGAATGTTGCAATGATACCCATGAAATGTTTTTTAAAAGACAAACAAACCCAGAATGCCTGTATTGAGTTGTATGGATTCTCTAGGGGGAATTTATGGAAGGTCATGGACAAGAATCATAGTCTGCAAAGGCATGAACAGAGTGAGTATCCACACTGATGAGACTAAAGATTCCTTAGCCAAGAATCCTATGAAGGAAATGTTCTTACTTTAAAGTCATCAGATTGATTTAGTGGGTTGTAAACTTGGATGGGAAAAGAATTATATCTTTATGTCCTAAATTAACCTTTACCTAAAACTTAACTTTTCTCCCATTATGAATTTTTAAAAAATCATTATTCTGAGAAAGGTGCCATAGGCTTGTCTAGACTGCCCAAAGGGGCCCTGAAGAAAAGTTTACTAACTCCTCTAAAGGCTCTAAAAATGATTCCTTGATCAATGATCCTAATAAAGAGCTTCCAGAAACTGGAACATGGTAGAAATATCACTGATCTGGGAGTCAGAAGTTTACAATTCCAGGCCAGGCCTGTCACTTACAGGCCAGCCTCAGTGACCCTGGCCAGGTCTCTTCTCTTAGGTTGTGGGCTCAGGGGAGGAAGACCAGCATTTGAGCCCTAGCCGTGACACTTCCTTGCTGTGTGACTGCACAAATTATTTCACTTCTTCAGACTTCAGTTTACTCTTCTGCAAAACTGTGATAGTAAAATTTGCACTACCTATCTACAATGGCTGTTGTGAAGAAAGCACTTTATTAATCTTAAAAAACACTGTGTAATTATTCACCTCTCTGGGTCTTAGTTTCCCAATCTATCTAAAAATGAAGGGCTTGGACAAGATGACAAGTTCTAACATTCTCCAACTGTCAGGGTATCTTCCTCTTAATCCCTAAGCCACAGCTGTAGGCCATTACCCTCTTGTGTTTTATGGAAAACTAAGTCCTCATCACCAAGGGATGTACCTTAGTTAAGTCGCTCCTGTCTTTTAAAGAAGGGCCAATCCCACAAGTGCCTCACTCCATCACCTCACTTGAAGTAATAATAATACTACTATAATATCTAGAATTTATACTGTCCTTTATAGTTTACAAGGGCTTTACAAATATTATCTCATCATATTCTCACCACCACCCTAGCAGAGAGGGGCTATTATCATCATCCCTATTTTACAAATGAGGAAACTGAAAATCAGAGCTAGCATCTGAAGCTGAATTTGAAGTTGGGTCTTCCTCACTCCAGGTCCATTGGGAACTTTCAAAAAAAAAAAAGCTTATTTCAAATACTTCCTGGATCCATGGCCTCCTTATGAATCCAGTCCTCCCTATGTCAACACAGGGCCTCCAACCACTCCAACCCTTAGGTGGCAGGGGCCAAAAAAGTTCCCCCTCCAATGCATGACTCCTTGGTGATGGGCCTCTCTCCCGGCCTAACCTGGCTAGCTAGTCCTCAGATGGCAGAACCCACCCTCCTCATCATTTTGGGTTCACAGTCCGTGCCAGAGTTTCGTCAGGTGATCAGGAAGCCAGGGTCATCTGGGAGGGCTGTGGCGAAGGGAGGGCCTGCTGGAAGCCCTGATGCTCAACCGAGCCCCGCCCACCCCCACCAGGCCTTTCCAGGGTGGGAAAGGGCTTCCTCTCATACAGGATGCGTTAAGAGCAGAGGGTAACTACTGTACCTGCCCCATCCTATGAAAAAGTAAGGGTGGGAGCAAACATTTATTAAGCGCCTGCGGTACACCAAGCCCTGTGCAGAATGCTTTTCTCATTCCATCGGTGGCTTTGTTTAAGCCAGACCCCCGCCCCCCCTGCCCTGGATCTCAGTTTCTCTCACTGTTCCATGGCCTCTGTAGCCCCGGGTAGGGAGTGGGGGTGGGGAGGTCAGTCTGCACCCAAGGCCTAGGCCTGGCCTCGAGCTCTCGGTGCACAGAGCAGGGGAAAGGCACACACACACTCCTCGGGGGAGGGGGTGCACTCCTTAGTTCCTCCCGCAGGTCCTAGACCGACCCCCGGCCTCTCCCTCCTGTGGGGGAACTCCGAGTACCTCAGTCGAGTCCAATCCGCCACTTCCCGCCGGAATGTGAAACGCAACTTCCGCCTGGAGGCGGGACTTCCGGCGCCGCCCGAAGCCCTACGGGCACACGTGAAAGGAATTCTTTCTTCACACCCCACCGCCTCCACCTCCCGCTGTGTCTCCAGCTTTTGAAAGGCTGAAGTTTGGGCTTTACCTAAGCGCTTGGAGCAAGTCCAACCCAATTAACCCTGAGCAGGGATAGACTTGGGCCAGTGGAGGCCCCAAGTGGCCAGTTCAGTTCAGTAAATGTGTATTAAGCCTCTCCATGCAACAGCCCCTGCCCGAAAGATTACATCCTACAATATATAGGTCATTTCATGTCGGGTTGTGATAATACGTCCTGTAACATGTGATGTTGTTATAAGATGTAACATAGTACAGGATGTAACACAATACACCCTGTAATATGTAGGTTACAATCTATATGCAAGTAGGTATAAAACAGGGTAAACTGAGGAAAGAAAGAACACTACCATCTGGGGATTGGGATGTGAGGGTGGGAATCCAGCAAAGCTTCACTGAAGAGGTGGCACCTGGGGTGAGCCTGGGAGGAAGAAGGCAATGGTTTCTGACAGGTGGCTATGAGGAAATGTGTTAAGGGAATAAGGGACCACTTTTGCAAATCCAAGGAGATGGAAAGACTAGCTGGCCAGTTTGGATGGGAAACAAGGGAGGGGACGAGGATGAAATAAAGCTGAAAGGAAGATGGGTGCCAGAGGGCCTTCAGTGCCTAGCTAAGGAGTTTCTACTTTATCCTGGAGAGAATGGAGTGTTAGAAAATGATTTTGAGCATCAGAAGACCATAGAACTGGAAGGTATCATTAACAGCATGTAGTCCGGCCCATTCATTTTTCATATATGGAAAGCGAAGGCTGGTGAGGGGGAGTGACCTGAACAAAGGAACATAAGTGTTAAGTAGATAAGCCTGATGTCAGATCTTCTGCCTAAATCCAGAATTCTTTCCACAGCATGTCCCCTAACAGGTGGCAGCCTCCAAGGCTCTCTGCTGGGACCTCTTCTCTTCTATACAATTTCAGTTGGGGATCTCATCAGCTCCCATGGTTTCAGTTATCATCTCTCTTAGGGATAACTGTCAGATCTACTTGTCCATCCCTAATTTCTCTAATCCTCCGTCTCAAATCTCCAACTGCCTATGAGAAATCTCAAACTGAGTGTGTCATAGATACCTTAAACTTATCATATGTAAAACTGAACTCATTATTCTTCCCTCAAACCCTCCCCTCTTCCTAATGTCCTTATTGCTATCAAGAGTACCACTCAGGCTTGAAACCTAGGTGTTATCCTCAGCTCCTCACTCTTAACCCCCCGCCCCAATCTAATCAGAAATGTTTTCATATCAGCCTTTGAAGTCTCTCTCCTATAGGCCTCCTCTCCTCTGACATTGCCACAATCCTGGTTCAAATTCTCATCACCTCATACCTGGACTATTGTAATAACCTGCTGGTCATCCCTGTCTCAAGTCTCTCTCCATTCCAATCCATCCCTCATTCAGCTGTCAAATTGATCTGGCTAAAATGCAGGTCTGACCATATCACAATACCACACATCACAACCCCCATGTTCAATAAACTCCAGTGACTTCCTATTACTTCCAAGACCAAATATAAAATTCTTCTTTGGCAATGGATAACCTGATCCATTCCTACCTTTTCAGGTTTCTTCCACCTTGCTTTCCTTCACACAGCCTGTGATCTAGTGACATTGGCCTCCTTGGCATCCCTCAAACAGGACAATCCATCTCCCAACTCTGAGCGTTTTCACTGTCTCCCATACCTGGAATGCTCTGCCCATCTATTTGTCTCCTATTTCCCCGGCTTCCTTCAAGCCACAGATAACATCCCTCCTTCTGCATGAAGCTTTTGTCAGTCTTTTTTAATCTTAGTGTCTTCCCTCTGTTAATTATTTTCTATTTATCCTGTACATAGCTTATTTGTGCATAATTATTGGCATGTTGTTTCCCCATTAGACGGTAAGCTGCTTGAGGGCAGAGTCTGTTTTTTGCCTTTCTTTGCCAGCACTTAGCACTTAGTGCCTGGCACATAGTAGGCACATAAGAAATGCTAGTTGACTATCACAGTACAAATGTATTAAGGAGCTACTGTGTACACTGTTCTCAGAGATGCAAGAAAGCTATGAGGACAATTTTAGTATAGCAGTGTTACAGGATTTTAGAGTCAACCATACTAACATGTAGGCTGTATAAGAAATATACCACTTCAATCTACTCTCATTCCAAGTTCTAAGGTAATTCAAGAATATGTTTGTATAGTATTAATTACTGAAATTATAACCTTTCTTAGCTCTGAATTCCCACCTCATTTTATTAAATATTACTTCTTTAACAAACTGGAAAAATATTTTTTCCTCATAGTTATCTCCTTATATGTCTCAAAACTCCTAACCACCTAGTTTAAATAAAAATAGCTAGCACTTTAAGGTTTGCAAAAGACTAAATTTCTATTAGTCTCTCCTTTTTACATTACTTATTTTTTTTTTTGGTGAGGCAATTGGGGTTAAGTTACTTGCCCAGGGTCACACAGCTAGTAAGTATCAAGTGTCTAAGGCCAGATTTGAATTCAGGTCCTCCTGACTCCAAGGCTAGAGCTCTATCCACTGCCCCTATTACTTAAATTTCTTAATATATCTTCCTTTCCCAGAGAGATATCTCTTAACATTTTTAAAAGAATGAAAAAAAAAGTTCTACACAACAAACCAATGTATTAAAAAAGCCTGATGCAGTATTCTACCTCTATTGTCCCCTACCTCTGCAAAGAAGGTGTGTTTTCTTTTACCTCCTCTTAGGAGTCAAAGGTGACCATTATAATTTTGTAGCATTATTTTGATAATTTCGTTTTGTGGTTGTCCCATTTACATTGTGTTCATTGTGTATATTTTTTTTCATGGTTCTGCTTTCTTCATTTTGTATCATATAAATCTTTTCATTCTTCTCCGTATTCATCACGTTCTTCATTTCTTATAAGATAGTAATATTCTACCACATTTATGTACCTTAATTTGTTTGGCCATTCTTAAGTTGATGGGCATCCATGTTGTTTCCAGTTCTTTACAACTACAAAAAGCACTGCTTTGATTTGATCCTGTTGTTTCCAGGATCAAATATAAAATCCTGTTTGGTACTCAAAGTCTTTGCTACCTGGTGAAACCCTTCACTAAGCTGGTTCCTTCTTACCTTTCCAGTCCTTTTACACTTCATCTCTCCTCCCCACCATGCACTCTCCAATCCACCTCCCATCTCTATGCCTTTGAGGTCACTGCTCCTCATGGCTAGAATGCTCTCCTGTCTCCCCTCCTCAACCCTCCTGTTAAGTAGTCCCTCATTTCCTTCAAAATTCAGCTCAAATACCATTTACACAATGGAAGAGGCCCTCCCAGGTCTCTTGCTCTCCCCTAAATCCCTCTCCTCTGAGACTGCCTTCCATTCACTGTCTTATATGTCCCTAGTTATCTACATGTTCTCTTCTCCCATTAGAATGTGAACTTCTCTAAGACAGAGACAGTGTTTTTTTGTCTTGGCGTCCCGAGAGTTTAGCACAGTGCCTGGAATGATACAGTAAGTGTTTAGTAAATTTTTTTTAAATTATTATTAGTGATGTGGAACATTCTTTCATTTTACTGTAAATAATTTTCCAATTTTTAAAAAAATGTTTGTTCATGTCCTTTGCTTATGTCTTGGGGAATGGTCAAGCTATCACTATTAACAGTCTCTTTAGAAGGGCAATTAAATAGCCAGTCTCAAGATTCTAAATCCTCTTTAGAGAGACAGTGCTGTGTTTTATGGTCTCTGGAGGAGACCCTAGTGAAGTTGGGGTGATAGTATAAAAGAATACTAGCTTAAGTCTCAGAAGACTTGGCTTCAGATCAATCAATCAGTAAACATTTGTTAAGTGCCTACTATGTGGCAGGCTCTGTGCTAAGCTCTAGGGATACAAAAGGAGGCAAAAGATAGTCCCTGCCCTCAAGAAGCTTACAAGCCAATGGAAGGAAACAAAATGCAAACAAGTAAATACAAAAAGCTACATACAGAATAAATAGGAGATAGTTAATAGAAGGAAGGCACTGAAATTAAGAAGGGTTAGGGAATGCTGCTTGGAAAAGATGGAATTTTAGCTAGGACTTAAGTCCTTTAAAGGAAGCCAGGAAGGTCAGTAGTTTGTGTATAGAAAGCAGAGTATTCCCGCCATTGAGGACAGCCAATAAAAATGCCCAGAGCCTTTCAGAGCCAAAAGATCAAGTGAATGTTTGTGGAACAGCCAGGAGGCCAGTGTCACTGGATAAAAGAATATATGCTGGGGAATAATATGTAAAAAGACTAGAAAAATAGGAGGGGCTAGGTTATGAAGGGCTTTGGATGCCAAACAGCATTTTGCATCTGAATTTGGATGCTATAAAGGGCCACTAGAGTTCACTGAATAGGAAGGGGTGACATGACCAGATATATGTTTTAGGAAGATCACTGTAGAGGCTGAATGAAGGATGGACTGAAGTAGGGGGAGGCTCAAGGCAGGCAGACTCACCAGCAGGCTAAGGCAATAATCCCAGTTGTTACTATTTATGAGATCTTGGACATGCTACAACCTCTCTGAGCCTGTTTTTTTTCTCCTATAAAATGATGGGCTGGATTAGAATCTGTCTCCTGGTCTCTTTTAGTTCTTTAAGTCCTACTCCTATGAGAAAAAAACTGGGGACTGAGAATTTTATTCAAATTTGGCTTGAATGTAGGGTCCATGAAGAAAAGCCATATAAGGAGGCTAGGAAGGCTGGTTCAACAACAAGATGTTTAAATTTTATTCATCATGTAAATGAAAGTCACTGAAGGATTCTGAGTAGAGTGCCACGATCTGAGAGGTGCTTTAGGAACACTGCATAAAGGATGGATTGGACAGGGAGGGGACTGGAGGCAAGAAGACAAGTTACAAGACGATTAAATAAGAGGAGATGAGAGCTTGAACAAAGGTGACTG